GAAGCTACTGGATCCTAGTGTGGCGTGATGGAGCTCGCGACGATCAGTGCGGGGTAGTTTGGGCCCGGGCTGAGGAGCTGCACCTCCAAGCTCCACGAGAGCTGCGCGAGAGCGAGCCCACATCTGCGGAAACTGGCGAGCATATGGCGTCTGCCCCCGAAACTCGTGCAATTGAATGGAGAAAACAGAACAACTGGAGAGACTCACCCTCGACGCTCTTGATCTCTCCAGCACCGAAACCGGTGAAAGTTCTCTTGTGCTTGGGGCGCGAGATGCCGGCCGGGCCGACGGAGCCCTGGATATCAACGATGGGGGCGCTCGTCGAGGGACGTCGCTCCCGCACAGGGAGGCGCTCTTCCGTAGCTCCCGACATTTCGAGTAGCTCTCGTACGACAAGTAAAGTAGTGATGGATGGGAGAGTCAATTGGCTCGGTCAAACCCTCGAACTGGTCCGGAGAACTGCTATACTCTTCCTATTAGCTTTGCTGGACGATCCTCGGGGAGCACGAGGAACAAAAATGTGAGAATCGAAACACCACTCGGTCACAAGCAACGCGCGATGAACGAGGGGAAGGAAGCTGAGGATGAAGAAGTCCAGACTGTTTTGACGGGCGGAGCGAACGGGACGTACAGGACAGGCCCAGGATGTGAGTGGGGAGAAGAGCGGGGTGTTGGCGGTGCCTGAAGCTCAGTCCACACCACTCGCGGCCGGGATTCGTACTCAGCTCAGCGCGGACGCGGCGTCTCAGCTGAAAGATTGACAAAGCTGCCGGACGAGCTTTGCTGAAGGATCGGACTTGGAAAGTGTTCTCGAGGTGAATTGTCTGCAACGGGGTCGTCCAAGATGACGTAGAAGATAGTGATAGCTCTACGGTGCGAACGAAACTTGGTATAGGCGAATGGCTGCTGGGAGCACTCCTACGAGGTGGACGGGAGCTTTGAAAGTGGGAGAAGAGGGGAGAAGATGGTGTAGGAGGAGGGGTAAAATAGCAGGAGGGGTAGAGCGTAGAGAGAGAGGTAAAGAAATTATAGAGAGGAGGAGGGGGGACGCTGGGAACTTATTAAGAGAGAGACGGCAAGTCGAGGTGAGCTATCCGTGGGTACGGAGCATCTCTGGTAGCTAGCTACCTCCCCTCAGGCGCGGCATGCTACGGACGACCACCCGATGGACAAAGGCGAGCAGGAGCAGGAGCAGGAGCAGCTCTCAGTTCATTATGGAAAGTACCTATCTGCTGTGCAGGCAAAGCAGGGTAGGTAGTTAGTCGGTCCCGTTGCTGAGGTTGGCAATTGCTAACTGCTACCTACCTTACTTACATAGAGATGGGAGGAGGTATGGAGCATGGGGCATGGGCGAGGGCATGGCCTGGTTGCGATATGCGGACAGAGTGACACGCCTGCTCTTATTTGCCTGCTCTTGCACAGAATGCCCCAGTCTCGCTCGAAGTACCAAGCCAACAAATGTGGCACTTTTCAGACAAATCCAGCATCGACTCACGCTGGTCCCCCTGGGAAGCGTCCAAAATCCAAGGTCCAAGGTATGAAGTCTGAGCCTCTGAGGTCTAGAGAGGCCACAATTTTTTATTGGGGCTGATCTGACAACCCGCACACACCACTCAAGACGCGATGGAGCTCTGGAGCTATTGAGCCCCATTTTCCCTGTCCGGTCCCCCTCCAGGTCTTCCCGGATGCCAGGATGTCTGTGTTATACTGGACCACCCCGGCCAGGTCTGAAGGATGCTACTTACCTTTCCAGATACTGCAAATGCCTTGCCGTTGAGAGAAAGAAACCTCCCGGGGCTCCCAGAGAACAGAAAACCACCTGACATGACCTCATCTTGCCGAACCGCAAAGGTTGGCAAAACCTCGAGCACTCGACATGACCACGGGCTGCGGCTTGCTCTGCTGCATCAAGCCAAGGTACTGCGATTACTGCGGGGTGACTTGTATGGTGTCCGGTGAGCAAGCGTCAAAGAACGCAACCCCAACAACGATTTACTCATATGATGTGGTCGCAGACCTTGCGATGTTTTTCGGATCTAGCCAAGGCAATAGAAGGCAGCCCTCGACACTTGAGCAAAGTAGCACAGAGGAGCAGGACAGGGTACCGGCAGTCTTGATCTCTCATCTCATGCATAGAGATCACTTTGTCGAGGGCTACCAATATGGTGTGGTGTAGATTAGACGAAATGGAATTGGCCAACCGGTCCATCCCATCTCGCTGCGGTGAGAGATGTCGGTCAGAACGTCGGTCAGAACGCGGTGAGCAGTCCATTTCCTATATGGTGTGTGTGATGTATTCGTAGGTACCTCGACAACCTCATGCAGCCAAACCATCTCTAGTGCGACTGCGGCAGCCGGCGGTCCAGTGGTGCGTCATTAAAATGGCGGCAGACTATAACACTACGTTGGCTCGAAAAAAAGATCGGTACGCCTGCTGAACCTGGGGAAGGTGACCTTGAAAAGGTTTCCGGAATGTTCATCCCAGTCGGTGTCTTTCAGACTAGACTGGTACATGTCGTGCCTCCTTCCTGTCTGACTTGCTCTCACTTCACCCTCTCAACGCCTCCTCCCATAACCCCAAAAGAAAGAGAAGTACATTGCATGCGAAAAGGAGTAAGATACAAAACAAGGCAGTCGAGATATCACAAATGGTCCGATTGTGACGGGCGACAGTCAAATCCCAAACGGGTAATCCGAAGGGAAAAGAAGGTTCGGGGGGACCCAGCATGCTGCATCCACATCAATAGCAGTGCTCTGCTGAGTCTGCTCTCTCAGGATTCGTGAGATGGCGCTGACTTCACCACTCATTTATTACCTCACCTTCTTTACTCGCTCACTGGCAAGACTTGAGGCATTTCAAGCCTGCCGCAACTCCATCGTGCAATTAAGCATAGTCATTTAATCCTCCTCATATCTCCGACGATTGTCCCTCTAGCAACTCCATTCTCGTCATCGCCACGGCATACAGCATCTGCACGAATGACCCCAACTACATTCGGTACATACTTGCCTCCATCCCACAGATACCCAAGCAATATGTCGCCATTCCAGCGTCCGCCGTAATCCGTCCGTCTCCTCCCGGGTGCGGCCACGGGAATGCCAGCACCCCGGTAACCACCCACGGGTGTTCGGCCGCCTACTGCTCTACCTCACTTCAGGTAACTATGTAACTGAAAACATGGTGATTCACCAACCAACCGACTGCCCCCCACTCCCCCGAGTTCCACAACAAGAGGACTCCTCCTGACACCGGCGCCAACTCTGCTGCGTCGCCTGGGGTAGGCAGACTGGACCACCTTACCCTTCTCGGGGACATTGGTGGAGAGCTGGAGGAAATTCCCACGCAAGCTTGGCTGGAGTCTCCGCCCTCGCCGAACTTCCCGTTTGCGACTCTACATCTGGCCCCGCCTTCCTTCCTCCTCTCATTACCACTATCCGTACTATATACGGATACTTCAGCTCCATTCATCACAAAAGTCTGATAACCCCAACCTCCCGTCTTCTCAAATACGGGTTGTCTCCATCGACATGCATCACCAAGTTCCCGTCGACAGATATCAAATTCACAAATAGATAACCCCCTCCCCCCTTTATAGCACGTTATCGGTCAAAACACCTCCTCCCCGCCTTTCATGTCGTCCAACCTAGTAGTCCCAAGCCGTTCAGAGAGGCTAGTCACGGAAAAAACAACCAAGACACAAAAGTGAGCACGACATGATGGGGTGTGGGCTGGCGCTGGTGCTGGCCTGGACTAGCTCACGTCCCAGTCGGAACGCAATGTAATATCCTGCAATCTAACCCCCAAATCCAACAATACATCACCTGATGCCGTGGCTCACCACCCCTTGCCATCTGATACGGCTCCCCATATGCCTACTTGATTTGCAGATAGATAGATAGGCACACAGGCAAACAGCATATAATGCCTCTTTCGTTCGCAATACTTCTTGACCCCAAGATGATGGATGAGCGATTCTCCTGCGTGAAGGGAGGGGGTCCACTGAAGATATCACTGATTTACGAGCTGTCTGTCCATCCCATTCGATAGCAGCTTACCCCTGGCATGAGGCTCCATTGCCATCCTCGGACGCAGATACACATGAAGCAGTTAATAGAAAAACGACGACGAAACGAATAATGAGAAAAAGATGCGGCCGCCTCCAGCAGCGCACATAGCCTTTGTGTGATTGAGACGATATAGTGTACAAATAAGGAAAAAAGAGAGTTCATCTGCATCGCTGAGCTTCGAGCCAGCGTTTAGCGTTTTTCTTTCTTTCTTGTGCCCCGATCCCTCTCCATCCTTGTTATTGCCCGCAGCCAAACTTTTTTATCTTCCCTCAATCCCTGGTCGTATTTGGACCTCTAACCTTGTCCTCCTCCAATGGTTGGAAACCCCAGATTGGGTCTCGTGTGTTCCCGTACATCATTGTGTACTGGCACATTCCTGGCGCACGGCTTGTTGGCATATATAGGTGTGCATCATTTAGCTGTCCCACCTCCCTCCAGCTATCAATCAGGCCCATGCAGTACCGCATTCAAAGAGGATAGATGCTGTAGCTCTCCCAAGTTTCGAGCATCATCCCAAAACAAAAGAAAACGAACGGCCAATTCATCACATCGTCTATGAATTTCCCGTTTCCCATGCCATACTCCAACCCACGACGAACTTTTCGTCCCAGAAACGCTTTCACATGGGCATCTGTCCTCCACAATAGCCCGGCTTATCTCGCGTAGGCGGGTAGAAACCGGTTGCGAATGTGCATCTTCAAGCGATTGATTCCGTGATGCAAATGAAATGGATTGCCGTCCTCAATTCAAGGCACCAATCGACGATTCGCTCGCACCCCCGTATCATATTGCAAGCGAGCGTATAAACCAGAGTGAACGCCGTCCAAAAGAGGTACCGCCCACAACGCCCGGCAATGCTGTAAAACGCTGACCCGCAACAGAGGAGATGAATCTAAACATTAAGGAAAATTTGTAGCCGAGTCGACTGGTATTTATAGAATTCCAGAGTCCCGAAGAGCGTTGTTAAGGATCGTCTCCTTGACTGCCGCAAACACGAGTCGGATGTTCGATGTGTCGGTTGCTTGAGTCAGGCTACCGCTGGATTAGCCCCCGCCCACCGAAACGATGACGCCTTCACTTACTGGGGATACAGGTTGAGGTGTGCTCGATTGACCTGGTTGAATCTCCAGAGGAGGTATTTAGCGGCCTTGTTGACATCGTTGCCGCCTGAGTAGTCTGGAAAGTAATTGCCCAGTGGTGAACGCCCAAGCTTCTGCTTGAAGATATCCACCTTGTTCAGGAACAGAATGATGCTCGTGCGCATGAACCACCTTGAGTTCACCACCGAGTCAAACAGCAGTAGACTTTCCATCATTCGGTTCTGTAGTCATTAGTACACGGCATCAAATGGGCTATATAGCCATGTGAGATGACGTACCTGGCTGCTCTCCTCCAGCAAAACTTGATCGTATTCGCTCAGAGCAACGCAGAAAATAATCGAAGTGACATTTTCAAAGCAGTGAATCCACTTCTTTCTCTCACTCCTTTGACCACCAACATCAAACATGCTGAAGAAATCGTCAGTATTTGCAACAGGTGCACATTTAATCACAAAATCTCACTGTATGCTGAGCTGTCCCATCTGAAATCTCGTTTCGTAGATACCAGTCGTCTTGGTTCTGGCTCTGAGGACATCCATCTCATTCGGGAGATAATCTGGTGCGACGATCCGCATGACCTCTTGGAAGAAGCTATTGCCAACAGGTTAACAATGATTAACCCTGGAACCCACTGATCCAATTGGGCAGACTTACTACTCTGCTGAGTCCATCAAGTAGAACTCGGTCTGCCTCTCCATAAGCTGTTCCCGCGCAGGATCGCTCCATATTGACTGGATGGCGATTCCAATCTGGGGATCGATGTGTGCTTGGGGGCCGGACTCGGCTGTGTATTCCATGAGGAAAGTGGCATACGCCTTGTTCTCTTCAATTACCGGTTCGATGTCGAATTGTCGCATTGCCTGGATCACTGCTTTCGCGCATTCGACCAGGTTTTTGAACACAGTCGGGCGGTAGTTGTAAAGTTCATCTTCTGAGTAGCCTTTCAAATGGATGATTTTCATCTGCTTGACTATCGTGGATTTACCACTCTCTCCGGATCCTGCGTAGTTGTCAGCAAGCTGTCTCCCTCGCGAGAACCGACAGGGTTAGACCCCAGTGTCAAAACCTACCGAGCAGGAGAATCTTGCATTCTCTGCGTAACCTCTTAGAATCCTCCTCCAACTGTCGATCGATTGCCTGGCTCTTCTTTTTCTGTTCCACCTCTTCATTGTTTGAACTCATGCAGGCACCCATTTTCCCAGAAAGTTGAGGCTTCAGTCAAGCCGCTGACGGGAATAATGATGCTGCGATTTGGTTGCGTTGGATGTTCGAGTGCAGGGCTCGAAGCGTCGAAATGGTTAGGCTACGCGTGAGATCCCGGATGGATGCACGTTAAATGCCCATAGTAGTATTATGTGACGGCGGCGAGGATAAAATTAATGGCGAGGCTGAGATGGAAGGCAGGGCGTCGTTGGACGATGGTGATGGTGGCTCGTCGGCGGAGAACTCGGCGGTAAGGCAGGCGTTTCGGATCAGAGGTCTTCGTGAGAGTGCACAGCGACGGCAAGGATCGAAAACGACGACGCTGAGTTGGTGAGATCGTTTATCGGACGGAGTGAGGATTGATGGACGGATGATGAGCGACGACCCTAAAGATCGGGGGATGGGCGGTAGCTGTCGAGGGAGATGGGTAGCGAAGGACGAAAGACAAGAGTGCGACCGGGAAGGCGGGCAAGAACAGTGTCGGAGGAATAAATGTGGGTATCACCAGGACCTCGACAGGCGGGCGGGTAAGTGCAATTGGGTATGGCCCAAGCTAAGCACCGATGTACCTTTGGTACCGAGTGCGACACCTTAGGTGCCAGCGAACGAGCGTGAGAGCTGACCGGATGGGTGGGTATATGGAGAGGAGACCTGAGCCTTATAAGACTGAGTAAGATCAGAGATGGTAGACAGACTGGGGGGTGACAAGAAGCGCGTTCGGCCCAGGGAACTAACGGGACAAGAGATCAGGCCGTCCTGGCGGTTCGGATCTGATCTGTCAAGTGACGAAGGGGAGTGAGGGAGATCGGAAAAAGAAAAGCAGGACAGAGGACTGGAAACGAGTAGGAGGGGAGAGAGGGCCAGTGAGGAGAGTGGGTGTGGGTAGAAGGAAAAGGAATTCTGTCGTGCGGGAAAGTGTAAAGTTGATGCTAGTGGCAGACTGGAGTTGCATGAAGCAGCGGCATCGATGGCCAGGTACCTTTGCACCACATTCTACCTATGGATGCCTCTACCTATACCTCTACCTGTACCTCACTACGTCAACGTACGTAGGTAGGCACTGACTACGAAGAGAGAAAGAGAGAGACGGGGAGAGAGTGTGTGTATTCACCAGAGGCAATCCCATTCGCAGTCAGCTCAGACAATCAGACCCATTCGACCCAGACACCAACCACCCACCCTCCCTTCCCGTCGGTCGGGGTCCTCAATCCTCACTCCTCAGGTATGCGGCGGCATGGGTGACAGGGACACGTTCCCAGCGCAGAACTACTATGTAAGTAGGTAGTGCATCAGGCCCCGGCAAAGTTGTCAAGGCAAGGCAAGGCCAGGGCGGTGGGGTGCGGATGCGTTTGTGGTGTGTGGATCGGGATATGTATGGGTCTTGTCTCTTGTGCGTGCGTGGGTGTGTGAGTCTGCGAGAGAGGAGAGAGAGAGAGAGACTTAAAAAAGAGAAAGAGTGTGTATGTGGACGGACTCGGTCTATGCCACCTGCGGGTAGCTTCTTCAATCGACTTGGACAGGTCTTGGCCTGCCGGAGAGGGAACAGGCCGAGCAAGGAGTAGCCGGGAGAGGCATGCACTGCTGATGGTGTAGAGACAGAGGGAGATCGGACAGGGACAAAGTACGGATACTCTGCTCAACTTACCCAAGTGCGATTGTAGCCGACTGCTTCTGGGTGAGTGTATTGACGTGAAGACATCAGCTGCTTGTGGCTTGTCGGTGGACGACATGGGATCAAGCAAGCTCCGAAACCTCCAAGTGCAAGGCTCGAAGAACACCCGGCTCAAATCGTGGGTGCGAGTATTTCGATCGACTTGGGACTGGGCAACAGGCGGCATGTCACACATACTACCTATTCTCGAGAGTTGACACGGACTTTTCCTTCATCTGCCTCATGAGGTGAGGTAGCCTTAGGTAAGCGTGGTGAGGTACTTCGTAGGTCTATGAGGTACCTACCTAAGGTAGGTAGGTACTCGCAGTCTCAGGTTGCTATTGGGGCAAGAGCAAGTGCAAGAGCTCTCTCCCAGAGTCCCAATCTCTACTTTTGGACCAACTCCACTCGTTTTAGTCTCGTCCCCCCCTCCGCCGCATGCATGGTACTAAGCCGCTCTCATTGGACGCACACCCTGGCCAACTCAAGCTCTCGCGAGTCGCAGATATTTACAGCTCATTGTACAGGGTACGTACCGACTCATTTCTCCAGGCATTTCGGGATATTTTCTGCTCCTTGTTGTTCTCGCCAATCCCGGCTGGGCTGCGATTGATCTCATCCCTTTTGATCACTTTTTGATTATTTGACATATCCCCTGGGCGGCCCCCAATGCTGTGTAATATGCGAAGAAGCCGGGCTTCATGGCCTAAAGTGAGGTGAGGCATCAGATAAGTGCCTCAGGACAATTGGGAAGAAATGAATGAAGCTGTTGTGAAATTGGAAATTTGAGCTAGGGCCAGCTTGTCCATCCAAGATGAGGCTTGGCGTGGCATATCCGCACCCAAGTACGGAGGTAGGTGAGGAACCTATTCATACTATGTACGGGCACCAGGCTAATAGGTACTCCTCCTTCACCATACAGCAAAGGCAAACACAAAGTTTAATGGCCCACGCTCCTGGCCTCAACCTTTTTAAAATCAAGGTCCACGTGCGTGCCTCCCAGAGCTCAGAGTCCCATCCTACCACCTTAACTTTCAAGCACTTTGCATGCTGCTCTGCGCTGCTGCACAAACCAGTCCATCCGACAACGCGAATCCATCTGGTAAGGTTCCGCCTCTGAGAAGGGTATCCTCGTCCCGCAATACCGCAGAAAAAATTCATCCTCAAATCAGACTGCTTAACCGCCGCATGGTTCCTGCGAAGTGCTATGCATTCAGGGCGCGCCTCTGCTACGCCTTCTCACTTTCCCATTCCCGCCCGACCCGATCGGTATCTGCACCCGGACTTCGTCTCCTGCCACAACCCAGAATCAGATTATCGGAACCCGCAGTTACCTTACTCTGTATTCGTACCTACTAATTAGGAACCATTGAGCTCGTCTTTCATTTCTTTACCGCCCTTTTCTCTTATATCTTGACTTATCCCCCCATACTTGTCTTATCCATAATCCATCTTCTTCTCTATCCCCTTTCTCTATCGGCCCCCAACAGAATAGTGAGAGGCCACAACCTTGGAGGTATGGCCCTTGATATTGTTTGGACCCTCATTGTCTGTTCTTAAGCCCCAAGAAATTCGGGCCACCCAGGGAAGCACTGGATGCGACCGCACCAGGCGACGGGTGTCCGCATCCGGGTCCGCATCCGGAAGCTTCAGACGCAGTTATCGAGCGAGCACCGTGTTTTGCTGCCAGAAAGGAAGAGGGGGCCAGGCAACGGAACAGGCGTTTCAGTCACCACGCCCGAGTAATGAACCTCCACAGCCCCCAGCACGAACCTGACCCGCCAGCAAATCGAGACATTGGTTTGTCGATAGACCATCCCTTTGCTAGATCAGTGGACATTAGATATTGAATGAAGTTACCGCTTCAACCCAGAAAACGGCGAATGAATCCGTCTGCAACTTGCAATGCAAAAGCCGGCTTCTTCTTCAACAACGCATGGTGGTGATGACGATACCATCTAATAGCCCTGGCACGAGGCTTCACAGTTCAGCGATGATCTTCTTCTTTCCGGCTGCAACGAATCACCAAGCCTCGACTTGAGGCGGGCTAAGAACGAGTGACCGCCATCATATCATTGACGAGTAAAGTGGCATTCAGTCATCCCGACACTACAGTCTGAGCAGAACAGACGGATGAGCTCTACCCGCCAACTAGGCTTCTGTGGCGCGCGGCCGGCCTTATTCTCTCCTAGCTGACTGTGCAGATCTGCCTGTCCGGCATCGACTATTTTGCCATTTACGGCTTCATCATTGACTACCTAGTACCTACTGCTTCGATCACCGCCCCGCATCACACCGACAAATGCAACCCATCTCTCACCAATGCACCAAGGCGAGGCGGAATATGTAAGCTGCACGCGGCCAGAACGTCGGCGATGCTAAGGTTACGATGCGCTTGCGAATACAGATACAACAGGTCACAAACCTGCTGTCAGTGTTTGACCGGCTTCTCGGCTAGTGTACTCGAGGTTCATCAGCCACGTTCCAACGTTGCACTGTTCCACCATCCCAGAACTCGGCAACTCAATTGCTCGACAAGCCATCGACCTTCCCCCCTCAGCTCAACCTCCCAAACGATATTCAAAGGGATTCTTCTCTTGTTACACGGTGCCCAGACTTTCCTCGTGAAGCATTGGGGGTGGGGTATACGAACAGAACTGCAATTGACCACATCCAAGTCGGACGCGCAGAATTCGGACCACGAAAACCTTGTACACGCTTTGGGCACTTTCGTCGCTCCTTGAATTCCAGTCTGGCTGCAGCCCCATCCTGGCTCTTGGCCATTCTCGCCTCAATTTGAGGCTGCACCTTCGCCTCGGAGCTCATCGAGCCCAGTCAGGTTCGCATCTCAGGCTCTGCAGTTCACCATGTACGCTTCAACCACACATAGCCGGAGGGCGAGTTACCAGAGGTGCTTAGTCGCACAATGAATTTCAAATCGGTTCCCTCTGCATTGCACCACTATGCAATTCTTCTTTTCACGACATCAGTCTAGCTTTTCGACGAGGGGGTTTGATTGCCGGCTTGGGCTTGATTGCCGACTCCGCACCAGAGCTTATGTTGTAACAACATTTCACGTCTCCTGGCAACTCTTCCGCATGAGTTTGGCAGGCTGTTTTCGTGTCAGGCCCGACCGAGAACCTCTCAAGCGTTTACAGGGGCACCGACCGCTTGCTTTAATCACAGGACAACCCTGGTCTTGTTCACGCTTTCGTCGGAAAATCAACCCTGATTGGGCACATGGGAGTGAGTATCCTCTGAGCGCCTCACCCCATCGACTAGCGTCAAATTGCCTGGCGGTTCGCTTTACTGGTCCTTTGGAACAGATGTCGGCAGGGAGCACACGTGGGAGAAGGAGGCATCAAGTCTCATCTTCTCTGACCAGTTTGAAGGGCCGAACACACAGACATGAGCCAGTCAAACAACCAAACGGCCCGCTCGCGATTGAGCACTTTTGTGATCAATGTTTGACAGACTTTATTTATGCCACCTCGGTCTCGTTTGGTCACAACAGCGTAACCAGGGGCACTTGCACGTATTCCACGTGCGCCGCCGGTGTTCTCGCTCGGCCAAAAGCAGTCATTCTGCAGCACTGTAATCGAAGATGAGCAGGAAAGAGCGCCTTGCAAACAAGGCAGCCTTACTGAGGGCTGTCTGATAAGATCCTCCGCCAGAAAGCCTTACGTCTGATTACTCTGCTCAGGTGATATTCTCGTCAATATCTCCTGCCAGACTTCCTTATCAGCTTCCTGAAAAAGACAAGCTCCCATGCACGTCGACCTCGTTGGATGTCCTGTCTCTGGCTTGGCGCAAGATCGCAACTCCGGCCTTCACGCCACTGCTCGGCGCTTAGCTGGCTGGTCTCTTATTTTGGCCAGGCAGTTCAGGCCGGGATGCAGTACATTCTCCGATGAAGACCTACGAGGCCCGCCTTTGCGACAACGGCCCACTTTTGAGCCGGCAAATCATACAAACACCCCAGCAGCAGTTAGAAGAGACGTGCATTTCGACGATGGCCAATAGAAATCAACAATGCGGTCCTCGTATGCGTACTGAGTCCATGGACATTGCACACAGCTGGAGATGAATTATGCCGTTCCTAAGATTGTCATCTTCGGCTCGGCGACATCGCTAGAAGCCCGTTTCATGACATCCGAGACCAATTTGTACTCCGTGTGTTCAAACAGGGGCATGTTCAGCTTCTGAGAACCGTGTCGGAACATTTTGGTCCGTCGATTGTTCGGACAGTGTACTCGGTCCTCTCAGGGTCCTTTAATGATGCTTGCCGGTTATGGCCAACATAGAACATGATTGACCTTCGGGACTCCGACGCACAACGTGTCTGTCTGGTCTTTCTAGAATTTCACCAGCCAGGCCGGTAACTTCAGGCGAATGGCTGGCCCTCGACTTCATAGGCAACGTGTCCCACGCGTCGACACTCGAAAAGGGTGTGCTGGGCTTTTCGAGGGTGTCCCGAATGTTTCATGTCGCCTCTTGAAAAGTCCCGTACCTGACTAGTGTTTTTTGCTCACAATACGCAGGCAGTTCTGACTTTTTGATTTTGTAATCGCATTCTGCCGCTGAGGAGTCGAGAAACTTTTTGAGGGGGAGGAGATCGGCTTAGATCTGGGACGAACGGAGGCTTCGTGACGCATAATTCACCCAGAGTTTTGCCTCGCAACGTCCCCCTTCAAGAAACTTGAGGAAGAGGGGGGTTAAGGTGTAAAGTGGCAAGGGAAAGGTACTGCTTTCGGCTTGGAATTAGAGGTGTGGTAACAATGGCCAACGATTCGGTCGAGCTTTCTTTTCGCCACGTGCTTGAGGAGACACATGTTCCGGGATGTGTGTTTTGCGGGTTCGGAAACAACGTCTAATGTCGTTTTCTCGATAAGGAAACTGTAAGCCAGCCCATGAGCTGTGTCCCTGGTTTCTTGTCTCTCTGCACCATTTGTATTGTACACCTCGGTTTCTCAGGACTTTCTCTACGTCGTTTTGGGTGTGAGTTGGACTTTGATTTGGTAGTGCAGGTGAGCTGAGCATTTCAAGCAAGGGACGTCTGGGATAGGTGCCAAGGAGGCAGGACCGAGAAGCAGTGGGCGGTTGATGTGTGGGAAACCGTCCAAGAGGTGGTTTGTCGGGCGGTTTATACGAAGATTGTCCGTAGTCCGGGCGGCTCGTCTGCAACAGCTGGTCGTCAGTGGTTCGGCATGACATCCGACCGGTCCAGTTGCACCGGTGTGAGGCGGCCCGGACCATTCGTCCGGCGCGCGGCCGAACAGCCCCGTAATTTCGGGTTACATGATGCCAAAAACAACAACGTGGCGCAGGTGACCCGCATCATACCAAGGATCTTTTTGGGAATTTTGTGAGCTTCTCCAGGGGTATTTCCAATCGTGACAAAGCTTATGGTGCTGAATACACTGTCTCGAAGAGGGCAGGATCACAGGCTGCAGTCATCTACCGCGCGGGATGGGTTCCTGCGACATGAGGATCAGCGAATTTGCGTTTTGAGATTAATGATGATGATGATTACACGATGAGGCATTGTTTGCGAGAGACATATGGTGAGCGAGCTCTTTCCGGGTTCCCAGATGGATCGCGCCCCCAAAGCAGTCTCCTGATCGTGTCGCTCTCAAGGAGACCGGCCTTGTTGGTATGGCATCATTACGAAAGACACGGTAGCGCCCTGATACAAGCCATACGCCATCGTAACGAGAGGTTTGAGATGAGAGACAAGCAGGACTCGCCATCGGGCTCTGGGCATGAGAGAAGGATAAATGTCGCAACGTCCTCCACCCTTGGATTTGAGAATCTCGTCTTGTCAACCACCAGACACGACATCAATCCACAAACAGTACCAAGACCCAACTCATCACGATACGATATACTAGAACGACGTCGAGAATATCCCCAGCACCATGATCCCCACGAAGCCCATTGTTCTCTACGGCCACAGTACGTTTCAAAAGACAACTCACCACCCTTGAGCCCAGATCCTGATGTCCAGTCGCCAGGTTACTGCCCCAACCCGGCAAAAGTGGTCATGATTCTCGAGGAGCTCAAGATACCGTATGAACATGTACGTCCTAGATCTCGTCCTACTGTTCCATGCTTGGTTCACACCACACCGTCCCTGGTCCTAAGCGTCCAACCTCAACTGCCATGTTCCCATATTGCAAGGCAGATCGAGAACCGTCTCTCACGAGATAGATAGCCTTCCGACCCGGAAGATAAAAAGCTTTCTTTACTCACTCCAAAAAAAAAAACTAGATCACCATTGACCTGAGCGTCGTCAAAGAGGAACCCTACATCTCCATCAACCCAAACGGCCGCCTCCCCGCTATCAAGGATCCGAACACGGGCGTCATCCTCTGGGAGTCGGGCGCCATCGTCGAGTACCTTGTCGAGACGTACGACAACGAGGGTGTGCTGTCCCTTGTGTCTCTTGAGGACAGATTTCATCTGAAGCAGTGGTTGCATTTTCAAATGTCGGGCCAGGTACGTTTTTTTTCTATTTGCTTACAACTTGTATTTGTATGCGTTCCCTCGTTTTTCGCTCCTGTTATGTACATGCCATTACTAGTGTTATTCAACGGCATAGTACGAATTGTTGGTTTCAAAAACAACAACAATAAAAGTCTTACCGATGCTCATCTAGGGGCCGTACTTTGGCCAGCTCGGGTGGTTCAAGCTCTTCCACCCCGAAGACGTCCCGAGCGCCAAGGAGAGGTACGAGGAGCAGACCGTCCGCGTCCTTTCTGTCCTCGATCGTGCTCTCAAGGGGAGAAAGTTTCTCGTTGGAGACAAAGCGTACGTTGAAAAATAAATAAATGGGGTTCTCTTCCCCCCCTCCCCGCCTCTTCCGAACAATACATACCCCTTTTCCCCTTTTCATCTGGATCTCTGCATGCTATGAATAGCACTTGGCTTCCGCGCCTCTCCACTTTCCCCAGAAAAAAAAACCACCACCCACTATTCCGATCCATCCAGAGCTTCCGTGATCTACATCTGCGCATGAACTGACGACGATGGCTTCAGGACCTACGCCGACATTGCTTTCATGCCGTGGGACTATCTCGCCAGAGTCCTCCTCGGCGAGGGGTGGAATGACAAGTGGGAGGTCGACTCCAAGTATCCCGACTACGTCGCCTGGGCTGAGAGGATCCGCGCCCGGCCTGTCGTCAAGAATACCCTGGAGGTCATGGGAAAACAGCGGGCCGATGAGGAGGAGCAGGCTAACGCTCAGGAGTGAGTAACGGAGTCAAGTCGTATGTGAGAGCTGGCTGCAAATTCGTGTATGTGTTGTCGCACAGGGAGTCAAGAACCGTTTTCTCTCCAGTAGGGACCTATATGGGATTGCCTGTATGTGAATATATGCAAATGAAAACATGACGGCTTTGGAAGCATTCCGCCTTTTCCTCAGCCATCCTCCTGGTTCACGAGGGACACCATCAACTGAACCGGCGAAGAGGGGACAAGGCAACCTAGTCTTCCCAGATCGCAACCTTGGCCTTCTCAGCCTCCTCCTGCCGGCGCTTCTCGGCAACCTTTTCTTCCTCTCTGCGTTTCCGCTCCTTCTCCTTGACAGCCTTGTCGTAGGCCCTCTGCTCCTCGGTCATCCGAGGCACCTTCACGCCCAGGGCGCTGGCAATCATGCGCCGTGCCACGGCGTCTGTCTTTTCTGGCCTGGGGCGCGATGAGGCGTCCGGACCACCCGAGGACGCGGCAGCAGGAGTGGAGTCGACGTTGCCGTAGAGGTTGGGGAAGGACTTGTCCGCGGCGTTGTACGTCGGTGAGATGGGGGTCGGCGGCGGGGCCTTGGCGCCGTCGCTCTTTGGTTCCGCGGCCTCTTCCTCTTCCTCCTCTTCCTCCTCCTCGTCTAGGTCCTCGTCTTCCCAGGAGTCCGCCACGGTCTCTTTGGTCTTTTTCGTGGATGGTGCTTTACTGTTACCGTTTATTGAGAGCTTGGAGAGCGAGGACGTGACGTCTGACTTTCGACTTGAGGAAGGCATGATGATGCGAGTGTATGTGTATGTGTAGACAGATGAAAAGGGGGTGAGACAGATGATGTGAGAGTGAGAAAGACAAAGAGAGGGGACAGGATGTGGCTTGAGAAGGACAGGAGGTTGAGATAGCCGGGAGCCCGGGTGCGGTTCCGTCGGGAAGCGAGGTAAAGAGTGGGTAAGGTTCCGGGTAGCAGGGAAGGTCGAACGGTGGAAAACGGGGCGGTGGTCTTTTGGAGACGTTGACGAAGGAACAAGAGGGTGAGGAGCAGCTTGCAGCCGGAGTGAAGTTGGATACTGGAGAGCGATCCTTCGAGACAACTACGAGGAGACCAGGGTCTGATGAAAGTACGGTTCACCCCGTTCGTGCGTTAGCGAGGCTCCTCGAAAAAGCAGGATGGGAGAAAGGAGAAGGATAATAGCAGGAAACAAGTTCTGGTAGACAGCTTGAGGTAACTCGAAATGGCCTCGGCTCCTCTCAGGTGTGCGAACGGACTGCTGGTAGACGGGACGGCGGGACTTGGATGGGCTGTTTGTTCTTCGAACCCTTTCCCATTGTGGGGTTGGTTGGTTGGCACGCCTTCCCCGCAACGAGTCAGAGGCAGTTAATAGACAGTACGAATTGAGCAATTCGTCGACACATGGCTGCCCCTCACCGAAAAGTTGCTTTCGGTACCTACCTAGGTACGGAACCAGGGCACCAACCACTGCCGTGTCCGGCTGGCCCACGCATCAATCTGTGGGGGGGAGGTCGTTTTGAACTTCTGGAGCACCTCATTATGTAAGCTGCCCCGCCGGCAAACGGGGCCGAAGTTCTTCCTGGTTCCAGAGCCAACTCCCGCCTCCGCCGCGCGCTGAGTGGCCAGGCACAATCGGCAACGTCAGTGCTCATTGATTTTTTTGGTGATGTCGTTTACTCTTTAGTCTCCCCCCCGACTGTCTCCATAATAGCTTGAAAGCCTACCTACTCAACTCACCTACACTCTGTATTTGTAAGGCGTCAGGAGGCGATGCGCACCGCGATTTAGGACTCGGAGTCCTTTTCACCCCCCCTTCTGCTGCAAAAACACAAACACCTGCAACCGTTCCAGTTGCCATTGTAGCACTCCCCATCTCTTTTGTTTTGTCAACATTTTGAGCAAATCTAGCGGCACACCTAATTCGCCCTCGGCCCTGAATTACCCGCTCACTACGTGCCGCGACCGGAGCTTCTTCCAAGTCGACTGGCAAAACCTCCCCCAACCGCCGGCAACATGGTGATGCGATCGAGCTTCCCGAGGCGCCTGACCCTCGGCCGTCCGGCAACCTTACTCAGAAATCCCTACGCGGCCTCGAGTAGCAGGTTACCCGCAGCGAGCACTCCGAGGTGCCTTGCATCTACCTTCGACCGCCTTCTCCTCACCACCCGCCCGTCCCAGCGAGCCGTCGCCCCGTTCTCAACGTCGACACGATGGCTGAAGGAAGAGGATAACAGCTTCTTTGATCGTGCCGTCGAGCCTCTGTCCGAGGAGGAACAAAAAGCGAACCTGAAGCATCAGCGCGAGCTCGAGGAGAAGGAGTTGGCCGAGGCCAAGAGCTCCAACTCCGAGTCATCCGCCAAGGGCGAGGGCTCGGGAGCTGCACAGGATGGCAAAACCGGTAGCGCGGCCGGTGGTTCATCAGCGGGATCCGGCGGTGGCGACGACAAGGGTGACGGCAGTGGCAGACGCGGACGCAGAGCCTCTGACAAGAGCCTGCAGAAGCCCGTTGTGCCCGACGTCTACCCCCAAGTCCTTGCTATCCCGATCGCGAAGCGGCCTCTGTTTCCAGGGTTTTACAAAGCTATTACCATCAAGGACCCGAACGTCGCCGCGGCCATCACCGAGATGATTAAGAGAGGCCAGCCGTATGTCGGTGCCTTTTTGTTCAAGGACGAGAATCAAGACGAGGACGTTATCCGTAATGTCGATGACGTCTACGATACCGGTGTCTTTGCGCAGATCACGAGTGCGTTCCCCATGCACGGGGAGCAGGGCAGCCTGACGGCCATCCTGTATCCTCACCGCCGTATCCGCCTTTCGAGCCTGCTGCCGCCGGGAACGGAGGACAAGAAGCCGAGCGAGGCCAAGGTCGAGCCGGTGCTCGAACCGATACCCTCGAAGCCCACTGATGAGGAGGCCCAACAAGAGAAGAAGGGCGACGTCGTTGCCAGCTTCGAGGAGAGTGCCGTGGCTCCCAAAGCCGACCAAGCGGCGGAGAAGTACGAGCCAACGGCGTTCCTCAAGAGATACCCCGTCAGTCTTGTCAACGTGGAGAACTTGACTGAGGAGCCCTACGACCCCAAGAGTGCCGTCATCCGCGCCGTCACAAACGAGATCGTCAACGTGTTCAAGGAGGTCGCTACAATGAACAGCCTTTTCCGTGATCAAATCTCGACATTTTCAATGAGCCAATCCACCGGCAACGTCACGTCCGAACCGGCGAAGCTCGCAGACTTTGCCGCCGCCGTTTCTTCAGGCGAGCAGGGCGAGCTCCAGGAGGTCCTGTCGAGTCTTAACGTGGAGGAGAGAATGCAAAAGGCGCTAATTGTCTTGAAGAAGGAGCTCATGAATGCACAGCTCCAGTCCAAGATCACCAAGGACGTTGAGAGTAAGATTACTAAGCGTCAGCGGGAGTACTGGTTGATGGAGCAGATGAAGGGCATCCGTCGCGAACTGGGCCTCGAGTCCGATGGTAAAGACAAGCTGGTCGAGAAGTTCAAGGAGAAGGCCAACAACCTGGCGATGCCCGAGGCCGTGCGCAAGGTGTTTGACGACGAGATCAATAAGCTTGCCCATCTCGAGCCCGCAGCATCCGAGTTCAACGTCACGCGAAACTACCTGGACTGGCTGACGCAGATCCCCTGGGGCCAGCGCAGCGCGGAGAATTTTGGTATCCAAAACGCCATGACGGTCCTGGATGAGGACCATTACGGGCTCAAGGATGTCAAGGACCGCATCCTGGAATTCATCGCCGTCGGCAAGCTACGTGGCACAGTCGAGGGCAAGATTATCTGCTTCGTCGGCCCCCCCGGTGTCGGAAAGACGTCAATCGGCAAGTCGATTGCCCGAGCTCTCAACCGCCAGTACTACCGATTCAGCGTCGGTGGTCTGACGGACGTGGCTGAAATCAAGGGTCACCGGAGAACCTACGTCGGCGCCCTACCCGGTCGCATCATCCAGGCGTTGAAGAAGTGCCAGACGGAGAACCCTCTGATCCTCATTGACGAAATCGACAAGATTGGCCGCGGCTACCAAGGCGACCCTTCGTCGGCTCTGCTCGAGCTGCTCGATCCCGAGCAGAACAGCTCCTTCTTGGACCACTACATGGATGTCCCCGTCGACCTGTCCAAGGTCCTCTTCGTCTGCACCGCCAACATGACGGACACCATCCCGAGACCCCTCCTCGACCGCATGGAGCTCATCCAGCTGTCGGGCTATGTTGCTGACGAGAAGAAGGCCATCGCCGACAAGTACCTCGCCCCGGCCGCTCGCGAAGCCGCAGGCCTGGCCAATGCCGACGTCACGCTCAGCGAGGAGGCCATCGAGGAGCTCATCAAGTCGTACGCCCGCGAGTCTGGCGTTCGCAACCTCAAGAAGCAGATTGAAAAGGTCTACCGGAAATCCGCGCTCAAGATCGTCCAGGACCTCGGCGAGGAGGTGCTCCCCGAGAAGGAGGCCCTGACCGAGGACGGTAAGGAGGCGCTCGAGGCGTCGGAGAAGAATGCCGAGGAGGCGCGCGAGACGGGCGAGCAGCCGGCCGAGACGCCGACGGCCGAGAAGCCCCGTGTTGCCCTCAACGTGCCCGACACCGTCCACGTCACGATCGGCAAGGAGAACCTCGTCGACTACGTCGGACCCCCCGTCTTCACCTCGGACCGCCTCTACGAGGTCAACCCCGCCGGCGTGGCGATGGGCCTCGCGTGGACCCAGATGGGCGGCGCCGCCATGTACATCGAGTCCATCCTCCAAGCCCCGCTTCGGCCGAGCAGCAGACCGGGCCTCGAGATCACGGGTAACCTAAAGAACGTTATGAAGGAGTCGACGACCATCGCCTACTCGTTTGCGAAATCCCTCATGGTCAAGGACTTCCCCGACAACCACTTCTTCGACAAGGCCAGGCTGCATCTACACGTACCCGACGGCGCCGTCTCCAAGGATGGCCCCTCGGCCGGCATCACAATGGCCACCTCGTTGCTTTCCCTCGCCCTCGACACTCCCGTCAACCCCACCGTCGCCATGACGGGCGAGCTCACCCTCACCGGCAAGGTCCTGCGCATCGGCGGACTGCGCGAGAAGACCGTCGCCGCGCGCCGCGCGGGTTGCAAGATGATCATCTTCCCCAAGGATTGCATGTCCGACTGGCTAGAGCTCCCAGAGGTAAGGCATTCGTCAACTTCACTACCCAAGGCGATTCACGCAATGACCACAGATCACAAGCTAACATGTCACTATAGAACATCAAGGAAGGCATCGAGGGCAAGCCCGTCGCGTGGTACTCTGACGTCTTTGACCTCATCTTCCCGGAGCTCGACCGCGAGGCCGCCAACAAGTGCAAGACGTGCGAATGGAAGAAGGACCAGGACGACAAGAAGAAGAAGGACAAGAAGAAGAAGAGGGACGACTCTGACGATGAGGACGACGACTAGACTCAACTCGCCTCCTCCGATTATCACGGAGAAGAAAATCAAGAAAGATTTTACGACATTGCTCACTCGATAGATGGTTTCCAACCCATTCATATCGCCAGTCTCTGCCCCCACCCTTTTTGGGGTGACCCGCCCCTGCACCTAACCCCCAAATCCTGTCGACCGGTCTCCGTCTTCCTAATACAGAGCGTCCGCCATATCGGTAGCTCCGAGCCGGTGGGGGCTACAGACGCGCCGGTGGGAGGAGTTTGGCGAGGCAAATGGTATCCGAGGGGCGGATGACTGACTGGATGGACTGTCTGGTGGGAAAGAAGAGATAACCAGAGCCGGACGGACGATTAGACGAAACCGCATAAAAACGTCACGGCACATCGACACACACACACAAACCCCCCTCTCCGGTACTGCATCTCTACTCTAGATGGTTCTTTTTTCTATTTTAATTGTTTGACTGGTTGCCGTTTTCAGGCGGTGCTGTTGGGGAGAACAGCCGGACTCGGCTTTGTAAGACTAGGGTTGCAGCGAAACCCAATTGCATAGGATTGTTAGATTGCGCAGCAGTCAGTCTCGCGCATAGGCAGTGGCGGCTGTGAAGGGAATAGCAGGGCGCGCGATGCTTGCATATGGTAGCTCGCTTTCGGGACAGGCCAGAGGAAGCGAATTCTTGTATATTACCACCCCTTGTCGTGAGTTGTCCGTCGCATGGCACTCGGCGAGCAGCCACATATGGAAGCTTGTTTCCTCCCCAATGAGTGAGTCGTGGCATGAGTAGCAGTTCTTTAGTGCCAGCACTGCCCTTCGATTGGTTTTCCGATGGCCGGGGGTGTGGTGACTTCCCGCAGATGCCGTTCGAGGCGAGCAACTACATGTGGAGCGGAAGCCAAGGAGGGAGAGGACCAGCTTGCCGGAAACGCTGTCGCTTGCAGATGCGGCCGACCTGACCACCATGTATGTACGTCAACGGCCGCAGCGATGACGCTGGCGAGACGGCGGTGCCGCGCATGTTGGTTGCCAATCGCGGGGCAGAGTTGTAGCCTTGGGAGTATCGAACGGTGGAGCGTACGTCTCCGTGCCGCCGGAGTGCAGGACACCAGTCTTCGCGTTTGTGATATATGATGAACGTTACAGTACGGTAGAGAACCGAGTCATGGTGACATATTCTGTGTGCCTCATTGTGGCCCAATCCGTTGCAGCTAGAGGACCCGACGACGTCGACATCGAATGTCGTCCAGATTGGTGACAACGCTTTTACACTAGCATCTTGGTTTGACAGCGCGGTGGGGTGGGTTCCTCAGGGTCTGACCCGGTGTGCCACGCCCATCCGTCCACGCGGGATCGGTGGGGTTCGCGGGAAGACATCCAGACTGGCTGGGATGTGTCAAAAGGGCAAATAACACGACCCTTGTATCGTTTTCTGCCCTCTGGTCTCGCCACTGATCATCGATCGTTCATCTCTCAAGCCGGCTTTTCGGTGCGCCAGACACGGGAGATCTCCAGGTCGGTTGCGATGCGGCGCTTGACGAGGCATGGTCATGCCTGCTTCTGGCGCTTGAAGCAACGAACAGGATGGCGGGAGGTGGCGGGAGAGGTTGCAACAAAAAAAGGACATCACCATCCGGGCTTCTAGGAGCTCATAGCGACTCGGAGAGTGCATATGTCAGGCAGGCGTTTGCGAATTTGAACACCTTGATGTAAGCGTGAGCTTGGCAAGAGATACAAGCCATCTCACAGGACAAATTGCCAGCCTGTCAACAGCAAGACAGCCTCATCATTTGGGCTGCGTCGATGCCTAAATGCATACAGCGCGTGGAAGACGCACCCCTGACCCGGCCGCTGATGCTAGCCAACAGACGGTGCGGATACCCGAGGCCCTCCAACACCTTTATTGCTATGGTATCCGTAAGCTCGCTCTATTCAAACGCATCAACGGTCTCGAGGTAGGCCGTCGTCGTTCGTTCGTCGAATTTGCAGGGACACAGTTGAACAGACAGCCCATGAGCCTTGAATGCTTGACGAGAGGGTGGTGCTGCAACCGACCTCAAGCTCACAGGGTAATTCTGAATGACGCCGAGCCAGTTCGTTCGTTCGTCCGCTTATGCATGCATCACAGTGCCATGCTACGGTTCTATCGTCTGTGGTAATCATTTGCTGTCGTGCCACAAGGTAGTGTCAGACAGTGGAGGTCGAAAGTATGCCCGGCATCGTTGATTGGCAATGTGCTGGCCTCCAGGCTGCGGACGAAGATGCTGGGTCGTGCAGTAGGCGGCTTCGACGCAGAAGAGCAGCGAGCACGTGGGTATGTCGTCCTTCTAGCTTGATGCTTTGAGGGGCAGAGTTCGACGCAGTTCGATGCAACAAAACGGAGAAGATGCATCAGTGAGATTGTGCAATGACGGAATCTTTGACGCAGGTGGGTAAGCGAAGTGTGTCTCAATAAGCCATCATACGTGAGAGATATCGGGCCAAAGTCTTCCGTATAACCCATTGACTCTCAATGGAAGTAAGCATTTTGGTGAGACTGGTAGTTTTCGTGTCGTTCTCGAACTGGAAGTGACTAGTGCGAAATCGGCCAAATATCCCTGATCCAGTTCTCTGAGATAATTAGCCAACCCTTGAGCGATTGACTCATCAATTGACCAAGGTAACGAAGCATCTCAGGGCTCGGCGATGACTACTTTATGAGATACCCCCCAGTGCCCTGACTTAAGCGTCAGCGGCTGTATTCTCGAAATCGCTGGGCGTATCCGATCTTAAGCTGTGGGCCGGATTGGAACGAAAAGGGCGGTCAATAGATGAATCCAAGGCCAATTGATTAAGGCGGAGGCCTGCAGTGATGATGTGGATGTTTGCAGGTTTGAAAGAGAGGGTTTGGATGCGAGCCCAACGAACCCAAAGCCCACAGAATAATAAGTCGGGATCCAATCGCCAGAGGAGGGCTGGATTCGGAGGTCATCGTACATGAGACGAGATGCGCTAAGAGGAGGAGCATGGGGAAGAGTTCGTGAAGGAGGGCGGCCTCGGGCTCCAGCTGAGTTGTCGCTCTGGGTCCCACGGTCCCGGACTCAGCTCGCCTCGACTTTGTCTTAGGATGAGATACCCAGCGTTGGCAGAGAACGGATGAAGTGACGATGAAGGAAGAAGGATGGTCGTCAAAGTGTTGGACTGCCTGCGTTGGCATGATGTCAGGAACCTTGGAATGGTCACGATGCACCTCTGAACCAACACCACTTGGAAGGCATTTCCATCCCGAAACGGCACGTTATCCAACGGGATCGAGAACCCCATCAGCTCCAAATCAACGAGGTTCAACGCCCAAGTGGAAACATCGGGGCAGCCAGCGCATCAGAGTTGGGAGAGTCCCACCCGCCTCTTCCAGAAATGGCCAAGCTTCCCCGCCAGGAGCGCCCTCCCGCCTTAGTAGCGCAACCGTCCATCTTGGGTCCGGGAAGCTACCTAAGGAAGGAAGGCAGGCACCTTCCATCTAGGCATAGAAGGTAAGGCAGGCAAGAGCCAACAAGACAACATGAAGAAAAAGGAGAAGGAGTATGTCCAGATGGAAGGAAGCCTTCCAACTGATCGTCTGTATCAGTAGTGACAGTGACAAACTCGACAAGTCGGCTGGGGAAGGTACCAACTAGGTGAGGTTCCTTACTGACTGACTGACTGGGTAAGTGAGGTACCCATTCAGTCACAACACCAAGCACCTTAGTGTCCGCTCATACTCTGACCTAGGTACCTAGGTAGGTTCCCCGTCAGCCATTGACAATGAGAGCCTCGACTTTCACTGGCCACGTCCTTTTCTCCCCCCATGGAACACTCTCACTGTGCTCTTTCAGTGGCCTCGTTACTTCAAATGCACATATACCTACATAAAGTATGTGAAGAGCGCCACTAGGGCTCCCGTTCCTTCGCCTGGCCTTTCTATTGGCACGGGAGCTTGACAAGGCCTCACCCGGCGCCCAGCCTCCCAGCCTCTCGTTAGAGTTGCGGCAAACCAGAAACACGACCTGGTGGGACCCGATATTGTCCTCGCAACGGCCCTGTTCACCTCACGCGCTTCTCCTGCATGCGCTTGCACTACTCTGGATACAGCTCCTCTTTGCAGACTCGAGGTCGTACCTTGGTAGCCTAGGTAGACAGTAGGGAGAAAGAAGAAGAAAAAGGAAAACTGCAAAAGACGCAGCCGCTGAACAACCCCACGACGTCCATTGTGTGTCCACGGCAACCGTCAACGGTGCCCCTCCCCCTCTTCCTCTTCTCGAACACCCCGGTCATCTTCTTGCCGCCCGATTTCCGTACAAATTATCCAGAGTCCAACGCTCGCCTCACCTCATCCAGCCTGCCAACCACCACCACCACCACCTACGCTGCCGCCGCCCAGCACCTCACGACGCACGTCCGGTCAACGCGAACCCAGCCATACAAACCCAGACCCAACTTCAGCAGCATACGTCCACACATCCACCGTCCTCGTCAATTACTACATATTGCTCCCGATCGCCTATCTGTCCCTACGCCTACAACGTCCCCCGTCATCCTATCTCTTCTGACGCTATTCGTACATCCTTCTCGCCCAGTCCCAAAGCGATCAAACACAGCTTAACTACCGCAGTCTACACAGCCACCCCGCCTTGGCCCAAACGAATCACATCACTCGCCAAAGCCATCACCTTCATCGCTGAGAAAACAAGAAGGAGCAAAGCATATGCAGACGTGCAGACGTGCAGACGACTCGCCGCCGCCGCCCTCGTTTGCCTGACTGTCATCCAAAGTCAGCCCATCCGAGCTTGTTCAGTGCTTCGGACTCACCAAAACTCTCTCGAGACCAACCCCGGACGAAAAACACATGTGCTGCATCTAGCTCCTGCGCACACCAATTAACCATCGACAACCTCTTGATTGGGGGTTCGAGATTCCTCCAAAAGGCCCATCGAGTACCGGCCAATCCCTCGACCCCCGCTACCGTCACTCTCGTCTGAACATGGTCATCTCCGCCCTTGCTTCTCTGCACGTTTCCATCCTACCTCGTCACAGCGTCTGATGTCCCATCTTGCCTGCGGTTGCTTGCATCTAATCCGTCACGCTCGAGCTGCAACAACTGAACGTCCACAAAAGACGCCCGCCGTCATTCTTGTCTCGCGTTCCCCGCCCCCAGACACGTCCCAGCCGCTGCCAGTCCAATTTAGCTCCGACCTGGCACCAAGCCCGGTCAAAACCAGGCTGGAGGTTGACCGTCTTTCGCTTCTAGGCTCATCCTTGTCACCCGCCTGGTTCGCTCCCGGACCAGGTTTGCGGGACTATCCATAATTAACACCTCGTCCCCAGAACCACACCGCTTACAGCCTCACCTCACACCGTCAGCATCCTGACCGGTTCACCTAGACGACATCCAAAGTCCAACCGAGTTGGCAAGCTGTGCATCTCACTCAACTGATCATGGCGCAACCGAGTATGTCTTCTGCGAAACCACCGCCTTCATCGGGCCATCAGTCCACCAGCTTTCTTCGTAAACTCTTCGGACGAAACAATGCGGCCCCGGCATCCGTCGGCCCGCTCCAGACCAAGGAGCCCGAACCCGAACCCGAGCTTGACCCCGACTCCGACGACCAGCAAAGTACTGGCCTGGGGCGTCGAGTCTCAAGAAAAGTCGTGCCCGGACTCCCTCGCGTGCAGACCTTCAAACGTCAACAGTCGGAACGCAGGAACAATCTCGCACCAGTTGAGCCGTCACCAGCAGAGAGGCGTGCTCTATCGGTGGACAGACGCGTGCAGCCGTCACGTACGGCGTCACAGACTCAGTCGTTTCCCCGAGCTAGCGCCCCGGACTTTCTCGAAAATGCGAACGAGGCCCAGTCTGCCCCATCTGCCCCCAGCAGCCCTGCAGAGGAAAAGGCCGAAGTCAGTCTGGGTCAGATGGTATCCCAAGTTGCAGCAGATCCCACGACAGATGAATTCCATGCGCACGAGGTGCAATCGAACTCGGACGCCCATTCAGTAACGACATCTCAATCTCACTACGAGGCTATGATTCACGATGAGCTTGAAAATGTTTGGATTCTCAACCTCAGCATGCACTTCCGGGACAAGTCCAAGAGGGAGAAGTTTTTTGTCACGTACCGAGAAACTCCGACCCATTGGCGTAGAGTAACCATATCTCTCGACTATCGCAATGCCCCAGATAATTCTCTTGAGATGGACCTACTCCACACCAAGTCTCAACGTGACAAAAGTTCCAAGATCTACGAAGCTATTAGAGATAGTCTGCAGGACATCCAATTTTACCCATCCGTCACCAATTTAAAACTCCAAACCACGGAAGGTCGTCTTCATGTTCATGTGGTTGAAGATGTCAATGTAAGTTGATGGGCTTCAACGGGAATCTATCAGTGCTAACGTGCGGCAGGAAATCATTCAGTACCCTACCTTCCGCCAAGTGCAGCACCTGGGATGTCGCAGGATAAGAGAAAGGGACATTGTCTTCGATTCTCACATGTCCGGCTTTGTCTACAAGGTGTCCGTTGGGGGAGAGGTACTCATCAAAAAGGAAATCCCAGGCCCCGACACTATTGACGAGTTCCTCTACGAGATCAACGCTTTGAACCGGCTCCGGTATTCAAGGAACATTATCCGATTTTATGGTGTCGTGGTTGATGATGACGACGAGCATGTCAAGGGACTGCTCATTAGCTACGCCGTCCATGGCGCGCTCATTGATGTCATTTACGACAACAAGCAGGAGTCAGAGTTGGGTCTGCCCTGGCCGATCCGTGAGAAGTGGGCACGCCAAGTCGTGCAGGGCTTGGCGGATATTCATGAATCTGGCTTTGTGCAGGGCGATTTCACTCTCTCAAACATTGTCATTGACGATGATGATGATGCCAAAATCATTGACATCAACAGAAGGGGCTGCCCGGTAGGCTGGGAGCCTCCTGAAGCAACGCCACTTATTGAAAGTAATCAGCGCATTTCCATGTACATCGGCGTCAAATCCGACCTTTATCAACTCGGCATGGTCTTGTGGGCATTGGCGGCACAGGATGATGAGCCTGAGGCCCAAGGACGGCCGCTACTACTCGGAGACGAATATATCGTTCCAGCTTGGTACCGGCAAATCGTAGACATTTGCCTGAGCGAAGATCCGCGCCTTCGATTGCAAGCCTCGTCTCTCATGTCTCTATTTCCGGAAACTGCGGACGGAGACGACATGGCACCCCAGTCAATCTCGGTAGACGATGGCTACACCATGCAGGAATACTTCGTGGACGGTTACCACGGCCACGCTAGGGTCAAGACCGTTCAGCCAGCTCACGACTGGTCGTGCGTAAATCTGGGCCAACCGTATGTCGATGAACCGGCAAGGGGCTTCTCACAGGACCCGTATTACTACACTAGAGGTCGCTCTCCCCCCAGTCCGCTGCCAAGTCATTATGGGCGTTGCGACTCACCTCACATGGGACGCAACGTCTCCAGCTGGGCTGAAGCTAGGAACATTGCACCATCATACAGCGATATTGGAGCAGACGAGGTCGATGATCAAAAGAGCGCAACACCGACAACAAGCAAGGATTCCATTGTTACACCTGAGCCATTGGAAGAGACAAGCAAGTCAGTCCAACAAAAGCTGGAAGCACTACAGTGGACGCCCCTGTCTAGTGACCTAGCCGCCCTGGATCGGGCTGAATTCGACCAGACGCCAGGACACGATGGCAAGAGACTCATTGGCGGAGAGTTAGCCGACACGCTCCGGAGTGATAAGTTGGAATCATCATATGCCACCGTCGATCCCGCTGAGACACGAACTATGATGGCCAGCCCTATGACGATCAAAAATACCGAAACAGATGAGAGAGACGAAGAGGAAGAGGAGGTGGGCATAAGAGAACTCGAAGGCATACAAGAGAGTTCTTCGAACGGAAAAGGGACAGCAGGGCAATCAGCGCCCAGAAAGACGGGGGAAACAGAACCCGAAGAAGAACTAAACAGAAAAGACCACATTTCAACCGAGCAAAGTAACATCACGACAGCGGACTCGACGGAAAAAGGCCGGGCTGTGGACGACCCGAAAGTCGACGAGACTGAGATTGAGACTGATGTCACCTCTCCGGCTGAACCAGGGCTCAAACCGACAACGCAAGAGGCGGCGGCGGCGGCGGCGGCGGAACCACCTACTGCTGCTCAGGCCCCCGCGGCAGACGATACCATGAATATTCAAAGGTTGGATACACCAGAACTCAAGGGGGTTGGAGCGGCATATATCAACACCAATGAGCAAACGATGCGAGAAAAGACGTCCCTTGATGATGACTTCGCAACGACGACAGATGCCCAGAAATGATGGGATGTAATATTAGGAGCTGGGGCAACCGCCGGCGAATTTGCATGGGCGCAGGTTGATTGTCTAGGTGTAGGGCGGCGCCATTTCTTCTTTTCTTTTTCTCAATGAAGATACTGCCAGCTTGGAATCGAGCTGGTGGTCCTCATATTCGTTCGTACGTGGCATAGCATTGGTGTAGATAGTCGGGACACTGTAAGTGGAATAGAAGATGACTTTAAATAACCTCCACCGTTATCACGACTCGGGACGTGAACCAAAATGTTATTGTGGCATGTTGTGCAGTCGAAACCAGGGCTCTAGCTGGACCAATTATTCAAGTTGGATGAGAATATGATTGTGGGCGCATAAACGACTCTGCAGCTCCACCAAGTGCTTTGTCCGGAGCGATGGCCTTACGTTGACTTCCGTATAACTGGCTGGACGACGAGATCAATGGTAAAGTGCGAGTCAAGGAAGATATGCGTGTAGGTTAAGACCAAAAGCATTCAGCGTTCGGCTTGGCGGTCTATTAGCGGAACACGGCCTGGATGTAAGAATAAGCAAATTTGGCGAGTCTGGACCTTGAACAGACCAAAGCGGTCCATAGGTTAGCAGGTCAGGTACTTGCAACAAGGGAGCTAGGTACAGCAGCTTGAAGGGCAAGCTTGGAGCTTAGGTCGCCTCACATCAGGTGCGGCTAAGGTAGAGCTCCGGGCAGCGGCTGTAATAAAGGTTGGGATGAAAAGTGCATCTGTCTGTTCCTTGAAGTTGGTGGGCGGATCGGGTGTGGCGTCGGCCAAGTGCGAGAGGGGGCGCCTCGCCAGATTGGGTTAGCACAGAAACGTTCCAGAATAGTCAGCCCAACCAGCTGAGACTCGAAACTTGAAAGACAGGCCTCGGGTTCTTTGCGATTGTGGACATGTCCATCGCGGGCCACCGATAATCAGGTTTAAGAGTGTGAGAGAACACGTGATCGCCTCCATCGCAATGAAGGGAGCATGGAGAATGCGAATGGCAAAAAGATGCCCGCCAAAGAGCCAGTAGCAGACAACCTCGGGACGATAGCCAGGCAAAGACAACTCTCATCCCTGTTGTGTCCCGCAGCTGGGGCGGAGGATTGCGGGGCAGGGTCCTGTTTCTGTTGGGGATGGGTCGGGATGCCGGAATGGGATGGGCGGATGTCGTCTTTCCCTCTAACAACTTCGCCGCGGAACGCGAGATCAAGGGCCGGACTGGGTGCGTCGCAAATTAACGAGTTTGTAGTTGCCGAGGATGCCTCTCCACACCGAAATCGAGCTGGCTCGTGGGTGTCATCAGTGATTCCTCGCCGCTGACCGAGAATGCTGGATAGATCGACCATGAAGGTAAGTGGGCGAGGCGGTTGGCGCAATCTTGGGTTCGACGACACGGTCGCCTCGGCGATAAGGAAGAGAGACAAGGCCGGCCCCTGTCGATGGAGGAGCCTTACCACAGGAAAGCTCGGGTGCGACGAGAGACTTCCGTCATTGAATGGAGCTCTGGTGGGGAACATGTTGAGGGCGGACGTGGATTGCACAAGCCGCCGCCACTGTTGATTATTCCCTTCTTTTGCTGGTCGTGTCTGTCAAGCCTATCTGCTGCTTCGGCACGTATATTTCTGCGCAAGATCCTGCGGGGACACATGGAGACGGGCTGGTTAGCCTGATGGCATGAGACACAGCCAATTTAGAGCTTGCGACTGGTGAGTCGCCTCAATCAGTTCCCTATGTTGACGGCTTCATTCATTTCGTGCGCCCTGGTCCAAGAACTAAGCATTGCCCCATTGTCGCCTGAAGGGCGGTAAACAGTTGTTGATGAAATGTCCTAATCGCAGTGTGATGGGCGGCTGCAGGTACAAAGTTACTGCAGGAAGTCCGGTGAGACAGAAAATAGAGGGAACGTGAAAGTCCATGGTCCGAAGGCTTACGGCGCTCGACGAGGCTCGAAACGTCTTTCGATTGCGTTGTAACTCGTCTAGAAGCCGAGCGCCGATGGTGATGCGCAAAACCTTGCCACCGTCGTGTGGATCTGGGGACACTGTCTGATTAAGAAGCGATCCTCAGTCTGGAAATGGTGTTCGACACGGCATAGGGTTGATGGGAAATGTGAATCTGAGTCCAATTGCGTCTGGTGGGTTCTGAGACGATGGCAAGTCTTCATTTCAGCCCTGGAGACACGCTGGAGTCGTGGGATCTGGAGGTAGAGTGGAGCTAACTTCCTAGAAAGGAATGGTCAAATCCAGCCGCCCAGCCGCCCATCTGCCCCGCCCCAGCGGCGGCCACATGGCAGGGGCTGTCCCCTGCTTCCGCCAATGAACGGCCCGTCATATTGAAAAGCGTTGGGGAACTTGTTGGGAGCCGGGACATTTTCTTCGGACCACATCTCGCGCGTGCTTACCAGTGATCCATTGCAGATTGACAACTTCAAGGCACTTTGCGGCATGGCGACAAACCCCAGAGCGTGCGGGACAGGGTGTCGTAAAAAGCCAACGGAAAGTGTGACCTGATCTGGGGCCTTTAATCGTCCTATCCTCGGCTGTGCGGAGTGGTCCTGCGCGTTGGCAGCCTCCGAATTTGCTTCTGATTATCGACTGTCGGGCTGTTCATGGCATGTTCTCTCTGTTCGCGTCGATATTGATGACATTGGGTCGGTTTTTGTTGGTCCAGTATTCATGTTGAAGAGTTCCTTCATGGAATATGGGCAACAGTTGGATCTGCCCTGCTTTAATCCCAACGAAGAATGATACATCTTTGACAGATGATGATGTTCTGCAAGTGGGCGTGAGGTTAGGAAAAAGTCATGCCAGTGGCGGACAGATGGAGGAAAGACATATTGTCTACAAACCTAGGTGGACGTTTCTCCAGGTTCAAGCATATTCGACACGCACACCGACTATCCATTGCTTACAGCCAGCCTGCCAGCCAGGTTGAGGAGGAGAGCAACTGGGTGTTTCGCATGCCGGTTTGGTAATCATTGGGTATAGCCAATTGCCTACACACAGTCAGGGAAACTACCTGTTTATTCATAGCTGTTAACAGTGATTGGCGTTAGCGCGAGGAGAAGGTCACTTCCTGATCTGGTCAGTTTACAACACACACTCATTGGGGCATCTGCAAGGGGGGATGGACATGCCCATCCCCGGGTTGGAAGCGAGGTACGGGTACTGTAGGTTCCTTTCACCTTCCGGCTTGTGGCAGGCGAGGAAAGTACAACATTTCTCCCGTCTACTGCCTGCCCTGCCAACCTGCTTTTTGCCTCGCCCAAAAGCAAGCAACCTAGTAAAGTACCTCACTGATCAGAGCATTCAGTGTTCCCGCCATTCGGTACTCGCGTCGTCCGGTACCTCTCGGGAAGGGCAGGACAACGAAATCCTGTGTGCGAGTCTTGCGTGGAAGCTTGTTGTTACCCCTTCCCGTCTGCCCATTTTCCGCCTACAAATCCCGGGCCCAGATCGAGAGAGTCCCGCCCTTTCCTCCCATCCAGCAAAAAAGTCAAGTCAAGTCTAACCCTACGACCCATGGAACCCATCTACCTTTGCATTTTTCGGCTGATTGTGACTTGACCTGGGTCTAAACTAACTGATCTGATTCACTGACACACACCCCCCCCTCCTCCCCACCACCATCCCACCCTTTCCACTCTCGTTTGCTGGGAATTTGAAGCTGGTGGGTGGCGGACACCTCGCTCAAAGGTACCCCAGCCTCCGTACCTGTCCCTTCGTACTGGGGCTCTTTCAACCTATCCTTTTCCCTTTATATATTTCACGACTGTTCACCCACCCCCTTCCACTCAGCTACTATTTCTTTAGACCTCTTCTGCACTCGAGAGTCCACCGCCCGCTTGGCCTTTGGATCAGCGAGCCTGATTGTCAATATTGCTTCTTCACCAAGCATCTTTTGGAGTTGTCTTCGAGTAGACAACTAGGATTACTCGTTTTCCGACCAAAATCTTCGATTTCCAGATTCTTTGCCTGTTGGCACCACAGTTCAAGATGTCGGCGACGACTTCATCTTCCGACGCCAAGGTCACCAAGGCCACCAAGGCTGAAAACTTCCCCGACGGCACTTCTGACTACATTCCTGCTCGTGCCAAAGCCTATGATACCAAAAAGCCCCATATGTTCGTCGGCCGCTTTCCCCAAAGAACGATTTTCGGTAGCAACTAACATTAGAACAGCTCAACCCAGCCTATCACTGCGAGCAACTGGTACAAGCACGTCAACTGGCTCAACACCACATTTATCCTGATTGTTCCCTTGATTGGGTTCATCTGCTCCTACTGGATCCCTCTCACATGGAAGACCGCTGTCTTCGCCGTTGTCTACTACTTCAACACTGGCCTCGGTATCACGGCCGGTTACCATCGTCTCTGGGCTCATCGTTCCTACAAGGCTAGCCTTCCCCTGAGAATCTACCTCGCCGCCGTCGGCGCCGGCGCCGTCGAGGGTTCCATCCGATGGTGGTCTCACGGACACCGTGCTCACCACCGCTACACCGATACCGACAAGGACCCGTACTCCGTCCGCAAGGGCCTCCTGTACAGCCACATTGGATGGATGGTCATGAAGCAGGACCCCAAGCGTATGGGCCGAACCGATATTTCCGATCTCAATGAGGATCCTGTCGTCATGTGGCAGCATGTTCACTTCATCAAGTGCGTCCTCGCCATGGGTGTCATCTTCCCCACGCTCTTCTGCGGCCTGGGCTGGGGTGACTGGCTTGGCGGATACGTCTATGGCGGCATCCTTCGCATCTTCGTCGTTCAGCAGGCCACCTTCTGCGTCAACTCTTTGGCCCACTGGCTCGGCGACCAGCCCTTCGACGACCGCAACTCACCTCGTGACCACGTCATCACTGCCCTCGTCACCCTCGGTGAGGGATACCACAACTTCCATCACGAGTTCCCCTCCGATTATCGCAATGCTATTCAGTGGTGGCAGTACGACCCAACCAAGTGGTGCATCTGGACTTGGAAACAGCTTGGCCTCGCCACCGATCTCAAGCAATTCCGCCAAAATGAGATTGAGAAGGGTCGTGTTCAGCAGCTTCAGAAGAAGCTTGACCAGAAGCGCGCGAAGCTCGACTGGGGTGTCCCCTTGGAGCAGCTGCCCGTCATTGACTGGGACGACTTCAAGGCGCAGGCGAAGAACGGCCGAGGCCTCGTTGCCATTGCTGGTGTTATTCACGACGTAACCGACTTTATTCAGGAGCACCCGGGTGGCAAGGCTCTCATTTCTTCTGCTGTCGGCAAAGATGCCACTGCCATTTTCAACGGTGGTGTCTACCTGCACTCGAACGCTGCCCACAACTTGCTTTCTACGATGCGTGTTGGTGTTCTTCGTGGCGGTTGCGAGGTTGAGATCTGGAAGCGTGCTCAGTACGAAAACAAAGACATGACCTATGTCACCGATTCAAGCGGCGAACGCATTGTCCGTGCAGGGGATCAGCTCACTCGCGTTGCTGTTCCCGTGGCAAGCGCCGATGCTGCATGAACGAGGCGACGGACAGGACAGTTTAATGACGATGGGAGGCTTGTTTGACACAAACAAATCGGGGCGAGTGATGCGGGAGCATTTGACTTTCATTACGGCAGATTAGTGTAAACGAGTTGGTCCTGCGGGGTTGCTCCGTTGAAACAATCGTTCTCACGGTTCATTGAAGCCGTTTTGGTGCCACGCCCCATGACACTTCAGCTTCGACTGAAAGTGGAAGCAACTGCCAACCTTACACTCTTGGGACATTTTTAGGCGTTTGTGGGGTCAGGCATTGCAGAGGGCGTTCACTACAACAGTAATGAGACACTGTTTAGACTAGAAAAATGGAAAGCCCAATACAAGGGCGAGAATGACACTTGACAACCTTCACTTCACATGAAACTCGAGCTTTCAGTATTGTGCGACGTGACGATTCTTGTAAATACAATTTTATCACGAAACATCGTCATCGAAACAAAATTACTGATTGTATTCCACGAAACCCATAATGTTAGACAGTGAGGTAAAGGATGCTGCAGGCCGCGAATGCCCAAGGCGAAGCTCACGGCCTTTTCCCTGACGTTTGACGAGGTTCATGAGTATACTCAGTTTCCACGCCAGATACCAGATATATCCTGAACCTAATCATCAAGAGCCGCAATCACATGCTAGTTCAAGTTCGTTTTCTTATTCGTACGCTTCAACATCTAACCAGTGGCTTCATACCGAGCCGTACGGGTACTATGTTAGATAACGTGGATCAGTGACCGCCTCAAGGTGGGGGGGGGGTTTGGTAGGCAGTCAACAAACAATTGGGGTGGAGACCCGGGCGAACGGCTCGGCCGCGGCACGGCGCCTCTCCAAGCTCGAGCAATGCTTACCTACGACCCGTGCCTACCCTCATGAGCTCCCAGTGTGTCTCATCCGGGCGAACCAGCGACTAGCGAAACCACAAGTGACACCACCCACCGACTACTAACTACTACAACCCAACTTCCTGTTTCCCAACAAAAAAAAAATATCAAATCCTTGAGAATCGACTACAGCCCAGTAAACCAAAGCCCGAAACCTCCACATAATAAAGATTGACATTCATGCGGGACCCTTCGCTACCGACGTAACACCAGTGCCTCTCATACATCCCTTTCCCCCTCCCCCCCCGGCCCTCACTAACTAACCAGACGATGAACAGGCGAAACAACACATGATAACTACATCTATTTGCCATAGCTGGCCGTTTACCTCGGGTGGGGGGAGGAGCTGTTCAACAACGACATCAAGTAGAACAAGGATAGCCCTACGATACGCCGCCTCCTCCTCTTCGCGACCCTTCTAGGTACATCCGCGCCACGTCGTATCTTATATCCTCCGCCGTCCTGCCATTTTTCCTTGGATAATTGGCAAGTCTGGGCAAGGGCTAGGTGCCTCGGGGACCGACGTGTGGTCATAAATGTACGTCCAGGGTCCCCGGACCACGACACATGAAAGTAGATCCATACGAGGAGGTATCATGACCGTCGTGCTGTCTAGTCCTGGTTGCAACGATGTACTTTCCATTCATCCCCCACTGTCCGAAGGTCGTTGCCTTCCGCAAGAGTAAGATGCCTAACTAGGTCTAATGCAATTCTAGTGATAACGCACACATTGACATAACCATGGAAGAACGATTCGAAATTGCCTCCCCACTTCCCCTCTCAACCGACCTTGTTCTCGTGGCTCTCATTATCGAGTCAAGAGACATTGAAGCTGTGGAATCGATCGCATTGTCACGCCGTTGAAAGCGTGAAAGGTGAGAATGCCTCCCCACCCCGACACCGACACTGCAGCCACCAAGCGAATGAGATTGTCGTGAGCTCATTCGCAAGCGCCTGTAGAAAAGAAGAAAAAAAAAAATCCCGTTGAGGCCTTGACCTCGTTCCACTCCATTGCTGGATTCCTGCTTCCCTATAGTTCCAAACGCCACGATGCTATGCTTGCGCAACGCAGAAATTCCACACCGCTAATTCGATCGAGTCTCATTTAAATAGGCTTCGCAGATCAAGCAGTCTCTGCCGGGCCGCTTCGCTCTTGTCGAAAACCCTGTCCTTTCTGTCCATGCTGAGACTTGCCAGCTTGTTCTTCTTCTCCTGCAGCTCGAGCATCTTCTCCTCGAAACTGTTGCGCATGATATAGCGCACCGTTCGAACCGGTCGCTTCTGGCCAAGACGATGAACACGGTCTACGGCTTGGGCCTCGGCCGCGGGGTTGTACTGAGGCTCCATTACGTAGACGTTGCTACCTGCAGTCAGGTTCAGGCCGAGCCCACCTGCTGTGATTGACACCAGGATGACGTGTACTGAATTGTCATCCCGGAAACTGTCCATCGCTTGGGTTCTCGCAATGCGCGTCATGCTGCCATCCAGTCTAACGTACTTCACACCGACATTGTCGAGAGCGACTTGTATCAAGTCGAGGTGCGAAGTCCACGTGGAAAACACCACCGATTTATACGGTGGCTCGTCGGGGTTCGTATCGCTCTCATCCTTCGACTTCAAGAGATCCTCGACCAAGGCCCTCGTCTTGGTGTGAGGACCCGTGTACTTTCCAAAGCTCTTGCGGCCGTTCGCTGCAGTCTTGTCCTTCGCAGGACCCTCGTGCTCCACTTTCAGTCGAGATCGACGAATGTCAACGTAGGCAGGCTTGATCACGGCGGAACAGATAGGGCAAGGTCCCATGGTCTGGCCTGGTGTGAGGAGTTGTCTAGCTTGTTCCTTGACACCCTTAATGCAGGAACCGCAGATGATGTGGAAGCAGGGCGTCATGTACCCAAGAATGTCCTCCTGCCCCTCGGACTCGATATTAGCGTCGTCGTTGGATCCTAATTTCTTCGAGCAGGCGCTGCAACCATCCGTGTTCGTTTCCTGCATAAGCTCAAACATCTCGTACGCTTTCCGATCCGACAAGCCGGGCTTCTTATCCTCATCGTCGCTGTCAAGGTCAATAGCCATGTCAGCTGTCATGCCCTGCAAGGCCTCTAAATCTTCCTGATTCAAGAGGTCCTTGCCGTGTGCACAGAGTAGTCGAAGCCGGAGAATGGATCGAAGGATGTGGATGTAAGAGTGTCCGCCCAATGCTCTCTGTACGCCGTTGCCGGCAAGCACCTTGACACGATCTTGAGCGTTCTTCTCAAAGAGATTGTAAACCTCGCGCTCCTCGGCTGTAAAGTCGAGCTTGACGATATGGTCGCTTCGTGGGGGAAGATTGATCTTGTCCTTCAACCGCCGGAGTGTGACACTGTCCACAAGCACGCGGAGTTTCGGAACAATCTCCGTATCACAAGCTTTGAAGGGGTCCACGATGAACCGGTTGAATTTGTTGCGGTCGTCAAATGGCTTCAGCCGGACAAACTGAAGGAGAGCGGCCAAGTCCTCGAGTCGATTTTGGACGGGTGTGCCAGTCACAGCCCAACGACGAGCGGCCTGGAGACGGACAATGGCTTTGAACTGGAGAGTTGCGACTTCGCGGATCATGTGCGCCTCATCTAGCACGATTCGGAACCAACCAATTTCCTCCAGGGGATATTTACCAGACTTTCGCTTGCTGCGAGCGCCTAGCTCACTAGAGACAGAGCCATAGGTGGTGATGACCAAATCAAAGTCAGCCAGCTTCTCGACATCTTTGATTCTATTCGAACCATGATAGATATAGTAGCTTATCTCCCCCGGCGCAATGTGTTGCTTGATCTGCTCCTCCCAATTCGTGACTGTACTCAATGGACAAACAAGCAATGTAGCCCTTGCGTTACTGGCAATGCTTGTCAGCGGCAGGGAGCTCGAAGCCGTTGCTTTCCCCCCAGCCTTCTGGGGTGGCATCTCGGGTTGGACTGGCGTGCGACCTGCCCACTCCTGAGCTTGGTCCAAAGAGCTGGCAATGAGGGAAAGGATGCTGAGGGTCTTTCCCAAGCCCATCATGTCGGCCAGCAACCCGCCATGAGTGTCTGAGGGAAGCGTCCGCTCTTGGTGCCCGGTGATGACGTTGTAGTAAAACTTCTGTCCAGTGGGCCCGATTTTAAGCTGCCACATGGAGCCCTTTACTCGTTCGTCGGCCGTTGATTCTTTCTCTCTAGCTGTCATGAAGTAAAGGCCTTGCTTTTGATGCTTGAGCAACTCCGTCGTGACAATCGGAGCTGGGTCCATTTCAGGAAGCTCATCAGTCTTTCCCATCGAGTCGAAGACGCCCATGACGTCTGATCTTATCTCCTCGACCGTACGAGGAGTGGGGTTGGTGTAGTAGGTAGACGAGGAATGATTGTTGTATTGGGCGAGAGCCCCAGCCAGGTTTCTGGTACCAGGTGCTGCGGTAGGCTTGGTCTCTGTATGGACGTTCTCGTACCTGACGCCTTTGTCAACTCGATTGGGGTGGCGCAGAATGATCTTGGATCTCTCGAAGTGCTTGCCCACGGCCTTCACAAATCTGTATTGACCGTACAGGGTCATTTCCAAAGGGTAGGATCTCGATATGGCATGACCCGGCTGCTCGTCCGCTTGCTTTCTACGCGCAGGGATTTTGCAGTCCGTTCGGAGGTGCACGTTGGATTCCAGCAGGGGAACGAGAGCATTCGCTGTATTTACGTCCACATTTCCAATAATGTCGCGCGTGTAGTCGTATGCATGGATCTTCTTGGTCGAGTCGCCGATGATTCGCTTCAAAACGATCTTGACTGGTGGCATGAAGTCCGCCCCGAAGATGCTCTGCGTACCCGGTTTGGCGGAAGGTACCTTGTGGCAGTCAAGGTGACCGGTGAGCATGCCATAGCAGACTTCCTCGGTTGCGGGGTCCTCTACCATGACCACATCGTCGTCGCCCTCGGTCAAGTCCACAGTCTGTGTAGAAACCTTGGAATTCTCCTTCTTGCCTTCGTCCTGCTTTTCCTTCACATACGCACCAAGCATTCCGCTACCGGCGGGTCCCATCTTCTTCTTGTTCTCGGCATCAGACTCGGGTGTGTCAAACTTTCGACGCTTCGGCAGGGGCGCAGCAGCTCGATCCTGGACATCGTTCATCCTCTCAATCATGTTGGCCATCCCGTATGGTGAAATGCCGCCGTCGTGAACAGGAGTGGAAGCGCCAGAGGTCATGCTAGGTGTCAGAGACTCGCTAGTCGTGTCGTTCGGACTCGCGAACTGAAAAACAACAGCGTTATTGACGGAGCTTTGACTTCCTGGAGTAGATCGGTTCGCCAAGGGTTGAGGTTTGGGTGAATTACGCCTCGAGGCAGCGTTCGAAGCGGCGTAGGACCGAGGGTTCAGCAACGCCTGAGCATTCCACGGTTGCGGTTGGGCTTTGATGTAATTTGCTCGGCCTTTGGCGAAAAGATTGTAAGTAAGGTATTTGGGCATCCCAGATTAATAGGTAGGCGGAGAGAGATTGTGGTTGTGGTAGAGGGAAGGAGCAGTCGGCCTGGGTTTGGAGGGGTAGGAAAGCTATCCATGGCGGGGTTCACTCACCATTTGACCCATTTGGCGACGCCATGGCTGCCTCTCGATGCCAGCTTCTGTTTGTTATTTCTGTTGGTGTTGTTTCCGTGAAGAAGTTGCTGCAGCTTGAACATGGAAAGTGGGCTTCAGTAGAGCAGTCCGAGAGGAGTGGTTTCGATCATCACAAACGAGAGAGATGCGGAGTAGCTGTTAAGTATCGGCCTGACAATGAACAGTGGTATCGTAGATAGGTTGACACCAAATCCAGGGAATATGTGAAAGAAGTGACAGAAGCAGCAGTGCTTCAAATAACGAGTGTCGCTCAAGGGCATAGATTGGAGGCAGCAATAATGCAGGTGGTGAGAGGGGAGTAAGGCGTGAGGCGCAAGGCTATAACGCGTCTGAGATGACTTGCTTCGGGTGATGAGATGGTGAAATTAGGAGTCACTTCCGGGTGGTGAGTCGTCGAGAGGTCGAGTCCACCTGAGGTACTTTGGGCAGGCTTAACCAGGATCCAGAAATGCACGCGGGGGCGGATGAGGTGGATAGCGCGAGAAGTTGGGGGAAGAACGAGGCCGGAGGTCGAGTCAAGTCGATGCCTATTCACAATGTCGTTTGTTCCATATCATCATCTCTGTCTCCTCATCAGGTTCGTGGCGGTTGAAGAAATTCTTTGCAGGACCGGCGCAAGGCAAAATGAAGAAAGCAACAAAAGGCAATACCACCCCGGGCGATGGAAGCGCAGACTATTGGAGAAAATGGAAACGCCCAGGCCGTGGTAAAGTGGTGGTGGACGTGTAGGAAAAAAAAAAAGATGAAGGTAGGCGCGGCACATGGAATGCGGTGCAGCGTTGGCTGCAGCCTTCTTGCAGCTGAGGTCACTCCCTCCGCCTCTCGCAGCGGGGCACCTGCAGTGGAGACCGGTTGATTCACGATTTCCGATTAGCTACCTGGAAAGTTCGCATCCTCACGTGGCCACCCTTTACAGACGGAGCCAGGTCTGTGCGCCCTACTTTCACTCATCTCGGCCCAAGCCTTCCCACTCTCTTACACCTTTCCAGGCGTCCCCGACTACTCTCGGCAGGTTGGTTGGCTGGAGTCGGCTCCAAAGGCAGCCTGTGAAAGGGTGGATGATCACTTGACCAAACACTTTTTCTTTCTTGTCATTTGTGTGTATCACTACCGACGTTCCAAATCAGGCATATCCTGTTTACCAAACCTACCAAAGTGTTACCCGAATCTACTGTTAATGATACAGCCGACACTCTCCTTTGTATTCCTCAACACCACCTGAACCGTCGGCGTCACCGCCTCCCAGTCTGAGACCCGGCTATTACTGAAACTTCAACCTTCGATGAGTTTGGCACTGATGCCTCGAGTGCGCTCCAAGATAACACGCCTCCCCTACCCGCTGATTCCAAGCCTTGCCCACCATCTTCAGGACAAGCCAATTTAGATCGCCCTCAACCCACTGCCAGCCGGACTTTGCGCCATACTGTACTTCCACACCCATTCATACAATCCACCCAACCGGGTCCATTTCACCGTGACCCAGGATGTCTCGATGGCTGTCTTGTGTTGATCTGAGGTGTTCGAGACATTTTCTTCGTGGCAAAGTATCATCGGCGTAGTTACTACCCCCGACGAACATACAACTAGCGGCAGAATACCACAAATGTTGTTTGGTTGCATACCGCACTATCCCATGTGAGCGGTTGCGTGATTGGCGTTATAGAAGTGCTTTCTTCTCTTCCTTTCTCAGATCATTTTGGGCCTCCCTTGGGGATTCTCCTCATATTCGCGTGTTCCTAGACCAGCTAGTGATCAGACTTGTACGGATTTGTCCGCCTTCTTGTGCGCCTGCTCAACAAGCAAGAGCCGAGGCAGCTGATCCTTCACTTGTAGCATTTCTTGGATATGTGTTCGGCTCCGGCTCCGGGTTCTGTGTCGGCGTCGGGGTGGGGCCTGCTTGCGATTAGGCGACCTAGACCGAGAAGGGCTCTGGCTTCGTCGACGTTCCAACAGAACGACACGGAGGAGACGCTTTCTCATAGGAGACACGTCCGTACTCGGCATGGCCCGCGAAGAGGCTCTGGATGATACCGGCGTCGGCGAGGTAGATCGACGACGGGGTCGACCCCGGAGCGTGCTGGACTCGCCCGTGCCGCCATGGTGAGTAGCCTCAAGGTCACATCTCGTGAGGCTGCGGTGCCTTTTGCGGCCGCGGAGAGTATCTGATTCGGGAGGAAAGGGACTCGACGTCACCGAACGAAGTTTGGCATTAGTTTCCAGCTGAGAAGTCATTTCTGCACCGAATTATAATCAAAGTAAAGTTGATTGATGCTAGTGGAAACTGTTTTTATTGGCAGGAAGCATAAGTTGCTGTGCAGGTAAGAATCGCGGGTAAAATGTGGAGTGGGCGATGACTCGATAAGTAAGTCCCAATAAAGTAGCTTAGAAGGAAGAGGAGAGCAGATCACGAGGTGATCGGAAGATGTGCGCCGGTGCGGCAGAGGATTGACCTGATCGGGATCTCGCAAGACACCGGGAGGCTTGACGTGAAGATCGTTCGGGTTAGCTGGGCGCTCAATCGTCCAAACCGCAAGCAATGGTGATGGATCTGTCTCTCTGCAAGGGGGGGTAGGCCGCTCCCAAAATTGGACAGTGACCAGGAAGACGCGGGGATCAGGCAAGCATTTGAGACTGGATTGGTCGGGCCACACAATCCTACCTACGCAATGAAAACGGAATGTTGGCCGAGACGATCAAGTACGAGGCCACTCATCGAAAGGTTGGGTGTTGAATCGAACCAATTCGCGGGGAAAGGAGAACGACGGGCCGTGTGGGTGGGTGGGCCCATGGCTGCGACCCGAGATCCTATGATGAAAGCTGTGGCATCTCATTCGACTGAGGAGCAGGACTACACCAGCTGGGGAAGATCGATATGAATTGGCTGTGCTGTCGACGGCTTCTTAGGACGAGGATGGGAATTTCACATCGCAGATTTAAACGCCATCCTCAGCTGATCGTTCGTTGGCTCGATCAAGTTATCCAAATTATTTAGTCTGCTAATTCCCCGTGTGTGCTAACTTTTGCTTGCCTTTTACAGAGAATACTCCCTCCTAGATTATTGTGACAAGCCGACGTGAAGACAGCCGAAGCTGCCGCCATTGTCTCACTTCAGAATGGCAAACAAATGCTGGCACTGCAGCTCTCATACTCAACTCCTCTCAGCTCGCTGACTTTTGTGGACGTTTGACAAGTGTCCCACCTGGCATCAGCTGACCTAGAACGATACACGTTTTCTGCCAACAGTTACAAATGAAAGAATCTGGAAGGTACAAACGATTTCTCTTTCTCGAATTCGGATGCGAATGTTTCTTCAAGTGTCTGCAGTGGTCACTTATTCTGTTCTCAGGAGCGGTTGCCAGTTTCAATCAGAAAGGTCCAGCTATTTCCCTGCAAAGTTGCCTTAGTCACCTCAGGCCGGGTAAACACTGCGCCTGTCCCGAGGCCAGCTCGAAACGCGAATTGGATGGACCTGAGCACTACCTTAGGCAGCACGGGGAAGACCGGAGTCAAGGGGCCGATTGCTCTGTGCTGTACAATGGTACCGCGACCGCTGTGGCCAGCCAGAACAAGGTACCTCGGTGCACTTCAGGCGCTCTGGAACTTTAAGCAAGCTTTTGGGGCAATAAGGTACCTCAAAAAGGTACCGGGGTGACAGCAGTACCAGTTTGCACTCCAATGACAGCATCGCGGTCCCCGAAACCACGGATTCCTAACGACACATGCTCGACAACGCGACTCGCCGAGAAATTGTATTGTGCCTGCCACCACTACCAGGAGCACCACCAGTCCTACGATACTACTCCCTCTTTGCTCCATCGTCACCCCGCCTCCTTGAAGCCACATTTGTTTCTGTAGTGCTATCTCTTTTTCTTCTTCTCTTTCCCACTCTCGATATCTCAGTCTTTGCTACAGGGTAGACTTCGTGGCCTCCATTCTTAGGCCAAGTTTCCGCATTCCCTACGCCAGCACGACAATCAAACGGAGATAAAGCCGACTAAACCGCATTTAAGCTTCTCGATCGCGAATCACATCGAAACCTCCTCAAAACCATCCACATGGCTCTGACTTCCGGCCCTGTCTTTGCTCGATAATTCCCTCGCCCTTCCCTTGCCGAGACGTCGTTCATCCCTGCCAGTCACGATGCCTCGCTCTCGACCCCCAACGACGGGTTACGAGCGCCTCGCTCAAGCCGATGCCCTCTCCTCCGATTCCGAAGATGATGACCCTCTCACCCAGTCATATGCCTCCCTCCAGCCGGCCTCGGCCCCTCGCTTCGCACCCATCACTCAACCGCGCCCCCGTTCGGGCATGACGACCCCAAAACCTGTGACAGCTGGCCCTTCTAGACCTAAGAATCGCCGTCGCGGCGGCAGCAACTCTGGTGTCGACATAAAAGCCATCAACGCTCGATTAGAACGATGGGCTGATGAGATCGCCAGCCGGTTCAAGCGCACAAAGGGGCGTGGTAAGACTGAAGATGACGAACATCTAGAGATTCATCATTCTGTCTTCCAAGCTCCGGAGGGTGTCCGCCCCATTACCCCTGAAGGGCTGGCTGCGGTGCAAGACGTCATGTCCAAGTCGCAGTTTGAACAGATTGTGGGCAGTGTCAGACAGGCCATCCTTCAAGGCACGCACCCTCGAATGATCGCACAGGGAAGCTCCGGCAGCTACTTTGCCCGGAATACGGAGGGCAAGGTCGTAGGTGTCTTCAAACCCAAGGACGAGGAGCCGTATGCGGCTGGCAACCCGAAGTGGAACAAATGGATCCATCGGAACCTATTTCCTTGTTGCTTTGGGCGAGCATGGTATATCATTGTGCACTACACCTCTCGAAATCCATGGCTAACCACATCGCAGTCTCATTCCCAACCTTTCATATGTCAGCGAAGCGGCAGCATACACGCTAGATTGCCAATTACGCACTCATATGGTGCCTTACACAGATGTCGTGTGGTTATCCTCAAAATCCTTCCATTACCCGTTTTGGGACCGTCGCAACTTCTACAGAAAGCAAAAACCACTTCCAGAAAAACCCGGAAGCTTTCAGGTCTTCCTGAAAGGTTTCAAAGACGCCAATGTGTTTCTTAGAGAACATCCCTGGCCAGACCAGTACTGGTCCGGTTTCAGGGCCAACGATCCCCACCGCAAGCGTAGGAGAAGGTGGGCAGATAACTGTCGACCGAACAGTGCGGCAGCATTGGATGACATCGAAAGTGACGATGAAGGCAACCGAGAAAGGTTACCTCCGGGTCCAGACAATTTTGTGTGGACTGAATCTTTGAAGCAATCATTCCGTGAAGAGCTCGAGAAACTGGTCATTCTGGACTACATGATGCGAAACACTGATCGTGGTCTGGACAACTGGATGATCAAAGTGGACTGGAGCACGCAACAAGTGTCGATTGTTTCGGAGCCCCTTCAAATGAACACGGAAACCGGCTCATCGGAGGAGAACAGGCCACGCCCGGTAGATTTGAACCAGCGACCAGCAGCAGAAAGCCGCTCCTCGTATCCCTACAGGACACAACAGCCCATGAAGGCATCGAGTCCCATTCCAAGCACACAAGATCCCAAGATCACGATCGGTGCCATCGACAACTCACTCTCCTGGCCTTGGAAACATCCCGATGCATGGCGAAGGTATGTAATCCTGGGGAATAATACTCCTCTCCTCTGCAGTTTATTCCATGCAAACAACAATGTGTCTGGAAAGAGATGCTAATGGACCATTTGACAAAGCTTCCCCTTTGGCTGGCTATTCCTTCCCGTTGACCTGATTGGACGACCATTTTCGCAGAAGACGCGGGATCATTTCCTTCCACTCCTGACCTCAACACACTGGTGGAGCCAGACACAACTGGCGTTACGGAAAGTGTTCCAGTTGGATCCCGACTTTCAGGAAAAGATGTTTGCGCGGCAAATCGCGGTCATGAAAGGCCAAGCATGGAACGTGGTAGAGACGCTCAAGACGCCTGACCACGGTCCGCTAGAGCTCACACGGCGCGCCAAGGTCTGCGTCTGGGACGACCTCGTCGATGTGCCGGTTGCAGTGCCCATGCGGGTAACATCCGCCGAGATGATGCGTGAGGCAGAGCTCCGACGCTCCATTGACGAGGGCGACATAGGCCAGGCCAACACGTCGTCTACTGCACCTACCCACCGCGTGGATGAGGACCTGCTCGGCTTCGCTAGCCCCCCGGCCGACATGCCTCATCCGGGTAGGTTTGAGCTTGCCCTAAGCCCGACGGGCGAGGGAGCCCAGTCACCTGATGAGACGTCCATGAGCGGTTCTGGAATACTGGCGTCGTCTGCACCGTTGGGTAAGGACGCGGCACTGCAGCGGCCCAGGTTTTCGGGACAATCGCACCGAGAGAGCTATCACGGCACTCGCGCTCTCAACATATATTCTCCTGCTCGTCAGCAATCCCAGCAGCAACGGCGATATTCGTTCGCGACAGCGGCTGGACGGCGTAACAGCGGCAGCATCGCGCAGCACCTGTATGGCTCACGTCGGAGCATGGAAGATTATGACGAAGAAGACGACGTCGAGGAGGGCGACCTGGGCTTTGCGGCCGCCGAGGGCATGGAGGGCAACCAACGCAAGGTTATTGTGGAGAGGCTGGAGCCGGTGAAAGCCAGGAACCCGGTTTTCACTTGCTGGTGATCCACTCATCCACTCGGGCCTGCATCGAGGGGGGCGGCACGGAGTTGGAGAGGAGTTAGAGCTGGGTTATTGGATGGTGGGGTCTCGCTCCGCGGTTGCCATGCAAGGGAAGGGGCCGCGGGTGGAGAGCAGCCAAGCGATGTTTCCCCTCTCCATCTTTTTTTTTTTTTGTGTTTTATTCCCACTTGCTTAGGCGGTCATTACCACCAAGTACGAATAGGGGAGCCGGGAGTTTGTTGGGTCAATTTCGGATTGTGTCTAGAATAGTTGACTTCCCCCTTCCCCTCCCCCTCCCCCTTCTGCGCGTCAGCACGAAAGAGAAACATGGTACACGCTGCATTTGGTGGCGTTTCTCGGGCCCTGGTGCACATTCGTCCCTGACTTGGTTGGCTAGACAAAAGGACAGAGACCGGTTGCAGAGACAGACAACGAGAGTCTGGGGGGCGAGACACGGACTTGACGGCGTACAACAGCGAAAGATATGATGGGGGAGACACACGACGACACACGACATACGACACATCACACAAGACACAAGAGACGTGGGTCCACAAAACCGCAGACCCATGGAGGGGAGACAGGAGAACATCGTGAGAAGTTGAGGGAAAAGCAAAGAATAGGGGGGGGGGAAGGGTAAGTGAGGGGATGGGCGCACATCGCAGCTGTTGTACCTACTTTGCTACTGTTGGTCCTTTTTTTCTTTTGCAGGAGGTTGGAAAGAGAGGGGGAGGGCGCGCATGCAAACGACCTCTTTAGGCAACCTAGAAAAGGGTCCCTTTTTTTCTTGGTTTGAATCAGGCAAGGATTTCCAATTTGGTCTTGTCACCTTAGACCTACATATCTCGCGCCCATCCGGTTCAGGGGAGTGAGAGGGGGCTTATGCGCCAAACGGCGGTTCTCATAATTCCAAACAAGGCACAAGAAGCAGGAGAAGAAGAAAGGACAGGACTAGAGCTAGCATATCGGAGAAACCCCCCGCGGGCCCCCGTGGGGGGGGGGGGGGGGGGGGTGTTCACACAAGGGGGGGTGGTCCATGTACAAAAAAAGAAAAAAAAAAAGAGGGAAAAAAAAAGAGAAAAAAAGAGTGCGAAGAAGAAAGAAACCCCCCCCCCCCCCCCCCCCAAAGTGTTAGTAGCACGGCCCAAAGGCTGGAAAACACCCAGTAATTAAAGCCTTTTCCGGACGAAAAGAGACAGTACAATCAATGTGCCACTAAAGAGAAGGGGAGGGGGAAGGCAAGTGACTGCTCAGGTTGCACAGCAGAAGTCCGAGTTCGACCGTTGGGACAACGACTGTCCAGTCTCGACGGGTTGCGTGAGTTGTCTGTTCTTGTCGGCTTGACAAGGATGGTCGAGGCTTGTCAAAGGTAGCAGGTATTCCAATTCTGTCGGGGTTGTCATCCATCGGTCATCAGTTGTGATCCTAAGTCGCGTTTCACAGAGAAAGGAGATGATGTTAGCGGCGCGGCCGCTCCCCTTCGTCGTTGCTGGCCTGAAAGGCTGTAAATACACAGTGGTAGGTATGTGTGTGAGTGTGAGTATGCCAGGGTACCGCCCAGCCCGTGATCTGTGCGCGCAAGAATAATACTATAGGAGGGGTGGGCGTCGGTATTACCTCCAAATCCCGCATCGTCAGTAGATGGCATAAGAGATGGAAGAGGAAAGGTTGATTCATGTGCTCATGACCGCAGTAAAGCCGCACTCGCAGCCGCAGCCGTAGCCGCACCTGTCATTTCATTTCCTAGGGATACCTGGTACAGAGAACACGGTAGGGAGGACTCGTCGGCTCGCAGGACGGTCACCGAGGGCTCCATGCCTTTTCAAAAAGTCAGCTCGCAACACCATGGTCTTCTAGAAGCATTCCCACCCCCCATCCTGGTGAAATGAAAGAAGCCTGGTCCTTGGAGATGTACTCCGTAGAACCGGGGGCCGTTGGTGGATTGGATCGTAGACGGCAGGCAACGCCGCTCGTCATCCAGCATTCAGCAATAGGGGGGGGGACTCAGCTGGGTATCTTTGTATCGCAATGTCATGATAGTCCGTAAGCTGTGCTTTCATCAGCACGACAAGGGTCGTAGGGGGCCGGTTTGCGTCGATAAGGGAGACGATTATGCCCCAGCAACCCGTCCTATTGGAACCCGAGAGTACGGTTCTGGTCGAGAGGAAGATGAAGACGAAGGAACCGGCAGGGTGCCTGCCGACTAGGGTTCCCTGCTGGCGGGAATGAATGTGACTCCTCATCGACCGCCAACTCATCTCCCCCCCTTTTTGCATGGGAAGAAGAAAAGCCGTCTGACTTGAGAGAGCGTGCAAGAGAGAGGAGGAGCTGGCCCAAATTCTCTCATATCGGGTAGAGCGAGTTGTGAAAAAGGTACGCAGATGCACGGTCCGCAGCCATGCAGACGAGAGGCCGCGGTCAACGGACGCCAAGGCACGTTGCTTGCATTCTTCTCTCCAGAGATCGACTTGTTCTCATCAGACTAGCCAAAGTTGAGTGGCTCAGAATGATTACACAAAGGAGCAGCAGACGGAGAGATGGGTCGAATGCTCCCCTCTGACGTGCATCATCTCTGACAGGCTAATATCTTGCCTGAATTCCCGATGCGAAGAACTGCCTTACGCCAATCGATGAACAACAGCTACTTCTCCTTAGGTAGCTGCTTGGTAACCGCATGCGCAGTGAAACCATTTCGTTCAAGTTGCCGAGATACGGATCGAAGCCCTGCTCCGAAACCTATTCCGTGACTACTTGCTAGGTAGTTCTGTGGCTACCCAGCAAGCTGTCGGCGTCAATTTGCCAGTTGCTTGCTGCGCAGCATCCCGGCCGTCACAACACCGTGGGAGCCGCCTGATAGCCGGCCTTGCTTGTTGTAATGACATCCTCGGGGTCGCCTCCGGACCATCCGTACCACTTACTCGGCAACGCAATATTTCCAAGCATATATGTGGCTGCAGATCTTCGTGCAGCTGTGGCTATGGGAACTTGGACAGGCCGTGTCGAGGTCGGACACGTTTGTCGTTACGTTCGTCTTGACGTCAATAAACGGTCAGGGTCGTGGTGGGGTGGTGAGTCGCCTCGTAGCCAGCATAATCACAGTACGTCGTCGTCTCAAAGAGTCTGTCCTTGCTTTTTTACCCGTCCGCTATGCAATGCATCTGAATCCGTTGGTGCGAGGTTTGCAGAGTGCAGCGAGTACGTGGCCGCTGTGGACAGGCATGGTGCTCCCAAGCACCAGGATGTGGTTTCCCCCGACAAGGAAGGGCTGTCGACCCTCGCTCCTCGGTTCCCAAATAGCTGGAACCAGGAGAGTTTTGTGGCTCGCGTCATCGCGCCCTCTCCCGAAACTCCACTGTCCGAGCCAGCAGCAACCTGGTCAGCTAGGCCAGGCTCTTCTCTGTGTTACCTAGTTTCAAACCTGCAGAGCGGCCCGCCGAGGGGTTCGTTCGTTGAACTGGGCCAGCCAATTTCTCCTTCCAACCTTTATCAAAATCACCCCCGCTCAAGAAACATTGTTGGCTTGACCGCCGTGAGCTTGACCCTCAAGGATACGACATACCTGCCAAACAATTAGTACAGGGTCGGAAGGGATGAGAAGTTTGACAAAGGGACCAAAGAAAGGGAGTGAGGTAATTAAACCTTCATCAGCATACACCCGAGCACGCCAATGTGTCAAGACGCGCAGCAGCACAACCCACCAGCCAAAACCATGCCCCTACCTATATTTTGCAGACCGTTGCCTGCCCCGTGCATATTATACCGCCATCCGACCGAGTTATTACCTTCATAGTCTTGGGGAGGTGGTGTGGTGGAGGCCTGAGCAGGCATGCGTGCTGAGCATAGTAAAGATCGATGTTTCTGCTGAAGGCGCCCGTCTCCTCCCTCTAGCCGTTGTCGTGAGATACGGGCCTGACGCGGGTCTCAAGTTGCTGGCATCAGTGCAGGTGATTGTCTGCGTCGTGTGTGAGGATCAGACCATGAACTCCGCCTTTGGTCTCTGCCCGGCCGCATATGATCCCAGCCTGCTTCACGCCAGACAGGTTAAGCAGCGTGAGAGTATTTTCTGTATCTTTGTCGTACGAGATAATTTGGCCTGGACGAGGCAGCGGTCGCTTTGCAACCGTACGCTCTTCGTCGCCCTTCTTCACTTCGTACCCGGGCCGTACAAGACTCCAATGAGCCAAACAGCACAGAGAAGGATCCAAGTCCGTGTTCTCGGGAAATCTCGACAAGTGGAAACCGTGGGTTATCGCGAGAGACAGTAGAAGTGGCGCCAACGTAATCCCTAGTCCGAATTTGGGTCCTATCGGAAGTTGTGCAACGCTGCTCTAGCTCGAATTCCCACCACCTGTGGCTGCTGTGTCTTCAGATTCAAGCCAACGACCGGATCCTTGGGACATGGGAACCGCCGGAATTTGATTCTAGCTCCGCGTTCGATGGGAGCGGATCGGCCATGTAACCCCTCCTTCAAGCCATGTCCCTTTTTATGGTGAGGTAGTGGGGAGGGGGTGATCAGGAAACAAGGGATGGGGAGCCGTGTTTGCTGAAGAGCTCCCCATTGCCTGGGCACTGGCTGGAGGGTTACAGCAGGAATACATGTGTGTTGGGCCCAATACCCGGGCCATGCGGTTGGTCTCAAGACAACATCCACCACTAGGGTTTGTCGTGGGTGTGGGTGCTCTGATTGTACTGTAGCAGCAAGCATCGGTATATTCGCCCGACTCCGGGGTGACGGCGGTGAGCCGCCCACAGAAGCTCAAAAAGCTCATCGCCCTTGGTAAGCGAGAGACCATCTGCCTCTTCGCAGCCTTGTGGGATGTTGGTCTGTGATGGTGCGTCCCGCTAGACAATGACCAGGTCGTTGAGGAAGACAACCGTCTACCTGGCTTCCGGAACAGCCTCTAAAGGCAAGCTACGGTTAACGGAAATCATGGGTCTGGCAACTGGTAAAAGCGGTGTCCAACTTGCCAGGATGGGTTGGGACCCGCTGCCACACCCGTCCTATTCCACTCACTGGCCTGGGATTAGCAGTTTAGCACGTCTTGGTTGTCTGCCGGCTCCATTCTCGAATTTTCGTGTATACAGGGGGGGAGGGTCCAGCAATAACAGCAGAGGACATATCCATGTCACCCGAAGACTGCCTCGTCCGCACCGCACCGCGTACCGAACAGGCTCCCAACTTCTCTAGTGTAGGTCGTGGGGTACTAACCCAAGATCGACAGCGACATCGTGGGGTGTAGAAAACAATGGTCGGCCAGTCTAAAGTACCCTTTGACTTGCCCGTTGTCTCCACCTCCGGCGTAATAGGCAGTCAATTTATGTCTCTTAGACACGACTGCCGCCTTCATGAGTACCCCTGTGATCCGAATATGGTTCCTTTGACGGAGTCTCGGGTTTCGTCTGTGAGCAGTGCTCAAGAACTAGTCCTTGCCTTCCGTCCCGTCCAGGAAACCTGGAAACGGCGCCTCGCTGGAGCAACGCAACCACCACATACAAGTTCTTATTCGTCCCAAGATCGAATCCCAAGGCAGGCTTTGGACGACAGATACTCAGTCTCGTTCAACTGATCCACAAGAAGAATCATTCCAGTGTGGTTGTCGACATGGCAAGGTTCGACGGAACCTAGTCTCCTCTCGCGAAGATTCGTTTGATCGCTAAACTGCTCCCAGTGATCCACAAACAGTTCCCTTGGATAATTCCTTCCTGGAAACTATCACGTACCAAGGCCGAGAATACCAACGATACGCAGTTGATAATGGAGCGTATTTCGCGCCGATAGATGAGGTAAGAATCATGTCGCCCTTGATGTCACCATGGCTTGTTTAACGTCTCCTCCAAACGGTTTGCAGGACGAAGTTGAACGCTTGCAAATGATGCATGTCGTACTCTCCATAGTGTTCGAAAATCGCCTCCTTTTCCCGCCCATCACCAGGCCCCGGCGAATTCTCGAGTGCGGCTTCGGAGCCGGCGACTGGGCTACCGACGTTGCACAACAATACCAAAATTGCGAGGTACGTGTTGCACGCAGCCAAGTCCCTCTTATTTCGTGACTGTACGATTATCGAGATCCATCCCTTCAGTAAAGCGATTCCCTGGCGGTGGTGGGACGACCGAGTCTGCAGGCTGGCCTCATCCGTCGCTAGTGTGGCAGGCCGCTATCTTCCTCTTCTGCCCTTGATCATTTGCCGCAAACTCCAGTGTTTGTGATCAAGGAGAGTAGTATGCTTGCCGTTGTATCGATTCCACGATGGCTGGCGGATAGAAACATCTCGGCCTCTCGCTGGTTCGGGTAGTGTTGCGTTAGCCGGACTGATTTGGATGGATAGGTAGTAGCCATCGATATCTGCCCGCACATCTGGCCCGACGAATCCCAAACGCCGACGAACTTGAACCTGCAAGTCGATGACTTGAACGGGAGGTATGTTACCTGGTGGCCTTCGTCAACAGACTGGAGGCTGGAATCTCCCTGGCTCAGCTGATCTGACCTAGATTCACCTTTCCATCGAACCATTTCGACCTCGTGCACAGCCAGATGATGGCAGGCGGTATCCACTCAAACCGGTGGAGAGATTACCTTCGAGACATTCATCGCGTACTTCGACCGGGTGGTTGGTGTCAAATGGTGGAAATATACTTTAATGCGCAGTCGGACAACGGGACGTTGACTCAAAGTAGGTCGGATCCTCCCCAGAGATAAAACCCTCCATTAATCGCTTGCTGCGTCAGATCACGCCCTACGCAGGTGGTCGAGAAAATACTTGGATAGCATGCAGCCATACAAAGATCCCAGGGCGCCGATGCAGATGCAAAGTTGGATGCAAAGTGCTGGATTCGACTCGGTGGAAACACAGATGATCCCTCTCCCGACTTGCGGCTGGTCGAATGGTATGGAAATCTCAAACCTTAATGGGGGCATTTTAACTGATTTGCGAATAGATCCGAGGCAGCATCAGATCGGCGTGGCCAACAGGGAGAATGTGAGGAGGATGCTTTCGTCTCTGGCAATGTATCCCATGACAGAGTTCCGGGGGTAAGGGCGATTTCCTTCACACACAACTTCTCTGCAGTCTCTATGATGCCGATTTCTGACCGATCTGAACTGACCGTGGCGCTGCAGGATGACTTCCCAAGAGTTTCAAGTCTTGGTGGCTCAGGCAAGGAGCGAGGCTGATAATCCGGCGTTCAGGGTGAGCTATCTCGCCCCCACACAGAGCTCGTCTCCTTTTTCAGTCGGAATGTTAGCTAACAACAATGCCATATTGGGCGATTCGACTCAGGCGTATTTTCCAATGTATGTGACTGCACACTCATCCAGCCGCTAGAAGTGCTTACCAGTACTGACGTGTTGGCCATCAAGGTATGTTTGTATAGGACGAAAGGCTCGTCGTTGAGACAAGTGAAAACACCATACGACGATTTTGCTTGTCAGAGCGAGTGACCCATAGCGGCGTAGAGCGTTGTTTCCCAGCGAGGACATGGTGGGCTTTTGGAACAAGGATTTCGATAATGACGATGTAACGGCAGCAAATACCCCGTGTCTAGCCCGCAACCCTATTTGATTCCTTCTCGTTGTAGTGTTTGCTGCCTAATTCTGTTGCCGTGGCTTGTCAGGGAAGTTATAACGGGTTTGAGAGAGTAAAGCCAAAGCCGCCTTTTCGATGCAAACGCCGTCGTTGAATCTTGAAAGGTGATCGGGAATGTGGGAATAGACAGGCGAGGTTCGAAAATGAATGGCTGTCGTCGTCTCGAAAGGGACATGGCCTTGACTCGTATGCTGGCCGGTCGTTGCTCTCGGGGAGACTTTAGACTGAGAAGGAGGAAGCAGGTGTTGATGACCAGACGACCACGTAACTAACGAGAGAAAAGGAAACCAGAGCCGTTAGTCAACGACGATGGTGCCGTTTCGGTTCCAGGATTAAAAGGCACGTGAGATAGGATGGACGTCGAGGAGGAGATGCCTTGGACAATCAAGGTATGGATGTTGAAGCCAAAGGGATGGCCTTGTGGTTGAAAGAGGGTGAGACGCATGTGGAGAGCGGCGGAAGCTAAGGCAAGTGCCTAGTTGGGTTTTGGCGGGAAGGAAGGGACGGGAGAGACGACGGCGGCTTCCCATATCCACATTGACTAAGGTAGGTAGGTACATTGCGTACTAAGTACTTGCCGGACGTTGACAGAAGGTCAAGAAGATGGCCTACCTTACCCTATCTTACATTGACGAATTCAGAAGCGACGGGCATGCAGAGGTCGATGCCCCGTGGAGGCTTGAAGAAGAGTTTAGGAGGCTCAAGGAGGGAGGGCAGGAGTACTTGTTCTGTCTTGTGCAGTTTTATTTGTTCCATGTTGGGTTTAGATTGGAGGGAGGCAAGGCGCCAGTCCTTGCCCAGGAACGCAAGAGGTTCGCATGGTTTTTACTCGCTACCATCTCCTCGGGATCTCGGTGAGGACCGAGGTGGACTGCAGACGAACAACTCACGTCACATTGAGCTTGCACAATCAAACACACCACAACGTCACGCCTGGGCACATCAAACCCATGTCTGAAGGGGAACGGACAGTCGATTCGTGTCTTGAGTCTCGACGGAGAGAATCCACTTTCATCTGAAGATGGAACAATTTGGCTGGCGCCATACCACATTTGCGGCCTCCGCACTCGCCGCCGGCTTCACAAGTTCCACGCCAACATCCACGCCAGTTCCCACGCCGGTGAGTGCCTAGAGCCCTCGCGCAATCCAGGTTCCCCGACTTCGGAAACTTCCTCCCAGGCATGATCAGGGGCACAGACATTCCGGTTGACGATTCCTCTTTGACCGAGTAGATGATCATAGTACAAGGTACTGCCCCTGGAATGCTACGAGGCCTGGGACACTAGATAAAGCTGCCACGACGATGAAGCATGCAACATTCAAACTTGCCGATCCGATGGACGCGCAACCCCCATCAGCTTGCCTGGTTGATTGAACACACGGCCAAATCTACATTGATGGTAGCTGCTGGAACTTCGAACCTGGAGCCCCCGGTGGATGTGATATCGGGAAGCTTTTGCGGATGCCCCGACCCTTGCTTGCTGCAGCTTCCCTGAGGTTCGGCACATCAGGCGATTCCGGGCTTCCATATTTGCATAAACTTCGCATTGCATTGCTTCACAAAAGCTCCAACGGATTTGTGAGCTGCCACCAACGCGGCCGTTGACGGAAAGCGTACCCCTAGGAATGCCTTTCAAGTGCTCAGAATGCCCGTGAGCTTTTGAGCACGTATGACGGCTTTTCAGTGAGTGTGACTGGTTGTGTCATCCGAACCGTCACACCTCCATGTACCTGCCAATCTAGCAGCTTGATCTTTTAATCAACACGGTACAGAGTACTTTTGAAAGGTGGAAAGTGAGGGAACTCCTGCCAATGGTGCATCCGATATGTCAAACACCTCAGTTTTATTCAGCGGGCCCCGCCGACAATGCATCCTCACGGATAATGCTCCCAGACACTGGTTCCACTTCGCGCGACCCGTACCTGAGGAGAGGTACCGGGACATTCCTGCTACCTGCCCTGTATCCGCAACCTAACCGCTACCATGGACTTAAGGTAGCTGGAACAGCCAAATACTGCCGGCCAATGAGAAGCTGCCCCGAACCTTGATCCATTCGAGAGCTCTCAGCAACGCAACTTTTTTTTCCTAGACCGACAGCTTGACAACCGCATTGCACCACTACCAATTTCCAGAACGACACATTAGGTAGGCCGACCAATTGAGAAACAACGATCAATCTTCTTCGACCACTAGAACCTAAGCACAAAAAAGGCCATTCTTTATACACAATGGCCTCCCGAAACCCAGCCCGTCTCTTCCAAGCCCTCCGGCCAATGGTGCCGGGTCGCGCCACCCCCCTCCGGACGACGATCCGTTTCTACTCCGATGCCGCCGCCGCAACCCCGGCGCAGCCCAAGCTCTTGGCCGCCCTCAAAACCGACCTCAAGACCGCCATGCGCGCAAAGGACGCCCCGCGCCTCTCCGTCCTCCGCTCTGTTCTCTCCGCCACCAACAACGCCGCCAAGACAGACTCACCGATCGCGACCGACGCCCAGCTCGTCGCCCTCCTGCGCAAGACCCAGCGCGCCACCCAGGACGCCGCCGTCCAGTTCCGCGCCGCCGGCCGCGACGACCTCGCCGACAAAGAGGACCTCCAGGCCAAGGTCATGGCTGAGTACATTGCCGGCAGCGGCGTTGTCACCGTCACCGAGGCCGACGTTCGGGTCCTCATCCAGAAGGCCGTCGAGGATACCGTCGCCGCAGGCAAGAGCGGGCTCGGGGAGGTCATGAAGCTCATCAACGTGGCGATTCAGGGCAAGGACCTCGAGATTGAAAAGAAGCGTGTTGCCGAACTCGTCAAGGAGGCCCTCAAGAAGGATTAGAAGGGATGTGAGAGAGGCAGCATGGGAGGTCGAACCATGTGCGGAAAGAAAAAAAAAGCTGTACCAATCTGTAACAACAACGTCGTGTATAATATTTGTATACCCAAAACGAGATTCTGGCCAAGGGGGAGGGGCACCCGCGAGAGAGCAAACATCTCTTCTCCTGAATGATATTTAGATGAATGAAATAATGTCACGATACTCATGGCCACGCTTCATACAATATACGATTTGAGCGTGAAACCCACACTCTGGGAGCTTAGATGATGGATAACCTTGGGCTTGGCATCAAAGGCGCGAACCCAATCAATGGTGTTGGTATCTATCTAATACAGACCTCGAGAAGCCCCATTCGCCCGAATTGAGCTGGCCTTCTCCCCCCATCTCCGTCTCTCTCTCTCTCTCCAGCTTTGTGAAGTAATCGAAACTACTCAACTACCCTTCCCTTCCGTCTCCCTCAACCCATAAGAACGCCGCGAACGCCCGCGAGCCATGCACCATGCCATAATCCCTTTTGAAACATGCGAGGAGCAGATGAGTGCCGCCTCGACAAAAAAGACATCGCCTACGCAACACTATCGTCCTCATTCCTCAACCCCGCATACTCGGTCCCCTGGTTTGCCGTGCTCAATCTCGCGCAGAGACTAAGCAGGACGACCGTCTCCGTCGCGGCGTAATGGTTCAGCGCGTCAAGCAGGATCTGGAGGTGCCTGCTAAAGTTGCCCTCCCACTTCTTCATAATCTCAAACAGGTTGCCCACGCGAGCCTCCTGCTCCGCGGCACCGACCCCCGCCGACGAGGTCGAGTCGTTGTGTGAGGTGCCCGACGAGGAGGGCTTCTGCGTCCTGACGGCCTGGAAGGCGCGCCATTGGTCTGCCGTCATGTTGGGCGGGCGCGTGGCGCCCGACAGGTCCGGGTCGGCCTTTTCCAGCTCGCGGGAGAGCCAGTTGGAGTATGTTGCAAAGACTGTGCAGGTTTGCATGAGTTTGGAGTGGATCTGCGGGCCGGGGTTAGCTGAGAATGCCAATACGCTGAGATGGCAAAAGGAAGACTTACCCTGAGAAGCTTGCTGTTGGTGAGCATGCACTCTTTCAAGCACGTATCTAAGAAATCCACATGGTCCTGCATCAGCTCGTCCACCGTCCGAGTCGGGGTCGTCCCCGGAGCCGCCTCCTGGCCCTCCTCGCCAACCTTGAGCCTGGACATGAACTTTGCCCAGTTGGGCTCAATGACCTCGGCCGTGCAAAAGTACAGCAGCTGCTGCACAAAAACCAACATGCGCGCGCGCAGCGTCCACACGCGGCGCTTCCAAATCTCGAGGCTGCGCGAGGAGCTCTTGTGCGACCAAGTCAGGCCCGACGTCTGCGAGTACCACGTCGTCGAGAGCTGGGACTCAAGGTAGCGCAGCGAGAGCAGGTACCGGAAGAGCGCCTGGTACCGCCACACGGTCTTGCGGCTGATGACGAGGGAAACGGGAAAGGGGACTGTGTAGTCCAGTTGGAGAGAGGTGAAGCCGATGGCGTTCTTGTCGTTTTCGACAGGTTGGTTCGCGAGCGGCTGGAGCGTCTCGCCCTGCTCGATACCCGTGATGTTGACGACCCGCTGCAGGGACTTGACGAGCGTGATCTCGTTCATCTCCACCTTGACGTCCTCCTTGAAAGGGTCCAGCGAGACGACGCTGCCCGGCTGGCGCAGCACCAGGTCGAGCAGTGACTGCAGCTTGCCGGTATTAACGGACTTGACAGGCTTTCGCAGCTCAGACGTGCCGAGCTCGAGGAAGTACGAAAAGTAGTCGGACGGGTCCAGGAAGAAGTAGTGCTTCAGCGACCGCAGCCGCATGGGCAGCGAGTGTGTTGTAAGCAGCAGCTGCATAAGGGACTCGTTGGCGTGCGCGTACGCATTGTTCACGTTCTCCAGGAAGCGGCTGTCGTCGAAAGACGTGGGAACATCCTGAACGACCTTGCTGACGTCCACGCCGCCGCATTCCCTGACGACGTTGAGGTACTTCCCCGCCAATAATACCTTGCCCTTGACACCTTCCAGTTGAGGGGGAATATCGTGCTCCCGAATCGTATACCGTCGCTCCCAGTACTCGTCCGTATAATCCTGCTCCAGCCGTTCTCTCCGAATACTCTTTTGCTCCTTGACCAAGAATTCGGCGTGCGCGTCGTTGATGCTGCCGTGGTGCAGCCACTCGTTTAGCATCACCATGTACGGCTTACTGGCATCGCGCAGCAGCGATGTCAGCAGCGCGCGCGCAGCTGGGTCTCCCGACATGGACTCCAGCCTCTTCGTGATCAGACCCAGCACGACGCCGCCTTTGCAAATCTTCTTCCCCGAGCCGGGGACTAGGTCGCCGCCCTCCCGCAGAGACTCGAGGATATTATCAAAGTCATCCGCGCTATCGCTTTCTTCCTCGTCGTCGTCGTCGTCTAGGAGCGCATTCCTCTTGAGCAAGTCGTGCGCTAGGGAATACAGATGCGACATCATCTTGCTGGTCGGTAATGTATGAATGTTTAGAACGTGGAGAGTAAATGTCTCGTTGGTCAGGAACTGTGTCTCAAGCTGCGCAATCATGATGAGGTAGTCATGCAAAAACTTCCTGATGGAGGCGCAAAGGGCATGGTTGACAGCGCCAAACTCCTCCCTGCTCTGCACGTCGACGAACATCTCGAGGGCCGAGTAGTATGTCGCCATCTTCAGCATTGACAGCGTGAGGTCCTGCAGACTTGGGTCGAGGCCCGGCAGTATCCTGAACGCGGGCCCCGACAGCCGGTCCCTCTCCTCGTGCGGGTTGTACGTCTTGGCGAAGCGGATGTACTGTCCCTCGTAGCCCATGAAGACGAAGAGGAGGTCCTCCAACATCACCGCTTCCTGCGCCTCGAGAGAGAGCTCATTCAGAGGTTTTGGTTGTTGAGGCTGTGGTGCCTGTGCTGCCAACGGCGGTATTGATATTCGACAAGCCAGGGGAGCTGAAGTGTGAGGTAGTAGAGTCGCCTCTGGGTTCCAAGGTGCTGCAACACCGTTTAGTTAGACGCCGAGGCTGCTCCAACACCATCGAAACCACGCAAACTCACCTTGCGGGACATCAACCTTGGCCTCCTTGGGCTTCGCCTCAGCCGTCCGCGGCTTGGCTTCGCCGGTCTTCCCCTTGTCACCTCCGCCCCTCGCGGGGCTCCTCGTCCGCTGCGTCATTGTCTCGCGCTCCGTCACATACGTCCTCTCTGTCCTCCTCTCCTCTACACGTCTGTCGTCGTGCATTCTGCTCGTAGCCCTGGGATTCCCCGACGCGGATCTCTTGTGCGCATTGCTTCCAGGCGACGCCTCTCTGTCCCCCCTCTCACGCTGCTGGTATTCCCGCTCCCGCGGCCGTTCCCGTTCCTTCTCTCGTGGTCGCGCATCGCTCCTCTCACCGCGCTCGCTCTTGAAGCTCGTCTGCCCGCTACCCACGCCGCTCGCTGCTGCGCCTGCATTCATGCGCGCTGCCCTCGAGGATCGGTCCTGTTCGGGGCCGGCCGCTGGGCCGTTTGCGCGCCGCTCATGGGTTGAAACCCTGGTGGTGCCAGACGACATGTCGCCGACTGCATCTGAAGTGTGCAATGCGCCTTGAGGGTTTTGGTACTGTTCTCATGGAAAAAGTGACGATGAGTCTGCGGCAGATCGAGGTAGATAGGTGCAATTCGGGTTTATTTGTTGCTTGGTCTGGCTGAGTCGTCTTTGTTTCTCTGCCCCTCTATCACAGAGTCGTAGTCTTACACTCCGCCTGTGGGTTGGGCTGGCTCACTACACATGCTACTAAGGTACTCCAACGCGGTAAAGGGCCATTAATCTCAGGCGCGTCTAGTCGGAAAATCCTCGCGTATTGTTGGCCCCGGTCCCGGATCTGGTGTACTCCCCTGGAATATTCCGGGTTTAGCGTTCGGGGGGACGGCAGCTGTTGGAGGGGGAGTGACGAAGTCGACCAATCACAGAGCTCCCGGGAAAAGAACAGGGGGAGTAGGTGCGCTTGGGGCCTGGTCGCTGCCGGGTCCAGTTGCTGCTGGGCCACCACCCCAAAGGTAACCTGGAAGCTTGAGGTGAGGTGCGGCTGCGTAGGCTAGGTGCTTGCCTAACCACGCCGGCCTCTCAGCCTTCCACCGTCACCGTTTGTTACCTGGACCTTCCTCCAAGCTCCCCCTCCATCCACACCTCAGTCGAACCCCTACCATCCCGCAATCCCCGAACCACGACAACCTCACGCGACAACGTCCTAGCCATTGACTCTGCTGAATATCCGCATACCTTCCCTTTTTCTTCTCTAGGAACTACACACATACAACACCGCCAAGATGTTTATGGCAAGATCTGAATACGGTAAAGCACCCAGCTAGCAAGCCAGCTTCCCACGTCGACCTCCTACACGCAGAAAGTTCTTTCGTCTAACAAGAAAACCCAAACACAGACCGAGGAATCAACACCTTCTCCCCGGAAGGTCGCCTCTTCCAAGTCGAATACTCCCTCGAGGCCATTAAGCTCGGCTCCACGGCCATCGGCGTCGCCACCTCGGAGGGCGTCGTCCTCGGCGTCGAGAAGCGCGTCACCTCGACCCTGCTCGAGACCTCGTCCGTCGAGAAGATTGTCGAGATTGACCGTCACATCGGTTGCGCCATGTCCGGCCTCCAGGCCGACGCCCGCTCCATGGTCGAGCACGCCCGCGTCGAGTCCCAGTCCCACTCCTTCAACTACAATGAGCCCCTCCGCGTCGAATCGTGCACCCAGGCCATCTGCGACCTCGCCCTCCGCTTTGGCGAGGGCGCCGAGGGCGAGGAGACCATCATGTCCCGGCCCTTTGGTGTTGCCCTCCTGATCGCCGGCTACGACGAGGACGGCCCCCAGCTCTTCCACGCCGAGCCGAGCGGCACATTTTACCGCTATGATGCCAAGGCTATCGGCTCCGGCTCCGAGGGTGCGCAGGCTGAGTTGCAGAACGAGTACCACAAGGTGAGTCTACTATGGGCACCAACATAGTAGTCCTATGAGAGTAGATGGAGCCCGAAGCGACGCAGTCCTAACACGTTTGCAGTCCCTGTCAATTACGGATGCCGAGACACTGGTGCTCAAGACGCTCAAGCAGGTCATGGAGGAGAAGCTCGACTCGAAAAATGTCCAGCTCGCAAGCGTAACGAAGGAAAAGGGCTTCAGAATATACACGGACGAGGAGATGGCCGCAGTGGTGGAGAGACTCCCTGCGAACTAGGGGGGAATCCGCGGTGTTTGGAACAGGATCTAGGGTACGATTTTTCGGTCTCAGGGGCTCGGGAGAGAGGGAAACGAATAAACTCAGAGTCGGAGAGAACAGAAGAAGCGTCAGAAAGAGAGAGAGAGCGAAAAAGAGAGCGAGAGACCAGAAACCACCCGATTACGAAACTTGGAACCTGACGTCTAGATGTAAACGACTTATCCATCCCGAAGTGTATCATTAATGTACTCTACATGATGATGGCTTCGTTCTCTAAATCTCATTCATGGTGTGACGTTATGAAGGGTTATATTGTATTTACACAAAAGTAGGACTATAGCCTCTCCCCAAGATGGCGTCTCACTCGAGCGTCCAAACGCACCAACGCACACTCCCTCACACTCCCACGCTCAAGAACTATTTCGCCGCCGGGATTCAGTCCCTCACTCACCCCTCATCCTTAATCACCAGCCTCTCCATCTCCTCCTCCACACTAATCAGACCGAGCGCGTAAAAAGCCCTCTCCGACTTGGCGACGACGAGCACCGTGTCGTCGCTTTCGAGCTGCTCGAGCCGGGCGCTGATCCGCCTTGGGTTCGACCACACGGACGGCGGCACCACGGTCTGCAGGCTCGGGTCGCGCGCGTAGGGTGGGCCCCGGCCCATGGCCGCGGCCTTTTTCCAACCGGACTCGCAGCCCTCGGCGATTTGCCGCGCCGACTGCCAGCCCGTGAGGCGGGCAATGTCGTGCATCCGCCTGACGATCCAGTAGCGCTGGGCGTCGGATTGGTACTGCGGCGAGTGGTGTTAGCAGGCCAGGGGGGCTCATTTAGTTATTTATCATGGCAGTAGAAACCTCGGGAGAGAGTCTCTTGGAAAGAGAAAAGAAGAAAAGAAGAAAAGGGGAGGAGGGGGGGGGGGATCTTCTCACCTGGATAGCGCCGACGAACAAACAGAAAGAACTCTCAACCAGCGCCGCGCCGACGAGGGTACTAATTTCGAGAACGTTACTACAATCGTCCGTCAGGCCCGCGGCGATCCGCCCAATCTCCATGGCAAACTTGGCCGTGTGCTGCGCCTGGATGCCGGCGGCGATCATGGCCGCGGGCGGCATCTTGGGGTGCGCGCGGTAGAGGTGGATGAGCCCCATGTAGTAGTTCATCCAGATGCCCGCCACCGAGAAGGTGCGGTACTGCAGCGTCGGACCAAACGGCGAGTCCCGCCGGTCGGCGTACTCGGCGCCCAGGGGCTGGAATTCCGGGCCGAAGCGGGATCGGAGCATCTCAAAGGCCTCGCGGAGGGAGGTCCACTCGCGCAGGGCGGCGTCCGCGGCCGCGTCCGAGTCGAGGTCCTCTGGGTGGTCTGGCGGCGGCGGGGAGTCGTCGCGCGGGGGACTGAAGCCCATCGGCAGCGTCACCTTTCCGAGGTTGGGGAGCATGCCCGGGAACATGGGCGGCGAGCCGCCGGGACCGCCGGCGCCCATTCCCGGCGGTGGTCCCATTCCCGGTGGTGGTCCCATTCCCGGTGGTGGTCCCATTCCTGGCGGTGGGCCCCCGCTCGGCGGACCTCCCATCATGTTTGGCGGCGGCATTCCCATCGGAGGAGCCCCGGGAGGTCCACCTGGCATCCCCCCCATCATCCCACTGGGCGGCCCGCCTCCGGACATGCCCGTTGCCATTCCTGGCCGGGGCCAACCCTGGCCGCCTCTCGGTGGCCCACCCGCACCTGGCGGTCCTCCTTGCGGTGGCCCTCCAGGCCGTCCGCTGGGTGGTCCGCCGGGAGGTCCACCTGGGGGTCCGAAGCCCTTGAAAGATTTCCGTTTTCTCGGGAGATCCTTGGATGCGAAGCTGCACAGGCGCCCGAGCAACAGCATGAGGTGGTCGTACGTCCCGTATCTACTGTTGGTTAGCCAAATCGTGCCTTAGACGCGACGACACGGACTGGCGGGCTTACATGGCTTCAAGTCGGCCCATTGGGGCTCGTGGCGGACATTGCGTCCAGTGCTGGTAGTCCATACTGTTTTTTTCCCCTCGTCAGCGAACAATACAGTCTTGACTGCATGATTGTCCAAATGCCAACTTACAAAGGTTTCCCTCCGCCCAATATGCTCTGGTACACATCCATTTTGCAATACCACCAGTACAGATCTCTGAGATGTTCGTAGTGCTCGATATCACGGTCTGTGTAGTAGTGCGGAGACGGCTCGTCGTCCTCGTACGAGACGTGCTGGTTGGTCAGCTTGCTGAGGAAGCCGAGGTCGAGATCGTCAAGATCGTGGCTCATCATGTGTGTGTTGTCGTGGCCCATGTAAAACGGGTCCATGGGCTGGTTCTGGCTCTCCTGGAACAGTGCCCTTCTGACCCTTTTCAGCGGCAGAATGCTCTTTGTCATTTGCCGAAACGGGATCTCCCTGATCAGGAGTCTGGACCCAAAGAGATGGTTACACCACTTGGTGTGATCCGAGTTCCAGACCTCAAAGTACCCGAGCAAGAGGGAGGCGGCTAGTGTCGCCGGCGACGTTCTCCTCTTGGGACTCCGCAGATTCTTTGCAATCCTGCGGATGGCGAGGTGATAATGCTTCATGGCCGCCGTCGGCGGTATTTGCTGCAGCTTGGCGATTTGCAACGCACCCAACGCAAGCATTGCCTGGAGGAGGGCAGGGTGTGTGAAGGATATAATAGGAAACGTGTCTGATCAAGAGTTAGCCAAATTGGGAGGGGGGGGGGAAATTGCAGAATTTCATCGTCTTACAGGTCCAGATATTGTGCCCTGCTTTGGGCACAGAGAAATTGTTTGTCAACTTTGAGTGGTCAAAAGGATGCCTCTCGTAGAGGGACATGCTTGGCCCTGTGACGTTGATGAAATGCCAGAACAAAGTCGCGGTTCGCTCGTCGTTGAGTGGCGAATTGTTGGGTGTGGGTATGTACGATGTGAGAATGGTCTCATCGGCAAAGGCCGAGAAGGACCTCATTTTGGTTCCGAATCCATCCCAAGGGCCGTCGTTCCGGCTCTGCACCAGTTGGCCGTACGCGCTCTCCTCGCCCATGAGATCTTCGAATGCGTCCTCGGAGTCGGGCATGGAGGCATCGTCGTCCGAGCACGGGTACTGAAGCTCTGCGTCCTCCAAAGGGTGACCCACCCGAGGAGCGGTATTAACGCTGGGGAACACATCCATCTCTTCCACCAGCGCATGAACTGCCGTCGGCTGCCCTCTCCATGGTTCTGTCGGACTGTGGACAAACGCGCCACTATCTGTATTGGGACTGACCAAGCTGCTCCGCTGATTACCAAAATGCGGCTGGAATTGACTGGCTGGTGAGATGATGGAAGAACTTGAGTGCATGTGTTGCTCGCCATACGAGAACTGGTTGAAGTCGAAGGCACCAGGAGGAGGGGCCTGAGGTTGATGATGACCGGGGAAGCCTTGGCCATAAGGAAACATTGTTTGGCCCTGCAAGTCGAGATGCTGCGGCGGCTTAGGCGCAATCGGTGCCAAAGGAGGTCCGTTGACGGATTTTGGCGGCGGGTTGGGCAGTTGGTTGAATGACTGATTTGGCGCCTCGGGAGGATACACGATAGGACCGTAGCCGCCATTGATATTGAACGCGGCGATGGGATCTTTGAAAATGACACGTTGATTGTACCCCTCGCAATGCCTCTTGGACTTGATACAGTTGTTACAGATAGGCCGGCCTTCATCGCACTTGATGCGGCGTTTTCGACATGCTTTGGAGTCAAGTCAGACATCAAGACTGGGTGTGAACATGGGGGGCAGTAGCAAAGGAGAGGGGAGGAAGCCAAGGTCAAAGTTGGGGTTGAACACATGGAACATACTGAGACAGCCGGTTTTCGTCCTTTTCCTCACATTCGCTTTCTTGCTGCGGTTCGGGTCTTCATTCTCATTGTCGTCGTCGTTATTGTTGTTCTCCGAGGTCTTGGACGGTGACTTGTCGTCTTCGAGTGCCACGTCGGCGGATTCCATCCTGGTAGATGCTAGTTCGCTGCGAGTGAGATCAGAAGATGCGACGCGGCTCTTAATCCGTGAGTCTGTTGACGACGACAGGCCGCATTGTCTACTAGTGGTTTGTAGCTCTTGGGCGCAGTTTTGTAGCGAGTGTTTCGTTTCCGTAGGTGGAGGGCTTCTCTTTCAGGTTCGTAGTCTAACGCAGGTATCGTGAAGCTAATAAGAAGTTTACAAGAGTTCCGAGGAATGACTGCTGTGGAAGACGTGAAGGACTCCTCTTCCGGGTCACTACGTGTCTGCGTGTTGAATCGTCTAGCGGTAGCGCAACGAGACACTATGGATAATTACCGTTCTTGTGCGCGGCACCCGGATCGAAGGAGAGAATCAAAAGGACGCAGGTATGGGGCCCAAGGATGTAGATGAGTTTTAAGCAGCCATAGATGGTGGAAGGAAGTGAAACAGGCCGGTGCTACTTTGTCTTCGACGAATGGGTTGTCATGGGTTAGACAAGATGCATGTACTCGTGGGGTAGGACGGGGGGGGATGAAGGGTAGGGATGTCTGCAGCAGTTGGGAGAGGAGGATGCCTCTCTCACTCACACGACACGAGGAACGAGGATCAGTAGAGAGGCACTTGTCCGCCCTAGACAAGGAAGGACAGACTAGGAAAAAGGTAAAGGTTCCAAGGCAATGTTCTGTGCCTCGAGTTAGGGTATCTGATTCGAGGCTAAAGTAGGCCAGCGTGGGGAGAGTACATAGATGGGCCACAAACAACGGGGGAGCCGCCAAGCAGCAAGTAGACTAAGAGGTGGCCGGGATAACTGGGGTTGGTAAAAGGACGGAGGAGGAAGAGGAGGAGGCGAAGGAGACAGGATGGAAGCCGGCACCTAGGAAGTAGTGTAACTTCTTGTGGTGACTGGTGAAGTACTTAGGTGCATCGAGTGAGGAGGCACATAGCTAGACCGCTAGGGCAAATGGAGAACAAGATAAGAGTGTGTGCGTCTGTCTCTATCGTGTGTCTCCTGTGCTGCCTCGCTCTCTCTCTCTCTCTTTCTCTCTCTCACACACACACATTCTGTGCCTCTCTAGTAGGCACGCGCGGGACAGGAGCCATGGAACCCGCCAATGTCTCTGCTACTGCTATTGTGACGAGAGAGAAACAGAAAAACACACCAACAGTTTGTATGGGAATGCTGCCGGGACTTGGATGTAGTGTATTATTCGAGGGGCATGGGGGGGCACAAGAGAAGAAAGGCGCAGCCTAAAGCCAGCCACAGCAATGAAGGAGACGGGGGCACCCTTGAGTTATTCGTGGATCATGTTGGTGGTGCGGCAAGACGACGGGAAGGGAGGAAACATTACGGTGGCTTGCGGACGCCGCACAGCATAACACAGCGCAGCGCAGCGCCGCACCGCACCGCACCGCACCGCACGCACACCTCTTCCCGCTGGCCGGGCTTGCTCTTTGGTTACCGCCATCTCCCATGTGCTGAGACACAATAACCTGCGAGGTAAACAGCCCGCATAGACTCGCTGTACGAATACTCTGTACTCTGTACCTCGGACAGATCCCTTGTCCTCGGGCAGGCCAACCAGCCGGGGGAAAGCAATGCTTGCTTCTTTCCATTTCCATTCTGACCGCGGCGCCTGAGGGGGTATCAAACTGCCACATCAGGGGCGCAATGTGGTATTGGTGTAAGGGATCCGTAGCTTCGAGCTCCGTCATGAATCTGGCCAAGGTTCCGCGCTAGGATGCTGCGCTGCTGCTGGGCCGCCCAGGGTTAAGCCGTTTAGGGTCCTCCTCGGCTGCCACTAGAAGAGGGGCCGACGGCGGCAGCGGCGACGGCGACGTACGGATACGGCCACCTCTGTTCTCTTCCAGGGCCCAGGGGTCTGTCTGTCATGCCCCGAATGACAGCCCATCGGTGGATATAGCGCGCGGCACTAATTAAGGTAAGGCCAGCCTGTTACGTGCCTCCGTCGCTCAGGCAGTCAGCCCACATAGTAGGTACCGGTATCCGTAGTCCAGGACTCCATGAACATCCTTGGCCCTAGAAGCTCAGAGAGAAAGAGAGAGAACAGTAGAGGAAACTCGGCAGGCCAAGACCTGCGCGATGCTCCGGGAGGCATTCGGGAAATGGAGTCTCGCATAGTTTTCTTTTTCCCGTGGTGACAACCGTTCCGATGAGCTAATCTGTCACCTGTACAGATTTATTTGCGCACGGAGATTGGGAGCTTGAATAGGGGAGCCGCCAAGCTGAAAAACCCAACGGCCTCATCCAACAAACTTTGTCCTCGCATTCCCGGGTTCCAGGCCGAGGTCGTCAAGGCGCGGCCCAGGGCATTCCGTATCTCGGTAGGGAGTACAATGTATGAACCATTGGGCTGCGTGACTAGGTGTGAACGTGACATGCCGTCCGAATAAGACAGCCCGCCTGAGTCGCAGAGGACATGGGGGGCGAGAGATGTAGATGCCGAATCTGATTTTCGTCCGAGGTTTAAGTGGTCTGGACTCATTTCCTGGCAGGGTTGCCCAGCCTGCCCCTCACCAATCCTCCGCCCTAAAGGTAAGCAATGACCAAGCTGTGATCTGATGGGGAGAAAAAACGGTCGACAGGGCATGCGGAGTTGGTTGAGAAGCAAGGTCTCCGGCTCGGGATCGGTCTTGATGGTCGCCCGCCACCGTTGCAAATCTCGAGCTGTCCGTCCGTACGTCTGAATGTAGCCCTTGGTCAGTCCTGGCCCTCCTGGGCCCTCCTGGGCCAGCGTTGTTGATATCCATCATTGTCTTGGCATCTTGACAAGTCTTCGGTCATTGCCGAAGGCAACGCGCCAGGTGGCTTTCAAGTCTAGGCGGGATGGGTCCACTAGCTTTGAGCCGAATTGCCATGTGCCGAGCGGGAAACTAAGGGGTTTTTCCCTTGGTTTTTTGCGAGACCAGGGTTTGCATAGAAGCCGTCTCTTTTTTTTTCCACTTCCTGTCAATGGAGGGGCATGGTCTGATAATCCATAACGCCGCGCGCAAGCGTTGTGAACGACGACACGCGTGGCAGGAGGATGGAGCCAGCGCTCGGGCGTATGTCATGTTCCCTGCCAGACTCATCATCCAAGCAACGTCAGGGTTCATATCTGCTGAGTGCGAGCATTTCGCCGGGACGCACTGGACGGGAGAACAATAGAAGACACCGGAAATGATATGCTGCTGAAGGATCCCGGCAACATTCCCCCGTCTGAGGATGCTTTTCCATACATCCAAGGTCCCAAGTCGGGGGCCAATCATCGCATTTCCGACCTGCTGGATGGTGTGACCGATCACTGGTCGCAGCATAGTTGACTGGCATACGGTGCGACACAAACGTCGCGCATTGTCGAACAAAAGGAGGCGTGCTGATCACCGTGAGCCACCTTCGCCCGTGCTCTCCTGAACGAACTGGTCACATCCAGCTCCCTATATCTTCGATCGTCTTGTACCTCCCGGTGAACACACCGCACCTGGGCAAACCCCCCCATATGTTTGTTTACTGTGTCTGATCTCGGCGGAAGCCCACGACGACGGCTGCTGCAGGTCAGATATGCAATCTGCCTTCTCGCAGCCGCGGAGTCCGGCTCAAGGTCTGCATGGCACCAGCCGGAAGGGCTACAGCTTTCGGGTGTTCTAAGCTGTTCTAAGCGCGTGCCTGAATTGGATCCTCTTCAAGTGTGTGATTCGTGGGTTGAATATGAGTTTCTGATCGGTACTTCGTTGGACGCCCCTCGCGTTGGCGCAAGACAACCACCCAAATAGACATTCCGTATTGCGCCTCGATAGGTCAAAGTGGGACCTGTGTCGCAATCAAGTTTGCGGGAAGCTGGCGGTATCATTCTGAGGTTTCTCTCAAAGCTCGTTGTTCGTAATGGAAACTCTCCGACATCCCCACCAGAGCTCTAAGAAGGAGAGTGATTGGGAAGACGAGTCTCTGCTCTCGAGCAGATTGTCATTTGACCTGCCGCACCGTTTCCCCCCACCTCATCGTCCTCTCTTTCGCCCCGAATGTAGCAAAGCGTCCAGCAAAGCCAACCGTGGAACTTCCGTGGAACCGGGTCATGCGCCGTACCCATGTTTTCGGGCCAAAGATCGGGGCTTCTCTGTTGAACCGACCTATGCCGAACAGACTAGCTAATTGACCGTTTGCTAGTCAGGTTCTAAGGCTCGCTCGCAGCCCTCCTCCGTGGGACAAAATAGCTCTGATGGCGGGGATTCCATAGAAATTCTGGCAGGTGGCAAACCCGCACCTACAAGTCTAGCCACTCGACAGACGAGGAGAATCCGGCTTTGGAGAAGCATACCTATGTCCCGCGTAGATGTCTTTGAATGGTTATGATTATCAGACTGACTGGACTAGGTTTTGAAAGCAACGTGAGTAGGTCGTATCCGGGGACGACGAACGCCATGCCTTTTGGGGTTACATCTAGCGGTAGCGACACCAGGAATAAAAAAGTAAAAGAAGTCGGGGAACCTTGATGCGGGTTGCTGACCTCTGGATTGCTTATCGAGAACCACAATGCACACCCGGTTTCACCTAGACGGACTTGCAAAGAACGACTGGCTGCTTGGACCAGATTCATCGACTCGGAGGGGTCGGAAATCGGCGCCAACAGGCACCCTACTAGGTCATCTATATGGCCTCATACCTCTGGGTAAATTGTTTTCGTTTTTTGAGTTGCATGCCGCCGGATCCAGAAAGAAGTGGAAGAAGCTATCTGAATTGATTGGGCCATCTCGCAGCGCCCTTCTGTGACGACTCGTAAAACGTTTCTTGTTGACGTCGACGAAGGCTACGTGCAGCAGACAGACACTCGTGCACATCGCGGGTCCGAAATGCTTGCTTTTCACTATTCCAATCAGTGCAGCATTCGAGCTTGGTGCAGCCATAGCGGTATGCGGCTTGTTTACTAATCAGTATGGCCCCGGCAGCGCTGCCCAAACGAACAAGTCTGATGAGTTTCCCACCCTATATTGGCCTGGACTGGAAGGCTGATTCGTGGACCCGGAGATCGATTTGAGCTCTGATGTCCGCAAGTCAGGCCATCATCCACACGCCCAACTGCGAATTGTAAAAGCATTTCCCGGCCGGGGTGGGGTTGCGGTGTGTTTGGCTGAGGTCGAGGTCATCACGGGCCTAGCTCGCCAATAGCGTGCTCCGTAATCGACTGGCTGTATTCGTAGTTCACTCGGGTTGACAAGACGGAATGCCGGGTTATGAAAAATGCCGCGTTTGCGGGTCATTCAGAAAGAAAGGAAGAAAGTGAGCCATACTGTCGCAATCCGGAGTTAACGCTATTGAAGAGACCGTTGCAGCCTTACCAACATGTTGAACCAGCTAGAGCAAGGTTGTTAACCGGCGGCTCCCGTGAAGCACTTTGTGCCTGGGTACTGAGTAGGGATGAAGCAGGCCATTATTCATAAATCAAGACTTAATTCTCTTCAAGATCGTTCGGTATTAAGAAGCAATTCGAAGTAAAGCTTTTGGAAATCTGGATAGAAAGTGTACAGGGTGAGTTGGTGGGAGGAGACAGGAAGTCGGGGCGGGATGCAACGGTGGCAGTGGTGGCAGAGGAAGCAGAGGAACAGAGGCGGGGTGCACGGTCCACACCTCTATCTCGCCCCATCCTTGTGTCGATCAAAACGCAGGGGTGCGATAAGCGACCTCTGGGGAAAGGAAGGAAGAAAAAAAAATTCCAACGTCGATGAGCCATGAGAGTGAGCGTGAGATGCGCATGAGCTACAAGCCTACAACCTGTTCTTCACCACATCTTTTTTTTTTTTTCCACAGGTACCACGATAACGTCACACAATTGGGGCATCTAGAGCGTCAATCTTTGTCGCCCGAAATATGTTCGCTGTCCCAGGATGGTCCGTAGCGGCCGAGGGTCTCAAAACTGAGACCCAGGTGAAGAAGGCCAGCGCCCCCAAGAACGAGAGCAAGAAGCGCAAGAGGGCCAACAAACAGGAGAAGAAGGAAAAAAAGGCGCCCAGCTCGGGCGCAAACTCTGTCTTGGTGAACCCTCGCGTTTTTGGAGAGAAGAGGGAGGACGGCGAGGCTGCCGGAGACAAGCGCAGGAGGAGCGACGGCGGCGAGGCTGACCACGATGATGCTGATGATGCCGATGAGGCTGAGACGCCCAAGCCGAGCAAGAAGCAGAAGAAGGAAAAGAAGGAAAAGAAGAATGAGCATGACACGACCCAGCAGACTCCCAAATCCGACAAGAAGGAAAAGAAGCAGAGGAAGGAAAAGTCCAACGAAGGTGAGCCGACACCAGCAGAGACGCCGTCCAAGGCGCAGCAAACGCAAAAGGCCCCGGCAGACAAGGACGGGGAGAAGAAGAAGAAGAAGAAGAAGGACAAGGATGCCGCCGCCGCCATCGCCGCCTCCGTGCCCCCCGTCCCGCCCGCCGCCGCCAAGCTCACCCCGCTCCAGCGCTCCATGCGCCAGAAGCTCGTCTCGGCGCGCTTCCGCCACCTCAACGAGACGCTCTACACCCGCCCCTCGGCCCAGGCCTACCAGCTCTTCGAGGATTCTCCCGAGATGTTCTCCGAGTACCACGAGGGCTTCCGCCGCCAGGTCGAGGTCTGGCCCGAGAACCCCGTCGACGGCTACATCCGCGACATCAAGCTCCGCGCCAAAGCCCGCTTCCCCAACGCCCGAGGCCGCCCGGGAGCGCAACCCGCACCCAACGGCCCTCAACCCTTGCCCCGTACCGACGGCACGTGCTACATCGCCGACCTGGGCTGCGGCGACGCCCGTCTCGCCTCGACCCTCGACCCCGAGTCCAAGAAGCTCAAGCTCCAGATCACGAGCTACGACCTGCACTCCCCCGCCAAGCACGTCACAAAGGCCGACATCGCCAACCTGCCCCTCGAAAACGACTCTGTTGACGTCGCCATCTTCTGCTTGGCCCTCATGGGCACAAACTGGCTCGACTTCATAGAGGAAGCCTACCGCATCCTCCACTGGAAGGGCGAGCTTTGGGTCGCCGAGATCAAGTCTCGCTTCGGCCCCGTGCACCGCAAAAACGCCGTCGTCTCCCACAGCGTCGGAAACCGAAAAAAGGCCGCCGCCGCCGTCGCCGGGAAAAAAACAAAGGAGCCTGAGGAGACGGAGGCGGATCGCACGGCTCTCGCCGTCGAGGTCGACGGCCACGAGGACAGGCGCGGCGAGACGGACGTCTCGGCTTTTGTCGAGGCGCTGAGGAAGCGCGGCTTCGTCTTGGCGGGCCAGGGCGAGGGCAACAAGGGTGCCGTGGACCTGTCGAATAAGATGTTTGTCAAGATGCACTTTATCAAGGGCGCGGTGCCCACCAAGGGCAAGGGTCTTGCCGCGGCCAAGGCGGCTGGCTACGTGGAGAAGGAGAAGAAGCAGAAGAGGTTCGTGTGGGAGACTGAAGAGGACAAGGTTGATGAGACGGGTATCCTGAAGCCCTGTGTGTATAAGTTGCGGTAGACTGGCTGGTTGTATGTGTTCTACTGAGGGTTTGGTAAATAAAAGTTGTTTTTATTTAGGGCTAATGTCACTGTTATTGAAAGATTGAAATAATTCTCAACTGTGGCTCGATACGTCGGAATGGGACTGGGTGTAGCACTACCGCCGTCCCAACTTGGTGCAAGACCCCAGCGAATGCCGTCGAATCTCAGGGTTTATACAGGCACAATAGATATCGCGTAGCGAAGGTCTCGAAGGCTCAGGTGGCATTACTTGAATTTCAAAGTGCCGAGTCTGTCTATCAAACGCTTTCAACGCAAATCATGTCGAGCTGCGCATGCATGATGCACGACTCCGAGTCATCCCCCTTCTCCGTCTTGAAATGTCCCATATCCGTGCATTCATAATATGCAGACCTGTTTCAGCCAAAGAATCACCGATACGCCCCTAATCCAGTCTATGCCCCAAATAAGAGTCCGGCAGCGAACTCTACATTGCCGCCTGTGGCTTGCAAAGCATTAATCGCGGCTTCACGTGGGAAACCCAAAGCCATGAGCTGGTTGATATGCTCTTCCGGGAAAGTTGGATCTGCAGGAGGCTGCTGCTGAGGTGCTGGCCGACCCTGCGGAAGGGTTTGCTGCGCCGGCGCGGCAGCGGCAGCGGCTTCCGGACCGCTTACAACACCAGAACGCTGGCCGATGGTCGTCCCCGCTGGCCCCGGCAGTCTGGGCTCTTCCTCGAGAGCCTCTTCGCTCTCCTTAGGAATCTCTGCTTCGCCCAAAAATGACACCTCCTCGCCCTGAATGATCAGCTTGTCCTTGGCCAAGTCAATGCTGGCCTGGTAGCGTTTGAGCATGTCGAGACCAAGGAGAAGCTCGACCTGCTTGCCCTCCATGACGGTGAAACTGCAAGGTAGGAACATCGTGCCGACCTTAATCTGGGCAGAGTGCACACGTCCGATGATGTTGGCAGTACCCACTCCGCGAGCCACGCCCGCAAACCGTTTGTCGACGAGCCTCATGATACCGCAGGCTTCAGCACATGAAGGGGACATGATGGTGGCCTGTGCTCCAGAATCGACTAATGCCTTTACTCTGTGGCCGTTGACTTCGACGTCGACATATAGCATGTGCACTCGTCCGAATACTGTGCGAAATCAGTCTCTAGGTCTGCACTCATGACGCCTTGCGTTGTTTGCCATACCTTCAGGGTTATGCTCCATGGCATTTTGGAGGTTTTCCATGACTCTCTCTTGACGGATCATCTCTTCAATCTTTTGCTGAGCTTCTACATCGAACGGATCCTCGTTCAGGCGCGCAATCTGCCTTTGCCGCTCCTCGCGGTCCCGCTGCTCACGGTCGTAGCTCTGGTTGAAAAGTTGGGCGAATCTCTGGGGATCGTCCAGCACGGCGGCGAGCTGAGGCTGCTGACGGGTGGCTTCGGCACGTAGGTTTGGATCGCCTAGGATCTGGAGGCGAATGAGCTCTGGGTCTTGTCCTCCCGGTCGCCGGCGCTGCTGTGGCGCCCTTCTGCCCTGGTCCGGCAAGCCAGTGCTTCCTTGCATGTCCCTCACGTGTAGCGCCAACATCTCGCCGTCAGCAATATGCAGCTGCTCCATCGTCTGAGTATCATCTTGGATCAAGCGACCATTGTGGTAGAGGTGCTGAGAAGTGGGTGCGATGGAGGTTTCGGCTTGGATGGCTTCTCGGAGTGTGGACATGGGCATGTCAGGGAAGATCTCGAGGGTGAGAAGATCCTGGTCCTCGACCTCGGGGTTCGTTATGCTCAGCGTAATGCGCCTGTTGGAGAGGAGAATAATCAGCGGCGAACATGTCAAGTCCCGGCAAAGGAGGAAGGCTTACATGATGGGTTTTTGTCTCTGGTGCACGGGAGCTGTCGCCCGCTGGATTGACCGGGTGCTGAACGGAATGGTCTGGCGGTGAGAACAAGGAAAGAGACCAGATCAGGTCCAAGATAGTCGTCAGGTTTCACTGTTGCGAAAGCGAGGTTGAAGTTACCCTCAGCACGGAGCTGCGGAGGAGGGGTGTTGGAGGGGCCAAAATTCAGGCAACACAACAGTGACGTCTCATCCGGAAAGTAAACAGCTGGTGGACGGGCGATTGGATGGAGTTGAGCTCCGAGGAAAGTTTCGACGGTATAGCGGTATCTTCTGGCGGTGCTGAATGATTGGACTGGTGGAATCTGATGCGTTGAGAGACACTTGTTCCCAAAGGTCGGATTTTGAGGTAGGTAATTGGAAGGGAGCCGGGGGAGGTAGGGGAAGGTAAAGGCAAGGTAGAGAGCTCGGCTAGGTACTTGGGGTACCTTTTTGAGTGTTTCGTAAGGAAGGTGGGTGCAGTGACGAGACCTACGTTTCCCCTCCCCCCCGTTTGCAGTGGCTTGGGACGGGGTCGACGGGGACAGGCAAGGACGGGGAACGCACTACGTAAGGTAGATTGGGGCCAAAACATGTATACAAACACTGTGAAGCAAACCTAGGTGCTGCCAAGGCGCGATTACCTATTAGAAGGGGGGGGGAAAGCAGTGGCCACGGAAGAGATGGCGGACGGAAGCTCGTGGAAGGCTGCGGGAACTTCTACGCTTAGCTCACCTTACCCGACGGCGTGTTTCTGTCAGCCAGATGCAAGGTTTATTTTGTATTCTTTAATCCAAGGTACGGATAGTGTAGGTATCGTTACATGTAAATCTCTGTCTGCGCAGCTACCTACCTTGGGTATTTACAGTAGGTAGGCACGTAGGTCATCGAATACCTGAGCCTCCCGGTTCCAAGTCGCAGCAGCACTGGCATGTTCCCCTACGGCATATTAGCCCCACGAGCTAATCGTTGACTAAGCCATCAAGTACCGTCAAAGTAGCCGCAGGTGGTGGCAGGTGTTCGATGCCGAACTTCTGTACCTGGCCTATACCTGCGGCAGCTGCGCGAGCCAAGCAAGCGACCGCAAGAATCCTTGCAACCGACTCGAGTACTTCCTTCTGGAGCAGGTACAAGAACTGAGAATTCCCTCTTGTTTCCAGGTGTGTATACTTGGATCGTCGTCTCTTCCTGTGCCGAACTGACCTGTCACAGATCCTCAAAAACTGCCGCCAATCGATGGCCAGCAGCGACATGTTCTGCCACTTTCGCTGGCGGATTTCTGTGCAATGATGACAAACCTACGGGCGCTGTTCGTACCTTGCCCCGAGGCAAAGAAACACCGGCAGTCTCGCTTGGAAAATCCGTCCGTCTCCTCTGGTAAGTCATGACGAAGAAGGTCTATCGCAGCGGACGGGACTGTTCGACAACCGACGCGGCCTGACACGACGAAATCCTGTCAAGTTTCTTCTTCGTCCCCTCATTGCTGATGAAATATCCGCATCGACCTGCCTTCAACTTCGCTCCCCACGCTCCTTTCGAATTCGAAGGGCACGCTTGCAAGTCTGAATTGAGTCAATGACACTGCATATAATTTCTTGGGACGGCGGCTGCAAGTACCGGAAATTTTGTCCCGACCGAAATGTTCATGATCTGACGGCATGGGACCATTGTCCCAAGGTGCCATTGCTCTCACCCATGTCTTACTTGCGACATCTCGAAGGCAGGCAGAGATCGGCGTGCGAACTTCGCTGGAGGGTCGGAACTGCAGTCAGCTCGGATGCCGGCCTTAAAGTCTGCCGGATCCGGCTTCTGTGTTGGCCGCATTCCGGGTTCTTGAGGCTGTCGAGTAAGGTAGGTAACGAGTTGAGATGCTCCGCGTCTTCGTACTTCGTGCAGTATGCGCTCTGAGCCTCTGCAACCCAACCCAAAATATTAGGAAGGTCCAAGACCACAGCCCAAGCAGGTTGACTCATGACTTGCAACTCCGTAGAATTCGAACCTCACACATCTGACATGGTCGAAAGCCGAGAAAGTGCCTCACGGCCCTTTCTAGACCTCATTGAGCTCGCTGCATATGCTGCACTGCGGCGGGGCAATGCAACTCTGGATCGCCGACCCGGAAAGATTCTCAAAGTCGATGCGACAGTTATGTCCATTTCGGCGAAGGCCTGCAGCTGTCAACATGCCACAACGAAAAGTTTTTCGTCGGCTGCCTTCGGCCTCGGGGTTGCAGCTGTCCTACTGGCCAAGATCCAGACAACCCGATAGGCTTGGAATCTTGCCCATGGTGTTGCTGCGTACGGTATATTCCCAGAGTCCAAGGCAATCCCCCAACCGCCTTGGGGAATAATGCTCCAGGCCACCCAACCTCAACGGAAGGCTGAGATTGGTGTGACATCCAAGTGGTGAAGCACACCGCAGCAGCCAGAGTCAGGGGAAAGGAGCAACAAGCATGCCGGCCAAGACCCAACTAAGGCAAGTTGCTCGCCCACCCACACGAATTGAGACGTCTGAATATACGTTGTGCCGCCGAACTCCTCTTTTCAGACTTTGACCTTGCAGTCGCTGACTGTCTGAATTTTGTTCGTTTTCTGGCGGGGGCATTGGTCAAAAGCGACCTCGACCTGACGGACCAGGAATTAGCGGTCTGCAAGCAAACAGCGTCTGCCCAACCCGCCAAAATCAGGCATGGCGAAAATCGCAGTCCCGGAGAGATCATATTCATTACTTAACGTAGCCCGACGACAAGTAAGCCTGAGTATATATATTTCCACGAACTCTGTGCTCTTATTCTGAGAGGCACTGGCCAGGCTGATCTCATTGGCCCTCCCGAAGCACAGAGCGATGTTGATGTTAATTAAGCTTGGCTTATCCGTACTGTGGGGAATAAGTACAAGTCAGGTCACTCTCTCATCTTCCCTTGATCCCAACCGGCCTTGCTGTACGAATATGGTCAAGCCTCTCAAGAACCTTTGTTAGTTTTACCCTGTCCTTGGGTAATGACCTGAATTGAGAGAAAGCAACGGTACCCGTTGTTACCCGCCATGGCCTGCAAAGGAATCTTTTCCCGCAATCCCATCTTGCAAAGCTGGGATACTACATGAACAGCATCATCTCTTTTGCCAATGTGACAACTCCAGGGGGGGGCAGGAGGGGGGGATTTCTGGGAAGGGTGGGAAATAAGATGGAGCCGGGCAACAACTCCAGCATCGCCTTGCAATATTCATGGGCTGAACAGGCCACAACTGTGCCACTGCGGGTAGGTCAGTCACGCGACAAACACCTCATAACCACACTGGCGCATCCAATGATGGCGGGCGTTGCTCTGCCATAGCAAGTCACTAACGTCCAATTCCCTCCAGTTTCCCCTTTGGCTGCTGCAGTACCAATCCGTTTTCTACCAACTCCATGCCCTCTGTTTCTTCTGCAGCCAGGTAGCTCAGCTCCTCTTTTGCAATCCCGTTATCGCTCTTCACCGTTCAGGTTCACTCACTTGTCCCCAGCGCTTTGTCCCCTCCCAGCCGTGGACCACCTGACCTTATTTCCTCCGTTGTCCGACACCCACTGCCCCGAGCTAAGGTGCTCACTCGGCCTTGCCTTTCGGCACACACCGGCCGGCTATTCCTTAACTCACAGCCCCATCAGGCCCCGCTCTGCAACGACAGCGCCGAGTTCAACGGCCGGCAGCCCCCCGATGTCCCTCCGAGGCCACATGTGCACTCGCCCAATCAGTCGCCTCAACATTCACACCAAGGCAGCAATAGCACCCGCCTCTTCTGGTTGCCATCCTGAGGCGTGTTCTTGCCTTGTTTGAAACCTTTGAGTCCCTCTGTTTACCAGGTGACCGGGGGTAATTTGACCCAACAAGGCGCCCACTGACTGATTCCATTGCCTCGCTCCTCTCTGTGTAACCAACAACTCCTCCCACTTCCAACCTTCTCATCCAACCCTGCCCAACCCTTTGCAAATCACGTACGTCTTCCGGCGTATCCCCCTCATCCTCATACCTCCCTGCCATTACGGCAACTTTTACGCATCAAATACAACCCCACGATCTCTCGTCATCATGCCTGATGAGAAAGATCCTCCGGCTGCCAAGGCGGACGAGGCGTCCGACTGCGCGATCGACAGTTCTGATGACGGCGACGACCAATACATCGAGGCCCAGATGTCCCAGTCGGAGCTGAAGAAGAAGCAGCCTCAGCGTCTGACGATCCAGGATGTCGTTCCTTTCAAATGGAGCCCTTTGGTGCTGCCTCTGACTGAGTCCAACATCGAGTCTTGTGTCGCCCTCGAGGATGCTGCGTTCTCCGATCCAAGTCATCGCGCTACCCGCGTGAAGGTGAGCCGATATGTCTCATCTTTCTTCATTTTTCACTTTTGTCTCTCTCTGCCCCTCTCCCCAGTCTCTTTTCCTCGCGTCACCCAGTCTCGATCATGCCGAGCCTGAGACTACATTGAACTCAACTCATCTCTGGGAGTGAGAGCCCCGCGAGTCTCTGACGTTGGAAAGCGGATAAGTCGCGTTATATCTCATAGGCAGAGTGCCATGTACCAAGGCTCGCTCAAACTCACACTCCGTCGCAGTTCATGTACCGCCTCGCGACCTGCTCAGACATCTCTACAGGCCTCTTCTGCAGCGTTGTCCCCGCCGAGGCCGAGGCTTTCGACCTCTCGACCATGAACGTCGCTAGTCCCGTCGAGACAGGTCGCGCCAACGGTGCCAGGCTGGTCCTCCTCGGCCACGCCGTTGCTACCCTCGGCGACGGCCCCGTTGTCAGCGATGATGACATGGCCTATCCGGACAATTGGCGCGATCAAAAGTCCGCCAAGAGCACGGATCTCGGCCACAAAATCATGGGCCGTACCCTGTGTCTGCATTCTTTCGCCATCGACCCCAAGGTCCAGGGCTTGGGCCTCGGCAAGCTTCTCATGAAGTCTTACTTGCAGCAGATTAACAACTCTGGTGTTGCGGATCGCATTGCGCTGATCTGCAAGGACGTAAGCTGCTCTCACTGAATCAAACTTCTTTTTGATTTTTGGTAATACTGACGCAAGCGCAGTGGTTGGTTAGCTATTACCAGCGCTTCGGCTTCAAACGTGTCGGTCCCAGCAAGGCATCTTTCGCTGGCGGCGGCTGGAATGACATGGTAAAATTCTCATGCAGTCTATCGTCGGGTTTGGCGGAACGACTAACACCATCGCAGGTCATTGAACTCTCCGGTCCGCCCAAGAAGGGTCCGGATGCTCTCAAGGCATCCGCCGAGTAGTACCGCCGCGGTCACTGAGATCATTGTAGGATTGCTTTTTCTTCAGACTCTAGGCCCAAGAGTCTCGATTGTCCGAGCTCTAGATGGGACGAGATCTCCTGTTTGATTTGATTCGAACGAACCGGACGGGCTTGGGGTGGATATACGGGTTGGTCGCCACTGCGACAACCTCACATTTGCATGGATGGCTTCGCTTTCTTTTCTTTTGTTACCCAAGTTTAGTATCGTCAAGTTACCACGAGATTGTGAATCTCAAGAGGTAATATCATGAGACGACAGGGCCGAGACTACTTTACGATGAGGACATGACATAGAGTGCCTTGCCATGGGAAGAGAGAGCAAGGCAAATTAAGTTGCGATCTTTCACAGTGTGCCCCTGTTCAGCTTTCGTCTACGCGTGAGGATTGCAGGTATGCAAAGCCACTTCCCAAATCACTTTTATCATCCTATGCGCCTGACCCGAGGGGCCCTATAAAGTTCCGTCCGTCCATCCGTCCTTCCCTACAAGCGCCGACCGTTGAACATGGCATTCATGATATCATGCCTGCTCCAAACCAAGACACCTCTCTCTCAGAATTTAGTCGCTGGCCTTGTACTTGGCACGGTACTCCTCGGTGCGCTGAATATCCTCGGCGGATGCGAAGCTCTTGGCGCCCTCGATAATGTCGTCGAGTGTCAGGATGGCAAAGATGGGGATGCCGTACTCCTTCTTAATCTCGCCCATGGCGCTGGGGCCAGGCTTGCTGTCATCACCATCGGCGGCGGGCAGCTTCTCCATGCGGTCGAGCGCGACGACGATGCCGACGACCTCGCCGCCCTCCTTGCGGATCTTGGCAATCGCTTCGCGCTTGGCGGTGCCCGCGGTGATGACGTCGTCCACGATGAGCACCTTTTTCCCCTTGAGCGGCGCGCCGACAATGTTGCCGCCCTCGCCGTGGTCCTTGGCCTCCTTGCGGTCGAACGAGTAGCACGTCTGGCCGTAGTTTTCCGGGTCCAGCTCGGCGAGCTTGTCCGTCGTCGAGGTCGCCAGCGGGATGCCCTTGTAGGCGGGACCGAAGACGATGTCAAAAGTCAGGCCAGAGGACTTGCGCGCCTCGATGACGGTATGGGCGTAGGCGACGGAGATGGCGCGGAGGAGGTCGGCGCGGTAAAAGTCGCCGGCGTTGAAGAAGTACGGGGAGATGCGCTTCGACTTGAGCTCGAAGGAGCCGAACTTGAGGACGCCGCCAGCGATCGCGGCCTTGAGGAAGTCCTGCTTGTAGGGGGCGAGTTGGGAGGTCATTTTGGGCGAGTGGGTTTGGGTGGAGGATTTATGACGGGTTTGGTCTTCCAGGAATTGTGCTTGTCGGAGGCTGGAGGATGAAAGATCTCAGAATCGAAGGGGGTCGCTCGGCGGTATGGATGGGTACCCCTCCATTGAAGTCTGCCCCGCGGAGACGCCCCACCAAGCAAAATTTATTGCGATAAAGTTGTGATAAGAAGAGGAATCCGCACCGCCGGACTCTGCTTGGCTTCACAGACTTTCCGACAGCTCAGGCTACTAGGTAGCCCAAGGAGAAGGAAATGAGTTTATATCACGAATGTGAGGAACTAGAGTATGTGAAGTACAACGATAAAATGCCACTGGCCAGTGGGTAGCAGCGTAGATTCAACATTGAGACCTCACTGACTGCACGACCACTTCAGAGAGAACATAAATGGACCTCTGCGAAGGTGCGGCCACTGATGGCATGGGGTCCCCCGCCCCACCCGTCCGTGCCGATAAGATAAGCGAAGGAGAGAAAAAAAATTCGAGTGCAGAACACCGCCCCCCGTCCCAAATACTTCGTGCAGTTCACCGACGGTGCACCTTGACCGATCGCAACATCTGAGGACTGCTTCAAGTTTTTCCCCAAACGCAGACCCCCAGCCGCCCAAAATGAAGACTCAGTAGGTTGAACCCCCCCTATTGTGCGCGATCATTCTCAAAGAGAGGCGACATTATATAAAAATCAGTCTTGCTAAACATGCTTTGCACGGCAGGTGGAAGGATCTCCCCCCGGTCCCGAACTCGCAAGAGTTCCTCGACATTGTTCTCTCAAGGACGCAGCGCCGGCTGCCGACCCAGATCCGCTCGGGTTTCAAGATTTCCAGAATCAGAGGCTTCTACACCCGCAAGGTCAAGTTCACCCAGGAGACGATCAGCGAGAAGCTCGGCCAGATCATCGAGTCGTTCCCTCGCCTCAACGACATCCACCCCTTCCACAAGGACCTGATCAATACCCTTTACGACGCCGACCATTTCAAGATCGCCCTCGGCCAGCTCTCAACCGCGAAGCACCTCATCGAGACCATTTCCAGAGATTGTGCGTGGAAACCCACCCCCTTGGCGTGGAAGGCGATTCGATTTTGGGAGGAAAACGCAATGGCTAACCTCTGATGCAACTTGTGCAGATGTCCGACTCCTGAAGTATGGCCAGTCGCTGTTCCAGTGCAAGCAGCTGAAGCGCGCCGCGCTTGGTCGCATGGCGACGCTCATCAAGCGCCTCAAAGACCCTCTGGTGTATCTCGACCAGGTTAGACAGCGTAAGTGGCCAGAGGACGGCATTTCAAGACCCTTCGCGCACACAAAAGAGTTTTACTGATGCTGAGCAAAAACAGATCTTGGCCGTCTTCCTTCGATCGATCCCAACACCAGAACTCTCCTCATTACGGGCTTCCCCAACGTCGGCAAGTCTTCGTTCCTGAAGTCCGTTTCCCGAGCGGACGTCGATGTCCAGCCGTATGCCTTCACAACGAAGTCGCTCTTCTGCGGTCACTTTGACTACAAGTACCTTCGCTTCCAGTGCATTGATACACCTGGTATTCTCGACCACCCTCTTGAGGAGATGTAAGCAATCTCGGCATTCATGATGATGAGAGGAAAATCCAGAAACTGACAATCATATAGGAACACCATTGAGATGCAGTCCGTCACCGCCATTGCTCATCTGCGATCCGCCATTCTCTACTTCATGGATCTCAGCGAGCAGTGCGGCTACTCCATCCAGGCCCAAATCAACCTCTTCCAGAGCATCAAGCCCCTGTTTCAAAACAAGATCGTTTTTATCGTCGTTAACAAGATCGACGTTGTCAAGCCCGAGGACCTCGACGCCGCGACCCAGGCCCAGCTCCAGGGCCTCCTCAAGTCGGGCGAGGTCGAGATGCTCCAGCTCTCCTGCAACACCCAGGAGGGCGTCCAAAACGTCAAGAACACCGTCTGCGAGCGCCTCATTGCCGAGCGCGTCTCCCAGAAGCTCAACGCCGGCACCAACAGCAGCGGCAACATTGGTGGCCGCCTGGCCGACGTCATGGCGCGTATCCACGTCGCCCAACCCGGCACCAGCCAGCCCCTCCAGACCTTCATCCCCGAGGGCATCAAGAACATGAAGAAGTACGACAAGGAAGACCCGGAGCGCCGGAGGCTCGCCAAGGACGTCGAGGCCGAGAACGGCGGCGCCGGCGTCTACAGCGTCGATATGCGCCAGGACTGGCTCCTCGCCAACCCCGAGTGGAAGCACGACAAGATCCCCGAGGTCTTTGACGGCAAGAACGTCTACGACTTCATTGACCCGGACATTGACGCCAAACTACAGGCCCTCGAGGAGGAGGAGGAGCGCCTCGAGAAGGAGGGCTACTACGAGTCGGACGAGGAGCTCGACGACGAGGAGGAGGCCGACGTCCTCTCCAAGGCCGAGATCATCCGCGAGAAGCAGGCCCTCATCCGCAACGAGGCCAAGATGAAGAAGCGCCTCAAGAACCAGGCCATCATCCCCCGCAAGTCCCAAAAGGTGCCCCTGTCCCAGATGGATGACGCCCTCGACCAGCTCGGCGTCGACACCACCGACATTGTCAACCGCGCCCGCGCCCAGTCCCGCCCCCGCGGTCGCTCTGCCGGCATGTCTCGCGCCGGCACCGAGGACGTCGACATGATGGACATGGACGCCACCCCCCGCGAGCGCCTGCGTTCGCACAGCAGGGCCCGCAGCCAGAGCCGCGCCCCCATTGTCAACAGGCGCGAGGACGGTGTCCAGGACGACGAGGCCCGCGACAAGGCCGACCGCCTCGCTAAGCTTTCCCAGAAGAAGCGGAACCGCATGGCGAGACAGGGTGAGGGTGATCGTCACACCACCGTATCGCTGCAAAGGCATTTGGTAAGTCCCACTCATGTCACTTTTTTGGCGAATTCACAGGGTCCCCTGCGCAACCCTTACTATCATCAGTCAAAAGCAATTGCTAACCAGAATTCTTTTTCTCTCACTACAGGTTGCCGGCAAGCGTGGCCTCGGCAAGAACCAGAGACGTTAAGAGACCACCACCGCCGAGTAGTGGAGGGGGGCAAAAAGACGCTAATGGATGTTTACGGAAAGAGAATAAAAGTAAATATGCTTTATATTTTTTGGGGGGGGCATGGAGGCGTTTGCGGTCTGTGTTTCGTTTGCTGCCTTGTTTTCATTTTCTTAAAACTCCCTTCATTCTCTGCGATAAATCACTTCAAACCTCAACGGAATGAGGCCATCCATGAGAGGGGCACGAGGGGGAAAGAGCAAAGGGAAGGAGGAGAGGGAGAAAGTCCGTGATGCCTTTTTGAGAAACTTATGTCAAAAAGTGTCGCAGCATTACCAGCTTTACGTGCGTGTCAACGTTTGATGGCATTTTGAAAGCCACAAATCAAGGACCATTGAATACCCTGAATGAGAAATCGAGACGTCTTGAAGTGACAGGACCCCGATTGCGAATATTGTCAACCACTGCAGAGAATTGCACCACATAGTATCGACGAAGCGAACCAAAAGATGCGGTAAAATGGCTTGAATAACTTTGAAGAGCACCACCCTCAGATGTTTACGTCCAAGATATGTATAAATCTACCCCGGATTGTCGTCTGTTATGATGTGCGAGGACTCAATGCCTCTCAGACTTGTTCCCTCCTCCCACCCGCTTCCAGCAATCATTCCAATAAAGCACTCCTTTTCGCCTACTGCTCATCCGCAACTTGCAGGCCCTCTCTCAGACCCTCAACCTTGAGCTCCTCGCCGGTGGCGCGGCGGTAAATATCCTTGACGTCGTCGGTCGTGCTCTCGAAGTGGCTGCTGGCGTCGTAGCTCTTGGAGACGAAAACGTTGTCGGTGGTACCGTCGTCCGTGGGTTCGTAAATGGGGATCGGGGCGCCCTGAAAAACGTAATTAGTGTCATACTTTTACATGGCCCAAACTCAGGCTTCTCTCTTACCATGAACTGCTCCTCAATCTTGCCGAGGCGCTCCAGACCTGGCTGAAGCTCAACGTGGTGGTTGGCGTTGGTCTCGGCAATGGTCGAAACAATAGCAATCCAGTAGCCCTTGGGGCAAACATTGTGTGCCGATGAGACGCAGGCGATGTAAATATCTGGTTCATGTCAGTCGCGTATTCAGAGCTCACTGTACAACTCCCTTTTACTTACCGTTCTTGCGACCAATCTGGGATTGGGGGATGATGAGTTGAGAAGAGTCGGCATCGTTGGTGCCAGCCAGAGGGTGCTTCAGGATGCAAATCGCGCGCAAAACCTGTCCGACAATCTTGACCTTGCCGGGGAAGTAGCTGGGGTCTCCAAGGATCATCTTGGCCTTGGTCTCGAACTTCATTTCCTCAACGCCAGTCATAGTGGCCTTGATACCGACAGCCTTGCCGCCCTCGTACTGCACCTCGTCGACGTTCGTGTTGAGCATGTAGGTACCGCCATAAATGGCCGACAGGCGGGCGAAGCCCTGAGGAAGCTCGCCGAGACCGTAAAGAGGGTAGATGTAAGGAGACTTGCCGTAACGGGAAACAGAGGTTCCGTACAGGCGGATGCGCTCGATGGCCTCCGGGGCGGCACCGGGCTTGGTGAGGTACTCGTCCGTGGTGAAGAGGGCCATCGCATGGCCGATGAAGTCACGAGTGCCGGTCTCGAGGCCGAACTTGTCGTACACCTCCTTCATGGTGCCATTGTTGATGTCGAGGCCTGGCGCATGCCTGTCAGTACAGTCCCACGATCCCTTTATGCTTCGAAATGCCGAAACTCACCCTTGTGGGTACCGGGATCCTTGCGGTCAAAGGTGCCGATCCACTCGATGAAGCTCTTCATGCGGCGCTTCTCAAAGATGCCCATCAAGGGCGAACGCAGAGCCTCGCCGGCATCGGAGGGAACCTTGGCGACAGTAGCCTTGGAGCTCTGGCCCTGCTGAACGTAGCTGCCCGCGACCTGCTTGAACTCGAGGTATCGTGTGACGTCGGTCGAGACGAGAATGTTGGTCAGTTCGCCTGCGGACATGAGGAACTTCGGAACCAGGTCGATGTTCCAGTCATTTAGACGTCCGTACTTCGTCCAGGGCTCCTCGCCCTTTGCATAGTTGCCATACTTCTTGTAGAGCTGCGGGTGTATCAAGTTAGAACACCGGTCGATGGACGGGTAGGGGAGTCGTGTATGTCATACCGTCTCGAGGTTAACCGAAGCTGCCTCACTGTTGGAGATTAGCTGGGTTCTCCACGGACAGGAGGCCAGATCGCGGCCTTGAGGAGCAAGACTTACCCGCCGTAATGGTCGTTGCGGTCAATGTGGAGGACCTTCTTGCCCTTCACACTGAGGACGCTGCACGGGGAGGACAATGGTTAGCAGAGCAAACGCGGGGCGGCGATGGCGACGGAAGCTTGCTTACCCAGAGAGAACACACTCAGTGAGGCCTAGATGCAGAAGACGGAGAGTCGGTCAGTCAGCCAGGAAGCTCTTCCGAGCAGTCGAGGACCCCACAGGCCGACGAGAGACGATGCGGGGCAAATAAAGGAGGATGGCGTAACGTCACTTACCAGTGCCCAGCACGATGACATCGTATTCCTTCGCAATCTCATCCATGGTTGCGGCTGAGGGGTGTGTGCGTGTGTGACGGTTGTTGTTATATTAAAGTCGGTCGGTGGTTCGCAGCGGAAGGAGAAGGGGAGAGAAAAGTATGAAGTGATGGATGTCTGGAGAAGTAGTTGCGGTGTTGTGTAGGAGACATGGGGGAGCAACATGCAGCAAAGGAGGATCAAGTGGGGGGGCAAGAGCCACCTACTTTGCCGTAGATTGCTAGAAACAGTTGGGTTTTGGAGGGACGTGGAGGGGTTCAGCATCAAGCGTGTCACTGGGGGCCAGTGCCTATGCTCGCAGTCGCCAGGGGCCCGTTTGGCTCCAGTGTACCTCCAAATGGCCCATGCAAGGTCCGCTCTCCGCCCGCTCTCTTACTGCAAACTATGTTGGCCACTTGCTCACCGCTAGCAGGCTGGACAGGGACCGACCGAGGCCACCTGAGGGGCACGGTACCTTGGTACTGTAGATACCTACCTAGAGGATCCGTGGTACCTTACCTACCTACCTAGGCTGAAAGCTGCAAGTACCTCGACCTTTGTCAACCTCTGCTCTGTGTGTACCTGGCGCGCTCGGCGGTGTGAGTGAGCTTGTCCCTGCTACAAGGACCCAGCTCCCGCCCTTCCCCGTCTCGGTTCTGTAACATTATGCGAATCCAAGTCTCATCCATTATTTGGTTCCTCCTTCTTATGCAAAAGCTTTCTGTAGATGTTATTCACTTCTCATCCAAGCTGTCCATAGAAACCCTCATTGTCAAGTCGCGCATTACGTCCCATTTGATGATTGCACGGTAACAGCGTGGTCATCAGGAGAGACGTCCTCTTTTGGGTACGGCTTCGGTAATACGCCTGGCACAAAATATTCGTATCGTACAAGATTCTATACATGTCTGGATACAGTGGTACATGACTCTCCCGTCTACAGCCCTCACGCTAAACGGGGAGACAACAAACAGCTAAGTAGGCTGCTCAAATCTTCGGTGTGGGCATCGCCGGCTTAGCGGGTTTGCTCTCGGTCGGTTTGCTGGGCTTGCTCTGCGCTGGCTGCGCTGGCTCCGCTGGCTTGCTCTCGGCCTCGGCATCAGCCTCTGGCGTGACCGGCGCGGCTTCCTTCTGCTCAGCCTGAGGCTCGACAGGCGTCTCGACAATCGGTGACTCGATAGCCGCGGCCTCGACTTCCTCGGTCAAGTATTTGTTGGCCTCTTCCAAGTCCTCGTATCCTGCCAGCGGCGTGTATGCCTCTCCTTCGCCAGAGAGATCAACCTCGGGGTCATTCTCTGCCAGCTTGCGCGCATCCTCCCAGAGGTAGAAGCGTTCAGTCAAGACGTGCTTGATCGCCTTCATTGTCGTGACAACCTGGGAAGTGTCGCGGTCAGCAGCCATCTCTCAAATGTCAAATGGCAGACAAATACGAACCGTCTCGTCCCTGTCGTTGGCCTCGTACCCTCCGAAACCGAGTCTGCGTCTTTCACGCTCGAGACTCGTCGTCGCAATGCGGTTCCTCTCCTTCAGACAGACATACCACAGCGAGTGGAGGTCTTCCCAATTCTTCTTTCGCAGCTCCTCCACCGTCCACGCACGGCCGTGAGACTGATCCTCTTTGGGCGTGTTCATAAGCTTGTTCTTGCCATAGAAAAAGTCCCAGAGCCCGTGGTTCGGGTCCACGGCAACCTCTCGCTTGTGGTTCTTCGGCTTGGGTAGCGTCTCCCATGAGACGGACAGCGGCTCACGGGGACCGGATCTCTTCATGGTGCTGACACCTCGCAGACGGTTGTTGTCGCGGGTCTTGCGCACCGAGTGCGCAGCCGAAGTCGAGAAGCATGCCGCTGCGTTTCGGGTTTGCGTGGCCGTCGTCGGCGTCGTGGGCAGCCATTGCCGAGTCTCCTGAAGACGCAATACGCGACCTATCGATGGCCGCATCGTATTGGGATTCGCCATCTCTGGCAATTGGTGTCAACGTGGGTGCTGGTAAGGATCTCGAGTCCCTTTCTTAGAGCTCGTACTATTTCGCCTGTTCAGAAATTTGGTAAAGCCTCTGACCAATCACACGTCGGATTGCAGCGGCTGCGGGTGAACAAGCTACCGGAAGGGTCTGTGCGGCTGTCAAGCACAATGCCAGATGTGGCTTGACCAAGTCGGGCGTGGCTTAGGTGACAAAGTCCTTCTCCGCGACATCCTGCGATCTCACTCAATCCAAGCTCCATGCGATAGCTCTGTGCCTTTCTTTTCTGTTGTTGCTCCTGTAAGAAGATTCCAAGAACTCTCAGTTTCCAACGAGGCAGGAAATGTAGGCCGACATTTCCCAGGCCACGCCTTCACGTCGCTGTTAATCCCATCAGTCACGTACCCTCATTGGCTTGCCACGAGGCACTTTTGGAGTAGCGAATGAACATAATAAGTCATAAAGTGGTAAAGTATTAGAAACTAGTGTCAATGGTAATTAGATGGCTCAGGTGACACATCCAAAAGACAACTGATGAATGGGCACAGCATTCCCTTGGGGACTCGAAGGTCATCGCACAAGCACCTTGATCACTTGACTCGCTTTCCAAAACATGGAGAAGAGAAATTACTCAATAATTGATCTTCTTTGACGTTCGATTATTCACACACGACTCACGGCTTCCTCAAGTGCTCGCCAGCCACTCACCAGCGGACCTCGACGTCTGAAGTCATCCTTCTTGATCTGTAAGGCCATTGAAGGTTATTCAGCAATTGAGTGTCTTAACAAGTGAACTTTTACGCTCTATCCGTAGAGCACCGGCAGATCTCCGTTCTCATTTAATCCATCCGGGTTCCGATCTCAATCCATCGTTCAACCTGCCTAAGGTCTGAAGGCAAAGAAAGTCACAGTCCCATTGATGGGGCCGGGATTCTTTCTGATTACTGATAGATGTTACTGATCGTGGCATCAGTGGAACTTAGAATAAGCGTTGTTAACAAAAAACACCTGGTCTGTTGTACACCTTTCACTCCATAAAGTAGAATATGAGCTCAAGGCCTAAATAATAGTATCGACTCTCGCGTACATATCCCGCATCGAATCAATGACAGTCGGGCCAGCAGCTAGCTAGACCATAGAGGCCAAAATCCTCTCAAATGAATAGAGAGAACCACTCATCGTCATTTGAAATTCAAGGTGCAGAAGCAAACCTTAGGGACACCATCTCCTCGCCCCCAAGAAGATACCGCCGAGAGACAGTCTCAATTGCCAGCCTCATTGTCAATCGTCTTCTTAAACCGGCCAGGTACCCCCAAAGGCTTTCAAGTATCATCAATATTATGTTTACATTCATTTGTCTTAGCAATCGTCTCCACGTCTTCGTGTCCATCAGCCTAGCTAAAGCTGTCGCCCAAGACGGATTTCCAACACACATCCTCGGGCGACAACCTAGACGTCTGGCATGCCTGATCTCTTTTAGGTCCACTGGAGAATACGTAAAGCTAATCTTCAGAACAGCATACTCATGTAGGAGTTCGTCAAACAAGGATCCGATTTCTTTAGGCGCTTCTCGCCTCTCCGCCACAACAGACATACTGTTCACATTGGCCTTACCACACACCTTCCTCTCGGTCAACTTCTTCTACACCTTTCTTTCAGAAAAAAATCTTGCTTCTCAGAGTCGACCAGTGAAGTCTATCTGTGCCTCCTAAACTCTTTCATCTGCGCCAAATAAATCGTCCACTATCGCGGGACCCGCTAGAGGCCGCGGCCGTCTCAGATTCCTCATACCTCGCGAAGCCGTCACACCTCAAGAAGCGCTCAATTCGCACGAAGCAGGCATGAGAAGCTAAATTCAGGATAACTGGGATACGTGAGCTCTGGGGTTCAAGATGGTGGCCATAGAGTGAGACCTTGGCGGAAGATGAGCTCGACAAGCTCGACCAGGAAGCGCACTAGCTGCCATCGGCCTAATGACCTCAATCAGTCAATTGTAGACCGGAAATCCAGTCTAAGTCCCATTTCGTCTGCGATTGAAAGAAGTATGTACGCGCATGGCTTCAGCTTAAGGCATCTCAAAGCATTGACACATCAAAAGTTGACGTGAGGACGCGACATTTTGGAGGTCTCCACTATCTCATCAACCCAAAGCTAGCCAACCAATTATGATCGAGCTTTTTCCAAAATCAGAAACCCTCCCAGCAACTCATCCACGAAAACTGCTTCCAGCGCTCGCGCGTCCGACGACAGCCATCCTTTCACCTCGAACCCGAACCCAAGGCTCAAATCTCAGGGTCTCAAGCCCAACTATAGCCAATCCCACCATCTGTATTTCGATCCGTCACAAGGTAGAAATGTACCATACCTCTACCTCCACCCCCTAAACTACACTACAGTTCGCATCCTCGCCAACCTTTCTCCTATCTCGTTGTACTCGCCCACAAAGACCAAATGTTCAAGTAAGCTCGCCCTTTCCCAGCCCCATCACCTCCAGTTCCACAGCCCCCAGCTCAGAACCTACCTCCCCTCACTCTAATGCCAATCATACCCACGTACTCACAAGCACCGTTCCCTCCCACAGGGCATACAAGAACCTCAACCCAAAGACACGCCTGGGCTTCGGGGTCGCGGTCCTAGCCTGGGGCGGTGCCGGTCTCTACTTCTCCGACCAAGCCGAGGAGAAGTATCAACCGACGCCCGAGGAAAAGGCCGTCGTCGACAAGTACGTCCCCAAGGTCACCGTCGTCGACAGGTCCAAGCAGTGAGCTGGGAAGCTGCTTTCCGCTCGTCGCAAGCAAGCCTTGAGGCCACAGCACTCCAAGCGAAGAAGGATAGATAGCGTTGTCGTTCAGGACCCCAGACCACCTACTGCCAATCGATGGTACGATGTCATGATTGTTGTAGATGCGATCAGAGATACAAGTTCTACTGTTTGTAAATAAGAGCAAGGTGTTTAATTTTGTACAGCCGGGTCGATTTTGCAGTTTCTAATGTCTAAGTTCATGCTACTAGTTCAAAAGAACAATAAAAAATTGTGATGGCAGCGGTGCCTAAACATCTCGTTTGTTTTTCTTCGTTGTCGCGATAAAAGCACGAGTACCACCCATTTTAAGACATCTAACATTAGACCAGACCAGCCTAGCCACGCAAACCGCCGAAACAAGTCATTATGAGCGAAAAGCCATGAATATATCATGACAACCTCGTCGGGCCACCGTTGGTGTCAATCCGAGAGCCTCCCAAGTTCTATCTGATCGCAGTCTAATGCAGTGCCAACTCCACCTCCCCGTCTATCGCATGAAACCACCCGCCACAAGATGCATATCAGAAGTAACCACCGTCAATCCGGCTTTGATGCAAGAGGGAATCGTGATGCTTTTCCGCAACAAAGCATATGAGTTGATGAGAACGGATCCGTGAGGAAACAAAACAGAAAAGATCAAAAAAATGAGTCAAAGCAAACGCCCACCAAATGCAGTTGGTTTTTTTGTGAATGTCAAAGCATGCCGCCGCCCGTTGTGCCGATGTTCGTTTGAACAGAAGGTATTCCTGGATCCTCCACCACCGCCGGAAGAGGTTTGAAAAGTCGTGCCATGTCAAGTGTCAGATTCGCCACTCCAAAATCCTTGTCGATCTCTCCAACCGATCCCATATCCTCGCCCCTAGTCGCACCATCCGACTTTACCCACGCCTTCACCGACTTCAGTAGTTGCATCACCTGCATGAACCGTGCATCCGACTCCATCTGCAGCTCCGATGGCCGAGTATGCTTCAAGAGGTACTTTGCAAGCCAGTAGAAATGGATGCCGTCCCTAGAGAAACCATACCTACGGACATTCTTCGCCGAACCAGGAGGGAATTGATTGATCATGTCGGCATCCCAGTTGGTCTTGAACTTTTGCAGGGCCATACGCAATGATTCGTGCACATGTACTGGTATGCCCTGCAAAGCGGGATCGACAGGTGTTCCTCTGCCGCTGTTGATGCCGTTATCTGATCCACCGTTTACCATCCAATCGCTCATTGGTGGAGTCGCGTAACCCTTCATCACGGCACTGCCGTCCAACTGAGCTCTTCGGATCAAGGATAAAATGGCGTGTATCAAGATGAACTTTCCGTACAGATTCGTCCTGCCTGGCTGGATCTGGTAGGATCCATGGAGCAAGGCTTGTAAGGCATAGTCCATTTCCGGTTGCTTGCTGCGTCGTGTACCGTTCGGGTTCTTTTGCTGTGATAGCTCGTCTCCATGTAAGCCCAGAGCGTCTTCGCAATCCTTCTTCGTCCGCGCGTCCCACGCCGCATCATCTGATGGCAGCGGTATGTGCATCTCAAAGCTGTCGATTTGAGACTGGGTGTTGAAATAAAGTTCCATGGCGGAGTTGCAGAGGAAGATGATGTGCATCAGACGTGTCCGCTTTTCCTGTTCAACCCACACACTCCAATCGAATGTGGAGACATCGAAGTTTTGAGGGGTAAAGTTACTCTGGTGCAATGGACTGAAGAGGGGTATGCTGGTGGAGACCTCCGATAGACGAAGCCGACGAGTCTGCTCCGCCATGGCTGGAAAAATCTCACGAGCACTGTCACGATGCTCAGGTGTGCTGTTCCAGATCAGCAGAATTTGGAGCAGCATTACAGCCTGGAGTTCCTCAAGATCCCGGCGATCGGGGCTTGAGGCACCAGGGTTAGCGTTACCATTCTGCCGCTGTTTACCCACCGAGGTGGCCAAGAACTGAACGTCACGAACAAGTGCGGACCTGAGGAAATTCATCATGTCGCGCACGTGATCTGGAGAGAGACGGTCAGAGTAGCACGCGCCGATGCAGCACATGCCTGCCAACAAGCCTGTATAGGCTTCCATGATACGAAACGTGGGTGTATGGAGAATAGGGAAATGGACATGGAAATGAGTGTACTTTTCCAAGAAGTCGCGGATGTTTTCGGCAGAGAAGTATAGGTTGAAGCCGGCGCTTTCGTCGGTTATCGGGGAACCCGGAGGGTAGAAGAAGTTGAGAATCTGGTTGGAGAGGTGGGTAAAGGGATCTTGGATCGATGGCGGCACGTCCCAAGTCGAGAAAAAGAGGGATTCGGGGTGGTTTGGGTGGCCAGGGGGACCTTCTGTACTTTCGACGCCGGTATTAGGCTCTGGTTTGGTTGCGATCTGCGTCTGTCCAAGATTAGGGGGGAATTGAGTGTGATTTGCGTAGGTTTGTTGCGCACCAGCCTGGAACATTTGAGACCAATCAAGGCCCGATTGTTGGTTCGAGTTCGACCCGCCATACATGGACATTCCATTTTGACCCGGGGGCATATTGTAGTTTTGCATCTGTTGATTCATATTGGGCGTCATGGAGCTAGGGACATTGCCGTTGTATGCCTGCTCGAAGTTGCCACCTCGGCCAGAAGCATCCATGACAGATCCTGTCAAATCCCGTCTGTCTTGGTTACTGCCATTATCAAGCCTAGTCAGGCTGCTGGAGCGCGACAACTGACTCTGATCGTTTGCAAGGTTGTTCATCCCGTCCGACACAGGCATCATACCAAAAGGCTGAACCATGCCATCCGCAGGCATGTTACCCAGACCATTGAGGTGGTTCAGACCACCATCCTGACCAAGAGCCGCCTTCTGCGCAGCAGCGTTCTTCTTGACATGAGCCTGGGGGTGAGACAAGTGACTAGCGCCAGTCGGGTTACCTCGACGAATGGAGCACTTCTGGAAGTGACGCTTAAGAATGTCACTTCGCGAGAAAGTGTCGCGACACAGCACACACATGTAAGGGCGGTCGCCCGTGTCTGTTGATCGCGCGTGTCAGCCAAGGGAAAGCTGCGTGTTAGAGGGGAGGGAGCGACTTACGGCGCAGGAGATGACGCTTCAAGTGCTTCGCGTGCAAGTAGGTCTTGGTGCAGTGAGGGCAAGGGAATTTGCCATCGGCATCCTTGACCGGGATGACGGTGCTCTTGGTGTTGCCAGCGCCAGCAGGAGTGGCAGCAGGGCGGCCAGGAGCGCTGGGGAGAATGCCACGGCGGCCCTGCGAGCCAACGACGTGTGTAGGCTGGTCAGCGTCACCCATGCCGCCAGGCATGACACCGCCAGGGCCGTAGGGAGAGTTCATACCGGGCTGGGGCATCACACCACCAGCGGGCATGGGACGCAGGACCGGAGGAACGCGTCCAGACGCGGGAGCAGGCGCGATGGGCTGCGGGTGAGAGGAAGCCATCGTGGTCTGGGGGAGCATAGACTGAGTGCCGTACGCCTGGGGCGGGGGAGGATACTGGCCCATCTGCTGGTAGGGGCCGCGGGGCTGCTGCTGTTGTTGCTGAGGCTGGTACGGCGGCATGTTGTTCTGGGAGCCCGGGGTGTTGGGCGTCGCAGGAGTGCGAGGTGTGTGAGGGTTGCTGCCGTACATTTGGTTCATGGCGGCGGAGGTCTGCGGCTGCAAAGGCGGCAGAGTCTGGTGAGGCAGCGGGGAGTTGGTGTGTTGAAGTTGATGAGGCGTGATGGCGGGGGGCGACGGGTAGGAGGCCGAGGTCGTGTTTATACCATTGGTAGGGTACTGGGAAGCGTCCATGCTATCCACGGTAGATCTGTTGGCCTTTTGTCGAGACAAAGGCGCACAGAGCAGCTTGCTTGTTGCGAGATCAAGACGCGTTCTTACGTCTGGACGGGACTCGTCGAGGGTCTCGTGTAAAAATTTTGTGGGACAAGGACAGTCAAGTCGCCGACCCAGCTGAATATGTTGCTGCAGGCTGAAAAGAAGGAAACTCGAGTGAAGTGATGCGAATCGAGAACTTCTTCAGGATAAGCTTTCCGCCAGACGAATGAAGGAAGTCGCGAACCCAAAGAAGCCAACACGCGAAGAGGTGTTGTTTGTAAGGTGGACTTTGTGTGGTGGGATGAGGCTCCAGTTGATCCCGTTTGGAGGTGGTTTTGGGGAGGGTCGGGAGTGGAGCAGATGGGCCCTGATCCTTTTTATTTTTTTTTCTCTCTGGCGCTGCTCTTCGGCAAAAAAAAAAAAGTCAGGTACCTGGCGCCGTCAGGAGGGGGTCGAGGGGGGTACGTGGGAAAAAAAAAAAGTGGTCTGGCCGGGGTGGGTGCCGAGGGTGTGCGAAGCAGGAACCGTTGAGCAATGGTCACTCCGTCCAAAGAGGTGGAGGGGGGAAAAAAAGGGAAGAAGTGGGTTTGGACGTCGCCTCTTCTGGGAGGAGTGGATCCGGCTTGATCTTTATGAAGGGCCTTTTTCGGAGAAAGTGTGGGAGGTTGGCCGTTGGTTGGAATCCTGGTTAACGGATAATGGATCGGTAGGTGAGGAAGGGAAAGGTGGGCAGGAAGCAGACCAGGGTGGTATGGTGGGTACGTGTGGATTCTTCTCTTCCTTTTTGTGCAACGAAGGGTAGTATACGGTACTGCTGCAGGTGACTGCCAATGGCAAGTACTTAATTGTTCGAGTACCTAGCAGAGGGAATAGACACACACACACAGAGAGAGAGAGAGAGAGAGAGAGAGAGAGAGAGAGAGAGAGAGAGAGGAGAAACAGGACTTGGCCGGAGCAGAACAAGAAAGTTGGAGACGGCCGCGGTCCAAGATCAAAGCATCTGCGGATGGTTCAAATTTTTGGGGGGGTGTGTGGATGCGAGAGGGTGAAATAAGTGTGGTGGGTGACTGGGTGGTCGACGTGGGAGGGTGACCCGTATTGCTTCTTTCCTTTTTGGCACTCAGTCCACTTTGGGGCTAAGGTGATAAATAACAGAGGATTTGCCGGATTCTTGCTTGTGTGTGTCCCGTTTTGGGGATCGACTCTCGGTGATGGAATTTTGGTCGAGTCAGAGTCCGCCGTGCAGCCAAAGAACAAGCAACAGATTGATGACGCAGAGGAAGAAGAGGCAAGGTACATTGAAGGGAAAAGAGGAAGGTGGGAGGCGAGAGGTGGTAGGAAATTCCGAAGGAGAAGGAAATTTTCATTTGCACACGCAGAAGGAAGAATAAATTACGCAGACAGCCCAGGACCGCGCAAGACAGCAAGAGAGACGGGTAGAGACCGCGTGACAGCAGCAGGCCAGGAAGGTACAAGCACCCATGCTCCTTCCTGATTTCCAAGGGCAGTCGGGGAAATTTTGAGGAAGCGCCTGCCAATGCCTGCGTCTGCCTAGGCACGCGTGCCTCGGAGATGGTTGTACACAGGGCAAGCACTGTGAGCTGTGACTGTACCTTTGCACAGTATTGGTCAGATCCATAGACGACTTGACCTGAGGCCCTTGAGGAATAGGTAGGTACGCGATTCAAGAGACGGTGGTGTGTGCTGGGAAACAGAAACACGGGAGGAAGGGGTGAGGTAATGCGAATTTGGTTCGGTCGACGTCCATTGTGCCGTCGAGTGTCAAAAATCGAACTAGCTGCACCTAGCAATCCATTCAAGTCTGTTCGCCTGAGGAAGGCGGTACGGAACAAAACACCTGGCCGAGCGAACCTGTCAATATTTGTACAGGGTTCACACCTACCTACCGTTACCGTGGTCGGCAGATTGCAATAGGGCGGTGACGCGAACCTTTATTTTACCCTTTTCCCCTTCGACCTCTGCGCGCGGTCTCGCGACTGGAATACAGATTACAAACACACAGGTGACAGGGCAAGGTACCTCAATACCTCACCAACGATCGTCTTTGCACTGCCCAGGTCCGGAATGGGTAGGTAGGTGAGTTATTAGTTTGACGCTTCGCAACGAGGGACGACCAGGACCGGGAGGGAGGAGAAATGAGGAGAAGGAGAGAAACAGGCATAGCATTGTCAAGGTCTGCATTAGATCGACTGGGCTATGCAGTGCTATATTGTTATTATGCTCGATGCTGCTATGTTCCCTTGACTCCAAATGGTCGGCTGTACCTCATCATTTTCGGTGCGCGCTGTTCTGTTTACTTCACCTCACCGTATCTGCATCGTGTGCATCGAATCGTGTAGTTGGAATCGAGTCACTTGTCTCACCGTCTGCTTTCACCGTAATATCAGGCCAATTCCCCAAGCAATGCTACGTGCCTCGCGGTCGGTTCGTTATTAAAAGTTGTTCCAATTATCCAGGAAAATCCTCACCTCGACCATTTGCGATGACCTCAGCCTTCACAGCTCCCAAAGAAGCCGCGAAAACAAGGACGGGACATTTTACCTTTCTCATCATTGCCATTCAGACGGCAACCTCTGCCACCATTTCAGGGAGGCACAGGTAGTAACAGACAGGCAGGTACCTTGGTAGAGGGTTCCTTACGTCTCTTTAGAACGGTCCTCTGCGGCGGTATCATGCCATGTATCCGTAGCAGCGTCTTGTCTGCGTGCCCGTCTTCCTTGCTTGAGATGCCCTGCCCTGGCGCTTGCCTTGTCTTTTTGTTGCCATTTACAACTTGTCGTGGGCATGGGCGGAAAGAACTCCGCAGCCGCACCCCTTCCTGAAAATGAAACCGCATTCGAGCAAAAGGACTGGCACGCTGGCTTCAATGCACCTGCACCTGCACCACTGTGTCATGTCGCATTGGATTGTATTGTACGAATACCTTAGGTATCGTAGTAGCCTGAGGAGAGAAGGCACAGTACACCTCAGCCGTCGTGTCCGGCGTCCGTCGTCCATCGTCCATCATCCGTACTTCGTACTCGTTTCAATCTGTGCCTGCCGAACAATAGTGGTTCATTCCTTGTCGACCGGGAAGAGGATGTTAATCGAGTCTCGTCCCGGTTTTATTTCACTTCTTCCAATTCTTCCAAGACTTCCACGACCCCCCTTTTATTTTCCCGCCTCCTTTGGTCCCCGTCCTGGTCATCGTTCTTCGTACGCCTTTGCCCCGACCCAGCAAGAAAGCATCCACCACCCATTCCCAACCCCCGGGTTCGGGATGAGTACTTCACACACTACTAATGGAGAATGGATCAGAACACTTGCCCTTGCCAGGCAGTGAGTGACCTTACCAGCGTCCCCGACATGTATCCAGCTGGCTGGAGATGCATCTCTCCTTTCCTCCTCCCCCGGGGCCCAGCAGTGAACAGCGTCCACCAGAGCATACCTTACCTGAAGGTACTTCGCAGGTCCACACACATCGAGCTGTCTGTCCCATCTGGCACTACCGCTGTGGTTCCCACGCTGGCACGTTGTTGGCGGTGTCGTCCAGTGGCTTCTCCCCAAAAAAAAGACTTGCCCGTGCAGGCTGCAGCATGCACTCCCGCGAATGTGGTCCTGGTCTTCCATGCTCCTTCCGATTACCGTCAGCCGGAGTGCGATGGTGAGGTATCCGCCAGCAGCAGCAGCAGCCGCCAGCCGCCCGCCGCCATCTCGACCCCTCCCTCGTCCCTCCCGTCACCCCCAAAACGTCCCCCCCCTCCTCAACTCCCGGTTCTTCAGGATGAGGATACTGTACGTGCGTGGGTGGATTCCAAGTTGGATTCCACCTGCAGGCCAGCACGCGCCAGCAGATGTGATGAACCCTTATTCTTGTCTCGTTGCTGCCAATTGCACTTCAACATATCAGACTATATCGTGCCGCCCTCTCACCACCACCACAGCCAACGCACATCTGCTCGAAACACCGGTGACCGTTGTCATCTTTTCGGGGCCCTGCTGACTCTCCGTATCTCGGCGTGTTTGGATGCCGCCCGTCTGTTTTTATGTCACCCTGCACTTGACACACCCACGATACACACGACACACGCGGTTGAATCGCTCCAATTCGTCTTCTGGCGGCCTCTCCCAAGACTCCCACACCCAAAAGGTGCTGGAAAAACACTCCTCATTACGTCAACCCCTGCGTATCCTGTCATTAGCGCGAGCTTCGTCGCTCATTCACATCGTTGACAACCTGGACTATCCATGTCGTACCGCCCGGCCGGCCACACAGAAGGTCAGAATTGTTTTCGAAAACACCCACACAAGCTCTCATCACCGAGATCGAGCATCCATACAAACTACAAACCATGCTTCAGTACGGAAAACCCGCTGCTTCCAACGGTTCAAGTCCAAGGGTACCATTCCAATTGGGCATGGTCGTCCTCGACCATGCTCGCCGCGCGCAAATCGACGTGGTATCCTTACTCTGCTGTATCCGTAGAGCCAGGCATGTTCAATGTATTGGTACCTGAGTGGGGTATGGCACGGTAGGACACCATGCTGCCCACTGCATTGCCCGCCGCCTCGAGATCCGAGGTACCCGCCAGCTGCATCTTACGAGGATTGGCCCCTGCTCTGTAGATGCACCAAGGATGCAGATGGTTGCTGGGCGTGAGATAATGGGCGGCATTCACACCTCTATTCTCATTCGGGAAGTTTTCTTGGCCGCACCTGCTGTTTGTCTGCTGCAGAACAAAAAAAAACCACCAAGGATGTGGCTGCATCCGCGATACATTGAAACCGCGCACAATTCGACCTTGATCTCATCTTCCTGGCGGGATGCAGGCGATGGTCGGCTCGTTCTGACATCCCAACCTGCACGCGAGAGAAAGAAGAAGCCCCTGTGGTGTTGAGGGAACATGTCCGGTGGCCGGAGGGCGGACGTGCTCCGAACGGCCTACTTGATACATGGGTCCAGTGTCGACTCAATCTTGACAGACCAATGCGGCCGGCATCACGCCGGTTGCACAAGTACATCGCATCGATGCAAAGCGAGCGGAAAGCGGAGTCCTCGGGGCCGAATACCGATGAAAACACCAAGACCTCCACGCCAAGCGTTATCGACGAACCTCCTGGCCTCCGACAGCATGCAGGGCCACGCTGTAACGAACGCGAATGGCCTGGCGCCATTGTAGAATAGATGGACGATGGCTTCTGACGGGTTAGAATGGAATGCACAACGCTCAGGTTGATTCGCCACGGCAGTTCACAGTAGGCGTACCCACCGCACCCTCCAAGTCTATACGCTTCCCTCAGCTTGACAGAATGACGTATGTCAGAATCGTTTGGCATTTTCTGATGAGACACTAGCAATGTTCGGACACCTTCGGACACCAGGGCCGAAGCGTCCCAGTCATACTCTACATTCGTACTGTGCAACTTGGACGATTAACAATCATGGTGAGCTGTCCAGCTGTCAAAGGTTGCTGCCAGTTGCTGCCACTTCGTCCATCCATGCAATCATTATTCGCAAGTTCGCAACAAGCATGAATCTGCATGGCCATCACGACTGCTCGGGCTTCGCAAATTTATCACCCTCCATCGTCCTAAACTACTGTTTCGAGCCATCATGCCATCCAGCCTTAGAATTACACGAATCTGGTGCAGCAGCGGCAGCGGCAGCCATCGTGGAAGCAAGCCAACCCCTCGTTGGTTAATATCAGTATTCAAGTCCAGAAATTTATAGAACATCCAGAAACCGAGTGGTTCGACGGCTTTGAGCTAAGGAGGCTGGGCAAACCTTGCTGCCACGCTACTTGTCCTGGGTTTTCCGGTCGTGTCCCAGGGAGAAGAGGGCCGTAGCGTGCGATAGTGGAAAATTAGAACGGCCGCCGAGAAAGCTCCTCATGATCAGAAGATACGATGTGAAGGTCTGCTGTGCATTACCCTTGGCGCGCTCCTGGCCGGGAGCTAGGGCATACGCTACGGTTCCATCTCTGTCTTGGCATGCCAGTACGGAAAGCTCAGGATCAATATCGCGCATATCAGTCGTTCTACAGTATCAATCGTCCAGGTACCGATGGACGAGCAATTGCCGTCAGCAAAATGGCTACGTTCCTCTTTTTGCCGCTTTTCCAGGCATACTGTGTACGAGGAACACAAGACTACTGTTTACCTCATGACGGATGTTGAGGGATGTTATGCAGGATCCACGAGTCAAGCGAAACGGCCCCAAAACATACATTTCTGTGTAAGGGAATCGGACTTTGGCCGAGTCACCGCTTCGCTGTCAGCAACAGTCGCCTATGTCCGATCGCTTATTATGGCGCACGCCTGTCCAACGCCGGCTAGTTTTTGCGGCATCAGGGCTGAGGTTGGGAAGGATGAATGGAAATCCACAGGCACCGCGAAAATATCTCTGAAGACTGAAACATGTCTGCTGCTGTCGGTTGAATTGACAGTGGACATGATATGGACGTTTCTTTTGGTCGCCCCAAAGCAGAGCCGTAAGAGCCTCACGCCCCATCTCTACCCGCGCCCGCCATCCAATGGGCAGCTTTCGCATCGTTTTCACAACGAGACGGTGCCATCTCAGATGACGGAGAATGGGGCACAGAGATCGATCTCACTGGGCCCATCCTAGCCATGACCACAAACTCCTTTTCTCGCGGGCTGCAAATATCAGAAGGCGACAGCTCCTTGATTGATGTCGTGGCACGGCATGCGAAAAGCCCAAAAGAATGTTCAACTTTGGCAACCCAATCCAGCATTCCGCGGCCTGACTCGACACGACACATGTCGCATACAGCGGAAATGCTTTTTCCCCCTGAGAGCGTCGACCTTGCTTTCCGTTTCTCCTTGGTACTTACTGCTGGTTCGGGAGCACGCTCGCGCATGTATACTGTGCAATTCAATCGTAATACGTCCACTACGCAAGCTTCCCCAGCCACTCCGGCTACATCAAGTTGCAGGGATACGCGGAGTCCAAACAATTACAGGACCCAAGGGCAATCCTTAACTTGCTCTCACCTCCGACTCTTCCCAGGTTCTATTCGTCCGACGAGGGTGTCTTTATCAGACACCACATCATGGGGGCGTCAATTCAAACAACGAACGACACGACGCTGGCTAGGGGCCGCAGTCGGGGAAACTGCTCATCGCCGCGTATCGCCAGCACCATTACAATGCACGGTTCAAGGGGTTTGCTAGCACCCTTCACCTGAGAAAGTCAAAGGTCACGCTGAACTGGTGACCAACTTGGGCGACGAGGTTGTAGCGCGAGAAGTAGCGACATAACCGCCTGTCTGCAGATTAAACCCGGCTCTTCAGCATAGCTCACTCTTATTCGGCTACCTGACAGCAACCCCTCCTCCACCCCCCTGGGCTTGGTGGCGTCGCCTTCCGCATTTCTCTGAACGCGAGAGACGCCGTGGGACGCATTGGACAGCTTGAGAATCGTGGGACGATGACGCTCGAGCATGGTGAAGAGAGGGTCCACGGCCCCATTCAACCCTTCTTGCCGGTATTCCAAGTCCCCATTATTCTCTTCTAGAAGGACAGGATCCGGGAGCTTTGGCCATATCTCGAGATTCCATCGTCAAGATGTACGACTTCGACAACTTGACATCAGACGGTGGCGCTGCAATTTGTCCCAATCCTGATGTGTTCCAAACTCTGTTGCAAGCCAATTCAAAGTGACGAATCACTCACGCCACGCTTGCATCATGAGCCATGGGAGGGTGCAGAGATTTTTTTGTGCCCGAACTTCCCCCGATCGAGAGACATGCTAGGCATGGGATACTTCAGGACGTCGTGCTTTGGCCTGGTTCCGGCATCAAGGTTCAAAGGAGGTGAGAGAGAAGGACTCGCAAGAGGCTTAGCTCAAAAGCTGGGAGCGGAGAGATATCCGACAGTTACAAACGCCGCCAAGCGGCTTCCGTCCGACGCCATTGTCTTCTCAATAGTTATGGAACCAGGATTCCGTGTACAGGCTGTGAGAGAACTGCCATCAGCCATGTGCGAATCCCGCGTCCGTGATCGACCACCACCTCACAGCTAGCCCCGAATATTACCACTACTCTCCCGCTGGCATATGGCGACCAAAGCTTATTACCCTCATACAATCGGCCGAGAGAGAGATGACAAATGGAATGAGTTACAGTCTAGCTCGATCAGATTGGGAATTCATGTCCGCTAATCTTGTGTGCCAAAGCCACGGTGCGACGAGTCCCACGTTGTAGTCGCGGCCCCCAACAAGGCTGCAACGAATATGGTCCCCAACGTGCGGGAAGAGAAACCTGGCAGCGTCAGATGGGAGAAAGGCACGCGGTAGTAATAACTGACGGCCGCTGTTCGATTCGAATGAAGACGGACTCTTTCCGGAATGCAGCAGACATCCCAGTTGAGATGACTTGGGCCATGTTGCAGGTACATTGGGATGGACAAATTGCATACCATCAGCTGATAAGTGCTACTAATCGCACAGCGAGAGAGAACGAAACTAGAGCATCTCCTTGTGGCAGATCCCTGAACAACGAGTCGGGGTTTGCTTCATGAGGTAAACCGATGCTGAGTTGTGGCTGGCGATCTCGGCAGGGATTCGCGTAGTGCCTCGGTCTAATGGAGGTCATGTTCTTCGGATCAACTCATCATCGTTAATTCAGCCAGCAACGTTTTGTTGTGTCAGAGAGAAGAGCGTTTCCAGCAATGGCAAGTGTAGGCGCCGCAAGTCCAAGGCAGCCAGTATTGCTCTCACGTTCAAGGTGAGCTCGCATTATACTTCATGCTTGATTAGTGCAAGCTCACAGGGGATTTTTGGCAGTACATTCAAAGAACTTATTCTTCAATTCTCCGCCTCTTACTGCCCATTGCTCCAGCCTGTGGATGGGATACAACGGTCGTCCAGCCTTCTTTGCGGGGTATGTGGTTCTGGCAACCTAGTCCCTCTGGTGTTCTCGGAGGAGGCTGTCTTGGAGTTGGAGATTCATCAGCGGCTGGATCTCAAGCATATTCAAGGGACCTCCACTCGAAGAACAAGCGCGTTCTCGGTGGAGCTTTTGGCTGGTCTCCCGCGTGGCTTCGACAGAGTTGAGGCTGTTTTCCAGTTCCTACAAAGACTCCACCGTCAACCAGCACCTTGCGCCGAGATGGCAGGCCTGAGCTGAGAACCCTGTTGCGGTGTGGCACAAGCTCAATGCGACTAATGTTCTCTCGGCGGTGCTATCTGAATGCATCTGCCCCAAGTTCCCAACACCCTTGTCGGACTTTAGAACGGCGGAATTCGCCGTCAGATACTCTCATTGACCGCCACTCGCAAACAGGCTGGCAGGCTGGCAGGTCTCAAGACTGGGATTGCTACTGTGCAGTGCACACTTGTAGCAAAATGACGAGCAAAGTTGGCTTCTCTTTCTTTCTTCTACCTGACACGAGTCATGAAGGATAACTACGTCAACAGATCGCGTCGCTTCCGACCTTTTTTCTACATAAGCAACCAGTTACGTTTCCATTCTATCAACCCACTAACGAGGAGAATTCTAGCCAGCCGCGAGTTGGCTTCAGTCACCGTCGCGGAATCTAGCTCTGACTCGCTCGTATCCGAAGGATGGCTCGGAAGCTGGACAGCCCAGTTCCGCTCAGCGGAAGCACGTTCACACAAAAGTGCCGGCCGGGAATCCCAACTCCTTGCTCACTAGTCAGGTTTTGACACGAGGAGGCTTCTTGCTCCAAATACGTACCCCTCACGAGTTGGCATCACGGCGGTACCCTGGGATCGCTCCATCGAATCAGGGTCTTTGCCTGCAAGATTTACCACAGAATTGCTCATCGGATATGTTACCAGGCCGCTTGAGTCGACAATTCGAAATATCCCCGAGATTACAAGGGTATCATCTCGTAGCGACAGCTGGACCAAGACACTAGAGACACGGCTGGCATGGAAGTATCTGCTCCCACTGACCGCGCCCTAACGCAGCGGCGAAAGTACTGGTCAAACATTTGCAGACCTATCGTCTTGTTCCGAGAAAGACGCCGTGGCCGCTGCCGCAGCCGCTACTTAAGTCAAGATACACACCTACGGATACATTGGCTCACAATCTCTCAGTGCCTCTTTGTAAGACGGTGAACCATGGTGAGGGCGCGTCAAATCTCTCCCCAGAACAGCAGACCCACGGTTGTCCACGTGGGAGCGGTATGCGAACCCATGCCCGGTCGTCGCTGGGAGGTTGAGGCAATTCCTTCTCGAAAATTCGTTTCGTTCCGTTACACAATAGTTATGCAAGCTACTGTTGGGGCACTCGTCGCGTAGTGGCCACAACACTCTCCATCAGCGCCGTAGCTGAGGCCTGAAGCTGAAAAAGGCTGCCCTGTGCCACACCACTCGACAACGCTCCCTAAGCGAATCGGTTCGGGTCGGGTTTGTGCCAGCGAGCAGAATGCAGTTATGCTCTGCGCCGGGACAGATTTGTAAAAGCAGGGTTTCTGTCGGCTCCAAGTGGGGGCCTGTCGGGGGGGCCTGTTTTTCCAGCAACTGGCGCGAGAAGCGTCGGGAATGCAGCTCGTCTGATCTGTTGTTCGGGCTATTATCTCCAGCTCCAGCCTTGCTTGTTTCATTTGTGGCTGCAATGGCTGAGAGATTGAGGGCAAATACCCGCACGCAAGCCCTATAGGTATTCCGTGTTGCAATTTTCGGGCACCGTGCAATGGTTGGAATTGCGAACCATCCGGCCGGCGAGGTGAGCCATGCGCCATGCGCCTCTCTATTTCGGCAGGCAAGGGGATCGTATCAACGCCAACGATGGATGTCCCTGCAAAATCAAATTGTCATTTTTAATGGCAGGCAGTATCTCCGGTCCGTGGTTTGAAGGTCGCCTCACGTCCGGGATGTGCAACTCGGAAGCCGTTCACGATTCAGTTCAGCTCGGGTATGACGACAGTCTTCGAGTTAAAGGACCGACTGATTCAATATGCTTCTACATGACATCTCGGCCGGATGCCGATCATGGAGCTTTTGCCAAGTTCATCTCGCCAGCGTCGACTAGTCTCATGGCTTGAAGGGACGACTCCTGAGTCTTGAGTCCTGAGTCCTGACGAGCCTCGACCCCGGGTCCCACGGCCGTGTATCACAATCTTTTTCAACGACGCGGTCCTCTTCCGGGTGGGTCCCCGCGGCTGCGGAGGGCTTGCGGACTGTTTTTTTTTTTGGCTACAAGAGATTGGCAGCGTTGCAGCCAGCATTTCTTTCAGAGAGAATTGCGTCATTTGCCAACAATTCACGACTCAAGCAAATGCACCAGAGGGTCCTGCATCTTGTCAAGTCAAATTGACGTCATGGGCAGAAACTGTGTTTCTGAGTCTCTGGCTACAGCTTATGCAACCGCGTTGCTTGTGAAGAGTTCAGAGATGAATACCAGCGGTCGAGCGCACCCGTTCCGCTTCTTGTTGTCGTCGAGTCGACAGTTACATTTCCGCTTGCAGCAACTTCCTTGGCAGACTCGGAGGCGGCATTCCACCGGACATTGGACCAGAACTATGAGTTGGGAGATGAGCTCCAGTCACAATACCCCTATGCGAGATTGGCAGCCATAGCTTGATAGAGGCTTCTCGTCGCCTTCCACATTGTCTGTGAACTCTGGCATTCTGTCAAGAAACCCAGCTGACCGCCCTGCGGTGTGCAAAGAACGAGCGGTTCCATGAAGACTGCTTAGGAGAGCATCAGTTCACTTGGAAGTGCCTATACTACTGTGAACAACACGCTGCACTGAAATGTTTCGGGAACTCCCCGGCCGATATAACGAGTAATGACCTGGCAACTAACCACGTCAAATAGCTGCTGGCGATTTGATTGGGGAGGGAATGCAGCGCAGCAGAGACAAGACTATGAATGGTTCTAGCCGAAACAGAACCCCCTACTATGTCGCATCATGAAGCGCACGACGAGGACGCGCGCCGCCCTAGTAAGGGTTAGGGGAGCAAGGGCAGCACGTCCGGCGGCTCTCCTCGAAACAGACTCCTTATTCTGGATCCATGGTGAGAGTGAGCGCGTACTTCACCATGGGAGGGATGTGTAAGGATGTCACTTGCTGCGGTGCTTCTAATGCATTTGTTGCGCTGCCTGCCGAGGATTGCATGCGCTCGCCACGACCATTTTCTGCCCCCAATATTCATTTCATTTTTGACGACGTGGAGATGTCAAATAGAGACTAGAGCTTCGATCGAGCGTTTCCAAAGTTCTAAAGGCGAGGCTATGTTGCGCTACATGTTATGGAGACCCGCACATGCAGCGTGCCGGGCACAATCCGGGTGAGAAAGCAGCGCCTCTGCATTGGGGACATTCCGGGGGAGGAGACTGGAAAAGAGGAGGCATCGAACGACGAATGCCTTCTCGCGTTCACGATAGTTGCCGATTCCCCGAACTCCTCCAATCCCCAGTCAACGCGAGCCTGTTGCTCCTTCAAGGGACTACCTAGGCGGCTAGGTATTGCCCCTTTGCTCTTTTTCCTCCTTCCACCGTGGGTCAATGGAATCAGTAGGCAGGTGGGCGGTTGCCACTTGACAAGGTTATGTGGAAGACTGGAGCCTCTTCTCTCTTCTTTGCTGGGACACTGAGGTTCTGCAATGCGAAGTATTTTGTGGTTCTCTGGTCTATCAAGTCTCTCTGCAATTTGCAAAGCGACTTACAGTGTGTACCTGTGTCTGTGATTTTCCCTGCTATTGTTGAGGCTTATTTCTGCACGACGGACCGCGTTTTTTTGTGGGTTTTCGCGCGGCCCCTTAGGATGTCTCTGGGGTTCTGCCGTGCGAAGGGCAGAAGGGAATAGACCGGAGCGGAGGTGCCCAGGAGGAGGAAGCAGAGCACCGTCGCGAGGGGGTGCGCGAATCATCGGGATTATGACTGCGGTGAGTTCTTCTTGGGAATTTGGATATTTCGGGCACAACGAGACGAGACGAGACGAAATGAAGACTGGTGGTCACTCTAGTCAGGACGGTTATTTGGTCGGAAATTTGGCTTTGGTTGGACTCGTAGAAACTTTTGTGGGAGATGAGTTTGCGCGTGACTCGACGAATAACCTGCGTTGCAAAAGACTTGGAATGAGGGTAGTCCGAAAGGGATACAATGAAAGTTTGTAAGCCCGAACGTGTGAATCGTGATATCAATATCTATGTAGTGCGTTTTTTTTTTTTTTTTCAATTTTTAGGTTGAAGCCAGTGTCTCCTATCACCCGGAAAGAGCCTGTGTGTCTACCTCCTGGGCTCGTTGGAGGATGGCAGTGTGGTTTTCTATCATGGAATTACGGATATACGGACTTAGCATTCACAGTGTATGTATGTCTGTGTACGAATACGTATGCGTTTGACTGTTTGTTTGTCCCCGAGGTCCACCCCCTTCTCCGGTCTTGACCGCCGTCTCGTCTCTGTGTACTAGCTCTCGAAGGGGTGGGTTCACGATCCTGACATCACCTTACCTTATTTACGACGCGTGACCAGGCGTCGTTCCATCGTACGTCCCACCGCTTCGGTTGAAACTTGCAGTCGATGGGAAAAGAGGGGGTGTCTCCGCGGTATACCAGTGAAAATTCTGCACCGCGTTTTTTCCCTCTCTTCTTCTTCTTTTCCTTTCTCGTGACTTCTAAGGGGGAGGACACAGTTGAAGCAAATTCGGAGTCTGGCGGGTGACGAGTCCACGATGAGTGACGAAGAAAGGGGGGGGGGGGGTAATGCTGTACCTATTCTAACAGAGAGGAGGGTGACTGAATACCAGCGAAGTTAGTGGTAGTATCAGTTTGATCTACTATACAAAGTGAAAGTAAAAGTAAAAGATTATAAGAGGAAAGTTTATGTTGCGTTGTGTAGTTTCCCTTGAAAGCTGGATCCCATTTAGGTTGATCCCCAAAGTCAGTAAAGCCGGGGAAAAAAACACCGTCATAAAGGGAAAGTCTAAATATAACAAAAGATCATTGACCAGCCTGGGGGTCGAACCCAGAATCTCCTGATACCAAAGTCTCCGCATCTGATGCTTCGCACAGCGGAGCCGCACGAAGATGTAGACGGACAATCGTAGTCAGACGCCTTGCCATTGGGCCAACCGGCCGTCGAATATGTCGGATCTCGTTAACGTACGGGATCTGGATGTGGCTCTCTGCGGAGGTGGGTGATCTTGTGGGCTTGGTGAAGGTATGGTCGAGCGGCAGAGTGGGCTCGAGGTGGGCGGCACGCTTGGTGCGGGAGGATTTAGGTGCCCGTGGTGACGAGGTGGAGAGACGGGAGGGATGTGGACTTCTGATGGAGATTTAGTTTTACGCCAGATCAGATGGAGAATGTACGTTGTCTTGGCTTTGGATCCAGTTTGATATGGAGTCTTTGGCTTCATGTGGGAGGAGGTTACGAGGTTGATACTCTGTTGCCGTAGTCGGTGTATCTTGACAGGAGGCTCTCGTGTGCCATGAGATGGGGGAATTTTGCTTCGAGTGCTTGGTCTAGTTGGTTTTGAGGTCTCGTTCGAGGCGCACGATTTGCTTTCTCTGCCCAGGCTTGACTGGCAGGCGTAGAGCCCGCGAGAAGGCACGAGTGAGGGTTTGCGAGGACTTGGACGAAGAGTTTGGCGGCCAAGGACTTCGACAGCGTGGATCTGCCTCTCTCCGAGGAGCATCTACCAAGATAGAATAGGAGTCGCCCTCTCCGCAAGCGCTTGGCATGTTCGAGGCGCGTCAGTGTTGGCCTCCGAGTCACGAAGGACGGCCGCTCCGGAC